TACTAGTATGTGTTTTCAGACTATTTAATATTTAATTCTAATTCGTATCAACAACCTCACAGCATTTAGCCATTCGGAAAGAGCGTATATGTCTTCTTGTTCCTGTTTAGCCCATTGCATGGCATAATCATCGATTAAATCCATCAGTATTTTAATGTTGTGTTTTGTCTGAATTAGACCCACGATATTTCGGGCATTTCTCAGGGAAGTGTTCAGGTCACCAGTTATAAACTTGGTCAACCGGATTATTGTAAATGTTCAGGTCACCAGTTATAACTTGGTCAGCCGGATTATTGTAAATGTTCAGGTCACCAGTTATAACTTGGTCAGCCGGATTATATATAAATAAGAAACTAGTACAGGTGCAGTCAGAATGTTTAGACTTGAAATCGTCAATATTGAGATCCTGCAACATGTGTTTGTAATTGAAATTTTAGTCGCAATTAGTTTGATATTTGTATGATATTTGTGAAAGAGATGATAGGTATAAACTGTTCTTTAAATGAAATTAGGAGGTATTTTCGATTGAACAGATTTTGAATTAAGGATATAGCCAAAGTTGATGGCATCGTGACAGTTGTCGGCAATGGAAAGTTTTCTCAGTTTCAAATTTCCCAATGCGAATCGGTCTGAAAAGTCTCCGATATGATTTCTGTAAGTTTGTAATGGTTTGAATTGGGATTTATAATACTAGTAGTTTCTGAACATAAGTTGTAGAGAATACAGTTTTGAAAGGAGCAGTGAATAAAGCATTGTGTAGATGTGATGAATACATAAACGCTTCTGCATAAATGGCATGTCATTTATAGAAACATCATGAAGATTAAGTAATGTATAATGACGATCACTATGACTGCGTCTACGTCGAGGAGTAGAGTTAAAAATATTCATCACATTCACTGACCTTTAGGAATGACTAGATAGAATACCTATACCATCAATTTCGTCATTGTAACCATCTCAATTCCCGAATCCAGTAGTCTTACTTTTGTCCACGGAGAGGTGTTGCAAGATGAAGATTGTAAGTCCTGTGGTATATTTTTCGATAATGCGAACTCGCATAGAAAGGATTGAGTAAGACTGATTAAAATGTTGATAAACAATGTCACTTGCATTGTTGTTAATGTTTTATTTATGTCGCACATACGTTTTTACAGCCTTCCTTTCGTTTCACGGACATATACCAGTCAGCAAAGGTTAATCCGTAGACGAGATTTGCTGGATTACAATTCAGATCATCGTAGATCTTGGTAAAGTAAGATGTTTTATTTGATGTCAAATTCAACAAAATCGAAATTGAACTGTATTTTGTCAAGGATTTGTATAGTTTATGATCCGACATTGCGTTAAAATTTCAACAGATTTGGTCGAGCGGTGGTTTTTGATGTTTCAAGATACATGATAGGTAAGAACTGAAGGAAAATGGTAAAAATTGTAATTTAAAGGCAATAAATCACATAAAGAGTCGACAAATAAACTCATCATAGATACCAGGATTCAAATTCTGTATGCCAGACGCGCGTTTCGAATTGAAAAGGTGTGAAAGACTCATCAGTGATGCTCGAATCAAAAAGTTAAAAAGGCAAAATAAAGTACGAAGTTGACCATTGAGGACCCAAAATTCCGAAAAAGTTTTGTCAAATACAGCTAAGGTTATCTATTCCTGGGGTAGAAAATAACTTAGAATTTCGAAAAATTCAAAGTGTTATCATCAGTTAATTTATAATTATGACCATATCAATGATAATTCATGTGAACACAGACGATTTCAGCAATGTTGGCTAATGTGCAGATCTTGTCTTCATGAACATTTTTGCTGTTTAAAGTTTTTACCGGATCTATCTTAGTTTTCCAGATGAAAGGCAAAAATGAAAAAAAAACCTGTAAAATTCATCATTTTATGACAATAACTCTTATAAGAAGTACTACTAGGATGTAAATTGTACAGTGGGTAGATCTCAACATTCTAAAAATATTCTCTATCTATAGAAGTTTGTAAGATAATAGACAAAACTTGCATTTTGTTGTTTTGTTCTATAGTAACCATGTCGGCCATGTTGGCTGGCAGAGAGGATCATCTGACAATTTTTCTAAACTAGATACCCCAATGACGATTGTGGTCAAGTTTGCTTCTAATTATTGCAGTAGTTTCAGAGACTTTAACAGATGTCGATGGACTACAAGTGATGAAAAAAGCTCACTTGATCCGTTGTGTCAGGTGAGCTTAAATCTGACCCTATTAAGCTAAGGATAATAATACCAATCCTTTTGTTATTTTGATTTCAATGACTGACCAACTTTCTATTTTTTCAAAATTTAAAACCAGATACTAACTAGTAAAATTTTAAAGCATGCTTAACTCAATAAAATTGAGAATGGAAATGGGGAATATGTCAAAGAGACAACAACCCGACCAAAGAGCAGACAACAACCGAAGGCCACCAATGGGTCTCCAATGCAGCGAGAAAATCCCGCACACGGAGGTGGTTCTCAGCTGGCCCCAAAATAAAATTGTGTACTAGTTCAGTGAAAATGGACGTCACACTAAACTCCAAAACATATAAATGAACTAAAATTTAAAAACATACAAGACTAACAAAGGCCAGAGGCTCCTGACATGGGACAGGCGCAAAAATGGGGCGGGGTTAAACATGTTTTGTGAGATCTCAACCCTCCCCTATACCTCTAGCCAATGAAGAATAAAGAAACACATAGCAATACGCACAGTAAAAATTCAGTTCAAAAGAAGTCAGAGTCCGATGTCAGAATAGGTAACAAAAGAAACTAAGCAAAACGACAATGGTACATAGCTGAACAAAGGACTACTAGCAGTTACTGACATGCCAGCTCCAGACCTTAAACTGATTGAAAGATTATGTCTTCATCATATGAAAATCAAGTACAATCCCTCCCGTTAGGGGTTTAGTATCATACCATCATAAAATATATGAGAAGAACATAGCCTGTATCATGCCAACAACTGGTTTTAGAATAAATGTGTTCATTTCTGATGCAAAGACCCTATGAGTGAATCAATATTAATACCAAAACATGCAATCCTTAATCACTTGACAACAGTATCGTAACTATATCCTTCCGAATAAGTCTGTTTAAAGGTTTGATTAGCTTTTGAGGTGAATACCGACATTTTTGTGCTTTGTAAAGAATATTACCATAAAATATTGGATGTGAAATACCTGAACGTATAAGATGTCTGCATGTTGATTTATATTTACGAATGATGTCCTTGTACCGATGATAAAATTTAGAAAATGTTTTGACTAGTTTGTGATATCGAAAACCCTGGTGTAATAATTTTTCATTAATACAGAGATTTCTTTCGTTGAAATCAAATACGTTGTTACATACACGAGCTAATCGAACAAGTTGAGATATATAAACACCATAAGATGGCGACAAGGGAACGTCACCATCTAAAAATGGATAATTAGCAATAGGAAATGAAAAATCATCTCTTTTATCATAAATTTGGTATTAAGCTTCCCGTTAAGGATAAAGATATCAAGATCCAGGAAAGGGCAGTGTTCATTGTTAGTATTAGCTTTATTTAAAGTCAGTTCGGCAAGATAAATCTCTTTAGTGAACATACTGAAGTCGTCACTATTGAGAGCCAATATATCATCTAAATATCTAAAAGTGTTATTAAATTTTTGAATCAGATGTTGTTTCGATGGGTCATTGCTGAATTTAGTCATAAATTGTAACTCATAACAATACAGAAACAGGTCCGCAATAAGTAGTGCATCCATAGGAATTCCGATAACCTGACGATATACGGAATCTCCATAGCGAACAAAAATGTTATCTAGTATAAAATTCAAGGGCAGTTATAGTATCAAAGCAGGTACAATTGACATAGTTCTTTAGTTTGTTGTTACTAAAAAATGACCTAAAAGAGTTTGAACATATATATCCACATTCTGACTTTTTAAATGCCCATTTAATAAGGTGTGTGAATTTTTTCTTAATAAGATTATGAGGCAATGTGGTATATAAGGTAGAAAAATCAAAACTTTGAACAGATTCGAAATCACCAATATAAGCATGCAATTTATCAAGTACTTCCAACGAATTTTTGACACTCCAAAAGTAATTAATTCCACTATTTTCAAAGGCCTTATTAATACATCTTAATTCACAAGAAATTACTAGATCTTAATCAGTAGATACTGTGTTACCATCACAGTTGGTAAATGTCACAAATCAATAATACTAATGCTATTCTTTCTCAGCATGATCACTCAATTATTTTTTGAAGAGTTTGCATCATGAAAACATCTACCACAAAACTTCAATGTAATAATTTTCACACCTATTCGTAGACAAAGAATTGAGGACTAGGAACTGCAAAATCCTATGGTTGTAATGTCAAAATTTATGTTAAATGTTTTCTTTGCAGTACCTCAATGATTTTAGTACTTTTTAATTGATCATTTTGGTGATTGAAATGAAATTTAATAAACTCTGCTCTCGATAAACTAAAAGTAAGGAGCATGCCACAGTGTTTCCTATTAGTCTGTAATACTTCACAAGATAAATCTACATTATAAAATTGAAGGAGTGTAGACAAAGGACTAGGTCACAATCCTTTTGAATAGACTGACATTTTGGGGAATGTTTTGTTCCCCCACAATATCTCTTGAGCGGTAAATCTGATCTGAAAATTATTATACCTAATGGTCTTGAAGATTGATTGATTGGTGTTTAAAGCCACTTCCAGCACTATTGCGTTATTTCATGGTGGTTAATTCTTATATTGGTGGAGGAAGGCATAGTGCCTGGAGAGAACTTCTGACCTTAGGTAGGAAGTCAATTCAGATTGGAGTATTGCACACCTACCATGTGCAGGATTCGAACTCACAATCTCAGTGTTGACAGACTAGTGATACAGTAAGTGGATTACTTAGACCACTCAGCCACTGAGGCCCTATATGGTCTTGGAAGAAATCTTGATGTTAAAAAGAAATACAAAGACATAGTTCTTCTGTCAAGATATTTATTTCAGTATTTATTGTCTTTTAAGTGTCATCTATATTCATCAAATATTCCCTAAACAGTCAAGTATATAAAAAAGTGAACCAAAGGTATCAATTTCATAACTTGTATCTATAACAAAAGTTCAAAATATTCATGAACTTAAGAGAAAAGAATAAAAATACATTCTGAAGTAAGAATTTTATGAACACTTTGAAATTAACGTAAAAAAAATAAGAAATAGAATCTTACAAAAGATCAGCTTTATGAATAATAAAAAAAAATAAGTCAAATTTTACAAAAATGTTAGAAAAAGGGAACCACTGGTTTACAGATATAACCCTTCATGATAAAGTACACAAATTAAAAGTTCTTTTAACCACAAACAACTTCCTGAAACAGAAGTACATATTGATATGTATCTCAATTAATCTATGTCTGGATAATCAGACTACTGGCCATAACATTACCTAACATAAATCATGTTACATTAAAACAAAATATATATATATGTACAATTTGTATAACCATAAATCTTTAAAACTATAATCATTGAGCAATATACTTAAAGACTGATGTCTTTTCTTTAAAACTTCTTATTCATTTTAAAACTGTGTGACGGCTAAAATATCTTTTTATACAAACACCATATTTTTACACAACAAATTGGTTCACAATATATGTACTACAAAGAATTCTCATATCATAATTCATTATAAATGAGATTATATATATATAACATATATCTATTTAAATGGTCTAACAACACCTAACAACATATACCTGATTTAGTTTTCTAAAAAATGAGCTCATGTTCCTGGCTACTTTTAGCTAGTTTCAGTTTACCAATGAAGTTACCTTCTTTTGTCCAATACTTTCCAACAACAAAAAAACGTCAACAAGACATCAATATGACACAATTTAATAAAAAGTAGGCTATGAATGCTGTCTTTGAAGTATTTTTTTTGTCATTTCGTTGCCCTCTTATGCAGGGTATTTGTCAGAGACAGCAACCCAACAACACAAAATAACCAAAACACATCAACAGGTATGACTGCCTCTTATTATGAGAAATTTGTATTGGTATCATTGATTTTACTTCAAAATTTGCAATCAATAAATTTTATACTGACCAAAAAGTCATAATTCAAATTCAATTGCATTTAGGGTTCAAACACTAAATGTTCTCTTCAAATCAAGTTCTTTAATAATTACAGCTATAGAGCATTTTAATGAATATATCAACTTGTTTGAAAAAATTATAAAGTTGACTCTGCAAGTATATTTGTTCCTACTTAGGGAAAATGCAAATGTTCAAAACCTGATTTTTTGCCCCAAAAATTGAACTTGGTACTTGGCCTGAAATTCTGCTTACTTATGGTTACTTCAATTAAATGACTGGTCTTTTTTAAAATGATTAATTCATTTAACACATTACTGATTTATATTTGGAAACATATTTTTCACTCCCTTTTCTTAGTTCTAAAGTAAGATTTTAAAGAAAAACAACAACAGTAATGACTTAGATGATCTTCAAATATGGTATATACAGTATCAGATGATTATCACCGGGAATAAACTTGCCAAGTGACCTTAATGGTCAGTTGAACACAATGATGTAAAAATTGTAATATTTATGTGTTGTTGCTACTATTTTACTGAAGACTCACAAAATAAATATTGTTTTTTAAATGTCAAAAAGTTGATTTTCAAAAGTACCAAAGTAAAGTTTGATGGCCTATACAATATTTGTCCATAAAAGTTTTTGAAATAATGCACTTAAGTATATACCTACTTTAGAAGCCGATTCTTAACAATGAAAAATTTCAATTGAAAATGTCTTTTCAAGATGTAATTCCAGTTTTCGACCCTAATATTTTTTATTCACAGTTATCCCTTTCCAATGAAATACAATGTATGAACCTTTATCAAACACTATATATTACCGGTAAGTTTAAGATACCATTTTTAATCAGCATAATATATAAAATGTTAAAACATTTTGTACAAGTTGAAGTCCTTATGCCAAAAATTGTATTGTTTGTGCATGATTCTGAAACAGAAATGCACTTCTATTGTGTACAATTTGGAGTTTAGTATGGCGTTCATTATCACTGAACTAGTATATATATTTGTTTAGGGGCCAGCTGAAGGACGCCTCTGGGTGCGGGAATTTCTCGCTGCATTGAAGACCTGTTGGTGACCTTCTGCTGTTGTCTGTTCTATGGTCGGGTTGTTGTCTCTTTGACACATTCCCCATTTCCATTCTCAATTTTATTTTCTAATATATCACAAAAATATTATAACCAAATACCAGTCTACTTTCCTATTTCAACTGTAACATGTCATATGAAATATTATGGACATTTATTCTCAAATGGTGATATTACTAATGAAATGATCACTTTTTTGTTATTAATAATCATCTAAATCTATTCCTACTGTCTGTAGTTTAGCAACATGTTGATAAATTTTGAGCGCCGGTCCTAATTTTAAATTCAAACCAGTTAAAACATCACTTCTCTTCAGCAACAGTAATGATTGTCCATCTATTTCCTGAAATAAACATCATTCATTTAAAAAAATGTACATTAGATTACACAATTCTACTATTTTTTAAAGCCACATACAGTTGAACCTCGTTAAGGGCATACATGATATGATGGAAGTGTTTAACGACCTTGACTGGCTATACAGCCCTCGCATGGTCGGCTCAGTACCCGAAGGCTTTTGGTGAGCGTTTAAATATTTTCATGTGTGACGATGGAAAGTTGGAAAGGACAGCCGCCATTTTGGTTTTGGTAAGATCTTTTTGGTATGTTGACTATCTTGGTGTTGTTTACTGCCTTCACAACGGCTGTTTTCAGGGCCAGGTATGTCAGCTTGGCAGCCCGCTAACCATGATGATGAAGTACTGGTCGATGAGTCTCGGACATAGTATTAGCGATGACAGGAAGCATAATCAGGACCAAAGTCGTAATTAGACAGTGAAATGGCGGTCCATTATATAACATCTAGGATACAGATCCTTGGACGTCAGTCGGCATACATTCTCCCCCATAATGAGTGTTACAGGGTATATGCTTACACAGGTATTTACGCAAAACAACAAGTTTATGAACGTACTGTACAGCATTGAATTGGTTTCTGTCATCGATAGTAGTAAGTCGTTGATCCATCTATCAGTAACCAAACATTGTAGATAGTGGGTTAAGAGGAGCTGACCAAGCACATCCTTTCAGTTGTAATGACTGAGACGTGACAATCTAAGGGCATACGATACAGTTATAGGGGAGATGACGTTACTAACGTAAAATGTTAATTTAGCGACGTCTAACTGTGACATATCAGGAAAAGATGCATTGTTTGACTGATTTTAATCATTAGCTCGAAAACAAGTACGTAGACCCCTCTTTTTAAAAGTGACATTTGGTTTGATTATGTATGACGATTAGTTGTACCAATTTTTATGAAAAAGTTGCCGTTGCATTTTTTTAAAATTAGATAAAAATACTGTAAAAAATGTCGTTTTTTTTCTTAAATCATAAACATTTAATAACAAGAATGTGTTCATAGTACACGGATGCCCTACTTGCACTATCATTTTCTATGTTCAGTGGACCATGAAATTGGGGTCAAAACCTTTAATTTGGCATTAAAATTAGAAAGATCATATCATAGGGAACATGTGTACTAAGTTTCAAGTTGATTGGACTTCAACTTCATCAAAAACTACCTTGACCAAAAACTTCAATCATTGCTTACACAGGCTTAATAAACCAACTGAGAAATGTACATTCCATAAGGAACCAAAATTATCGCCATCGAATAAATGATAGGAAAAGAGATCATCTCATTTGTCATAACTTTTGGTTTAAAGAGCACCTTTTAATTTCAGAACATCTTTTTCTTTCTTGTTTGTATCTATTATAATCTGTTTTAATGAATCGGTTTAGACTGAAGACAATTAATGCTTGACATATTGTTGAAGACTGCATGTTGAACACTAGATGTTTTGGTGTGTTTCTATTGCATTGAAAAATACCCCAGATCTGCTTTAATTCATAAAACACTTAAACAAGCTTTAATGACATATGAAAAGTAACAAGTCATTGAAACAAGACTTTCTTCAGTAGAAATCTCAATTTTCCAAATATGTTGCATAATTAATTAAGAACTACTTGGAAAATAATTGACCAAAAAGATTTTTTTTGTTTGTAATTGAATAGCATACTATTTTCAAAACAGGAAAAAAAAATAGACTGACTTTTATCCATACACTGTTAAAAGATATATGTCTTCCAGTTTGACCTTATCATAAACTGTACATTTTTAGTTTCATTATAGGTGATAGAAAAGACAATCAATTCACAACAATGTTCCTCCACAATTCTACCTATACCATGAATGTTTTCCACAAATTACAAACCTACCTGGTCTTGAAATGAGGAAGCCTGTTCCTTAAAACCTAGCTTGACAAAGAAGCCAACAACATCTACCACTTTCCATCGTGAAGCATCAGGATATTTTGCTAGCGGAGCAGCTGATGGTCGAATCTCTAATTTTTTCTTCATTTTCTTTGGAGGAGGTTTCGGTCTGAAAACAATAAAATTCATTGGCTATAATTTACAAAAGCATTGTTGCTTACTTATTAATAATTCATTTTTGTACTGGGGTTCTTGCTTTTGGGAGTGTTTATTATGTGCACATTTTTTTCATCCATTTTGGTACATAATAATCTGGGATGTTTATATCTTAAAATACATACATGTACCACTTTAATGCATAAATAGCATTGATCTGTTACTCATTAAGATTTATCTACATATGAGTAACTATGTAAATGACTGCAGACACAATGGAAAAAGTTTAAAGACAACTCTTACATAGCCAAAAGAATGAATTATGGAAAAAGAGTATTACAATTATCTGGTGTCACTTAAAATGGAGATATTTTAATTTTTTGTATAGAAGGTGATTTACATTTTCATTTATCATTTTTCAAGTTCTATAGTTTTCAGGCCAGTGTCAGAAAAATAAATAACAGAGTTCCAATGTCCCCCATGTTGCACATATTTTATCTGTGCAAGGATCAAGGGCAATAACTAAAAAAAAAAAAACTGTTTTTGTTTTTTTTAAACTGTTATTAATATCTTTGAGAAAATGCAATGCAATTTAAAATATATCTAATATTTCATTAAGGGGCATAACTCTTTTAAAAATATTTGATCAGCACTGATTTTCAAACTTGTCTGAGACATTGCTGATATACACCTATAATATAAATTTCATAAAAATCTGGGAAGAATTGTACACATGCAAGCGCAAACGATGCAATTTTCCACATAATTCATGTTTCCAAGGGGCATAACTCTTTCAAAAATAATTGATCGGCACTGATTTTCAATCTCGTACAAGACATTGCTCATATAAACCATCAACATAAGTTTCATAAAAATCTGGCCGGAATTGTACACATAAGAGCGCTAACGATGCAATTTTCCACATAATCATTGATTCCAAGGGGCATAACTCTTTTAAAAATAATTGATCAGGACTGATTTTCTAACTCTTCCAAGACATTGCTGATATAAACCTTTGATATAATTTTCATAAAAATCTGGCAAGAATTGTAAATGTTAGAGCGCTAACAAGACCGAATGGACAGATGCACAGACAGCCACTATTTCTATGTCCCTCGCAACGCGTCACATGGGGGACAGTTACTCTTTTAACAGTAAAACATCTTTAAACCCTTTCCTTTCATTGATATTTCACTTAGATGGATGGGGAGGGTAGGAAGACCCTAGAGTTTTCCAAAATCCCTTTACTAATCAAAGCATCATAGATGTGATTCAGCCAATTTTGTAGCTAGTCTGACATTTTTTCTGACCATTCTTTCCATAATTATTTTGGTACCTTCATTCACATAATCTCACTGTAAAATTTCTATTTTACTGCCAAAAGATTGAGAATTTTGCAATATTGATGCACATTATTTTGGTATTTCAATTGAACACTGTGTCAGATTTTTTACATCTTTTTTTTTAAGAAACATTTAAAATTCAATGATTTTGACAAGAATGTTGAGGGAAATCTTCAAATGTGTAGCATATTTTTTATATGCCATTAATAATAATTGGCTGAATAATTTCCAGAAAGAGGCATTAAGGAACTATATGCAAGTGTATATCTAAAATAATGAAGTTGTTCGCCCAACGTTTTCTTAAATTAAGGACAAATAACATATATGAAATTGACTGTTGACATAGGCTTTAAGTTTTGTTTTCCTAGATACCTGCTCTGCTTAATACTGTGGATTCATTATTATTCATTGGATACTAATTTTCATTGATTCAGGGGGGGCTATACTTATTTCCTACGTTAAAATCAATGAAATTAAATATTTAGGAACAAATATTTTTACCGCAATCCACAAAACTGGAACACAAGAAAAACAAGAAATGATTGTAACAGGATGCTGTTACGAAGTCTCCCAAATGAAGCTCCCATAATTCGTAATTCCCAGGGTCGCCTGACATTGGGCAACGTCCAGTGAAAATTGGTTTGGTCCAGTAAAGTTATATGCATTAGTGATGCCTGGGGACTAACCTTGTATATCATTCAAATCATCTTGGCATGACAAACCAGAATATATATGGTTTAGGGGTGGGGATCTCGACCATTTACAAGATACTAGAACATTGGGGGTGGGGAGGAACCCCTGGGGACTGGCCCTATACGTCATTCAAATGTTCATTACATGACGAACAGGAATATATATGGTTTAGGGGTGGGGATCTCAACCATTTACAAGATATTAGAACATTGGGGGTGGGGGGAACCCCTGGGGACTGACCGTATACGTCATTCAAATGTTCGAGACATGACAAATAGGAATATATATGGTTTAGGGGTGGGGATCTCAACCATTTACAAGATATTAGAACTTTCTCAAATGGCAGGGGGTCGGGATGACCCCTGGGGACTAACCCTGTATATCATTCAAACCATCTTAGCATGACAAACCAGAATATATATGGTTTAGGGGTGGGGATCTTGACCACTTACAAGATATTAAAACTTTCTTAAATGGCAGGGGGTGGGGATGACCCCTGGGGACTAACCCTGTATTTCATTTGATGTGCTTTATCATGACAAACCAGAATATATATGGTTTAGGGGTGGGGATCTCGACCATTTACAAGATATTAGAAACTTTCTCAAATGGCAGGGGGTCGGGATGACCCCTGGGGACTAACCCTGTATATCATTCAAACCATCTTAGCATGACAAACCAGAATATATATGGTTTAGGGGTGGGGATCTTGACCACTTACAAGATATTAGAACTTTCTTAAATGGCAGGGGGTGGGGGTGACCCCTGGGGACTAACCCTGTATAACATTTGATGTGCTTTACCATGACAAACCAGAATATATATGGTTTAGGGGTGGGGATCTCGACCATTTACAAGATATTAGAACTTTCTCAAATGGCAGGGGGTCGGGATGACCCCTGGGGACTAACCCTGTATATCATTCAAACCATCTTAGCATGACAAACCAGAATATATATGGTTTAGGGGTGGGGATCTTGACCACTTACAAGATATTAGAACTTTCTTAAATGGCAGGGGGTGGGGTGACCCCTGGGGACTAACCCTGTATTTCATTTGATGTGCTTTATCATGACAAACCAGAATATATATGGTTTAGGGGTGGGGATCTCGACCATTTACAAGATATTAGAACTTTCTCAAATTGCAGGGGGTCGGGATGACCCCTGGGGACTAACCCTGTATATCATTCAAACCATCTTAGCATGACAAACCAGAATATATATGGTTTAGGGGTGGGGATCTTGACCACTTGGAAGATATTAGAACTTTCTTAAATGGCAGGGGGTGGGGGTGACCCCTGGGGACTAACCCTGTATTACATTTGATGTGCTTTATCATGACAAACCAGAATATATATGGTTTAGGGGTGGGGATCTCGACCATTTACAAGATATAAGAACTTTCTCAAATGGCAGGGGGTCGGGATGACCCCTGGGGACTAACCCTGTATATCATTCAAACCATCTTAGCATAACAAACCAGAATATATATGGTTTAGGGGTGGGGATCTTTACCACTTACAAGGTATTAGAACTTTCATAAATGGCAGGGGGTGGGGGTGACCCCTGGGGACTAACCCTGTATTTCATTTAATGGGCTTTATCATTTAGAACATTTTCAATTAAAAAGATTGTGTCTATCACAAACGGTTTTCAATTTATAATCATTTGAAAATTTAAAAAAATAAAATCCCATAGGGTTCTATAGTAAAACCCTCTTTTCTTTTTGCCCCTCAAAGTACCCCTTTATAAACCCCATTGCACAAACAAAACCCTGATTGCACCACTAGACATGTTAGTCTAACATATTGTGAAACCCTAAGTTAATCTGACAAGCGGTTTTGGAGAACGGGTGCGGACAAGTTCAAATTTAAAAGCGGCGGAAGAAGAAGAAGAAGAAGAAGAAGAAGAAGAAGAAGAAGAAGAAGAAGAAGAAGAAGAAGAAGAAGAAGAAGAAGAAGAAGAAGAAGAAGAAGAATAATAATAAGAACTGAGCAAAAACAATAAGTCTTCCCAAACTTCGTTTGGGAGACTTAATAAATGAATCCACAATTATCATGAAGGGCAGTCTTTATAAACAGTATTTTTTTTTATATTGCCTGTGAAAGCTTTAAATAAATAAATATGAAAAAAGTTCTGAGATGTATAACTGAGAAAGAATACTCTTTTGCTTAATATAGAGTAAAAGAAAGCGAATATTCCTGGGAAATGTATTTTGAAATATAAAGAATGAAACAGAAAATGTTCCTGGGTCAGAGAAAAAATTCCAGTAAAAGATTGTTCAAAACTCATTCTTAATTTTATGTATGAAAATTATAGCCAAGTATGATTCAGAGAAATTATAGCCAAGTATGAATCAGAGAAATTATAGCCAAGTATGAATCAGAGAAATTTTAGGCAAATACTTTGAAAATCATTAGACAAGTTCAGAATATATGAATATCTTGGAAATTCTGACCTAGGATATATTTGTTAATAACACCTCCTTTACCTCTTTTCTTTTTATAGGTAGATGACAACAGAAACATCTTATTATGTCACCCGATCGACAATGTCGGGTGACATATTGCTTTTCCTCTGTTTCTTTTTCCCTATTATTATTATTATTATTTTTCTTCCTCCTAATTTTGTCCGCCCGCTTTCTCAGAGCCAAAGGAACCAATCTGAATGATGGTTCACTATAACAAGGAACCCTGACTTTCGAGTTGCAGTGCAACTTTGGAACCTTAAAAATGGCGGCCATCACCATGGAAACTAAAAAATGGTGAAAAAATATAATTTTGGAGTTCGGTGAATTATTTGAGAATGCTTAAACTTAAAATCATTACATTTTAATACAACTTAGGTGCCCACTATATACTGGTTTTGGATGATTTTGGCAATCATTGGAACTACTATGTTGCCATGGAAACTACACCAAAAATTTAAAAAATATCAAAATGCTCCAAACTTAATGAAACTTCAAAGTAACGATGAACAACATTGGTAGATGTGGAATTTGGCGTTGGAATTTCGAAAATGTCTGCTGTTACCATGGAAACAATGCAAAACAGGTCAAAATGCTCCAAAAACCTTAAAGTAGCATTTACTTTCTTAAAATGGTAGGTCAAATCGATTGAAACTTTGATGGTATGTTCCCTCCCATGTACCAATGTGGTATCTGCCATTAAATTTTGGGAATGGTCTCTGTTACCATAGGAACCATCACGAATGTCAAAAATTTCAAAAATTTCAAAATGCTCCAAAATTGATGAAACTTAATATGATTGTTGACTGGCAAGTCTGGATGAGACTTTTGACTTAGGAATTTCCAAAATGGCCACCGTTGCCATGGGAACTGCAAAAATGTCAAAAATTTTCAAAATGCTTTGAACTTAATGAAACTTGATATTATTCTTAACTGGCAAGTAAAGATGAGACTTTTGACTTTGAAATTTTCAAAATGGCTGCCGTTGCCATGGAAACGGCAAAAATGTGAACATTTTTAAAATGCTCTCAATGTACTGAAAATTTTCTGAAAGATGTATAGCCATGCATATATGTGCATTCATTGTTAAAATTTTTTGAAATGGATGTCGCTTAGTGGCAATGGGGGAAGGGTGACATCCGCTATTGCTTGCAATGGCAAATCTAGTTATTGATTACCTTTCCTCTTCTTCCTCTTCGGAAGCAGGTGATTCACAAGGAGTTGGTAGACATGAAGCACCACCACCCTCTAAAAACAACACAAAAATAACAAGGTCAAACATGGCAATCACTTTATCTGACAATTATATATTGAAATCCTAAATCTTCATTGCATTGACTGTCATTAAAGAACTACATTTGTGTATCTTCAACAACTTGATCCATCACTATTGGGAAGTATTTGGAACTATATTTCAGTGTATGTAGATGTAGAGTTTGACACAGCTGCATCCTAGTTTGTTATCATTTTCAACAGTTTAGAAACATTTCAAATTCTGTTGTGTTCTTTTTCTTCGAGAATTTATATTCCCTGGTAATTTTTACCAAATCATAAATGTTAAATAACTACCTGCCACTTGCTCTTCCTCTTGTGTGTCTTCTATTTCTACACTGACATCAGCAGTACCTTCTGTTACACAATTACCACATACCCACTTTCCTTCAAAAGTCAAATATTGCAATATTTATTTTCAAAAGATCGAACATTTATTTAAAATTAGTTATTTCTAAACAAATCCATGAATCTTTTATCTTTTTTATTTGCTCAACAATTGTTGTTTTCAGTTTTAGGTTTTTTTTTCCATTTTCACGTAAAACTCTCTTACTTTAAGATATATTTTAAACAGATGCCGTATTTAGGCTACAGTACACACAAGGTGGTTGATATCTCTCTGTATATTCAATAGGTAATAATAATGAAAGGGTCATAAATTAATTCATTACTTACCAGCAAGAGTAATTCTTATTTGAATCAAAATTTAAAGACCAAAGAAGTAGGGACTATGGCAAAATTCATGTCCTCTACAGTGTGATGTCAACTAACAGGAAGTCAGGATGGGTCCATTTGTTACAAAAGATTAAACCAGCGTTTAAAATTTGGCAAGTGTTTACATCTTACAGATTAAGGAATGGATCAAATTTTTTGGTGCTGAAATTTAACAGTAATAAAAACTGCTTTACTATCTAAACTAGGACCGTAGAACTCTTCTGTGGCTGTCAAAATAAAATAACAGCTTCGCCAGAAGCTCAAGATACCCCAGTGGTATGCATGATGAAATTGCTGCAAGATTAAAATAGAATATTGAAGAAGGCATTAAACAGAAGTCAGTAAAATGTCCCTTATGAAATATTCTTGGGCGTATATAAAAAATGTATTCAGTTTGATGGTTACATTACCATTACTCTGGGAAAGCCTATTTAATATATTTTCAAAGTGAATAGGAAGCATACTTCTATTGATTCAAATATTCCATACAAGTTTCATGAATTTTGATCTGAAGGACGATTTTTCTCCAAAGGATTAACAATGTATACAAATAAGATTGTACCTTGTGGTTTCTTCTCCACTGCTGGTTCATGACAGTTCATATGGAAACCTTTGTCACAGGCATCACAAACTAACATCATGTCCTGTAAAAAATTAAAAACATTACTGAGAGGAATAACTAGGTCAAAATAGACAATTTTTAATGCTATGCAAGATTCTTCTTGCCGACTTGTTCCTTTATTTATATGAGGCTGACTTCACACAGGAACTTCTTAGGAAGAAAGAAAATAAGTTAGCAGTATCTTTAACTTTACTTTTACACTATATAGATGATGTTCTCTCACTAAATAATTCAAAATTTGGTGACTATGTTGAATGCATCTATCCCATTGAACTTGAGATAAAGGATACAACAGATACAGTCAAGCCTGCCTCATATCTTGACTTACATCTAGAAATTGACAATGAGGGTCAGTTGAAAACAAAACGTTATGACAAAAGAGATGACTTCAGCTTCCCAATTGTGAACTTTCCATTTCTATGTAGCAACATTCCAGCAGCGCCTGCATACGGAGTATATATCTCCCAGTTGATACAATATTCCATGGCTTGTATTTACTACATGTATCATGATTTCCTTGATAGAGGGTTGCTGCTTACAAGGAAGCTATTAAACCAAGAGTTCCAAGTGGTGATGTTGAAATCATCCCTTTCGTAAATTTTATGGACGCCATCACGAGTTGGTTGATCATTATGGAATATCCGTTTCACAGATGATAGCGGATATGTTCCAAGTGTCGTAACTACAATCCGTCCCCTCCCCCCCTTTTTTCCTGAATGTGACCTACCAAAATTAGACTTATTACCTGGTTTGTACTAACATGAGCAACACGACGGGTGCCTAATGTGGAGCAGGATTTGCTTACCCTTCCGGAGCACCTGAGATCACCGCTAGTTTTTGGTGGAGTTCATGTTGCTCAGTCTTTAGCTTTTCTATGTTGTGTTTTGTGTACTTTTGTTTGTCTGTTAGTCTTTTTCTTTTTTTTACCCATGGCGTTCTCAGCTTATTGGATCTTCATACACGATATAGAATTTACTTACAGGGTCACCAGCATCTTCACACACAATACAGATTTTACAGTCTATACACTGCCATGGTCCACGCAATGCTCTTTTGGCTAACACTGGATTGTAACCCATACATGATGGATGTGCTGAAATAAATACAAAACTTAGTTAAAAAACAAAAACCTTGATATTGACATCATTCAACTTGACATTATTTGTTATAAATTATTGATGAAAATAAAATAAAATTTTAAATCACCCAGATCATACCAAAGACTTGATATTTGGTATTTGCAGCTTCTCTACCAAGTACCAGACATTTAAGAGTAAGAGAAAATAATTGGTTGGCCCAGAGTCAAAATAATGTGTCAGCTTGAAGGGTGACATGCCTTTCTGTTGATTGTAATATTTTACACTACCAGTTTATAAGTCTGGCTGAGTTGTCGGTCTAGGACACAACAGGATTTATATCTATATCAAATTAACATATTCCAAATCGGAAAATGCTTTTCAATTTGTCACTGGACTTTATACAGTCATCCATCATCATCATACAAGACTGTTGTATTTAAAGATAATTACATGGTTTTTAGAAAATAAGCAATCATAGCAAGGGAGATAACCAACTGAAATGATTATGGAACACATTTGTAAAAAAAATTCTCCTGCACACAAAAAAAAAATTAAGTTAATATTTAGTTGACATAATGCTGTCATCTATTCTTATGAACTTATTTGATATTATTGTGTACTTTTAATAGTAAGTACACTATATGAGGGTGTGGATGGGAGTTTACAGAATAGAGAATAATGGGCAAAAAATAAATAGAGAAAAAAAGTCCAAAAAAATAAAGAATAGTGAATAATGAGGTGCTAAAATATAAAGAATAGAGAATAATGGGCAAAAAGAATAAAGAATAGAGAAAAATGGCCTATAAAATTAAAGAATACAGAAATCCCAGACCCTTCTATATAAATCCATTATAATATTTGCACATTTTACTAAATGTATTGAAATGTTTAGCCTACGTTAATAAGGAATACACAACACTTTTGAAATTCATACTAAATATCTGGTTTTGGTCAATACTTTAACAATATGTCAGCTATGACCAGATGCATTAGAATATTTAATGTGTCTTCCTACATGTATGAAATTGTACCTTGTGCATTACAATCTTTGCAGAGTAGTATCTTTTCTAAATCTCCATTATCTTTTTCCCTAGCAGACTTGAGGCAATAATCACAGGATAGACTTGTTCCAGGTGAATTGGCTCTTTGTTCATAAAAGGTTTCAAAGTCTGGTCCATGACTTTTCCTTATCTTCTGTTGAAAAATAATAAATATATCAATAAGAAAAATATTCTCTGAAAGCAACAACCACAAATTCTACATATCACAAGATCAATATCTTTTCGAACTTATGTAATCTAAACCAGAATTTCTATTTGGTTTCAATTGTTTAAGAATAAAAATGGAAAAATAAAAACCAACGTATGGCCCAGGTATCAATTTGTCACCAGGCTTATTTGGACTTAATTTTAATTTTATCATTTTATTTAGAAATTGGACTTTTGGAAAAGATATTATTTACAAATTTAAATATTTACATGTGTAGACAAATAATGTGTTAATCTTAATTAGTGACATATGATTTTCAAATGTTTGTGACAGATTTATTTATTGAGTAACAGAAATTAATATGAGACACATTAATTCATACTAAAGGTGTGAAAATTATTGTATAGGAAAATGAAAGAATAAGATTATATGAGTATTATAAATTATAATTATCTTTTATATTAATTAATGTGAATGCTGTCACTTATAGCTTAAAGTTATGAAATGTCATTTTAATTTGAGTATTGTTATGTTAATTGAGTATTGTCTATTTTCGATATTTAGTATAAATACTTATTGTAAACTTTGTAAAATTAGTACGATCAGAAGTAATATACTTTGAGTTAGAAAGAAAGATACAGTAGGAGTCACATTATATTGACATTGTCCTTTGTATATGTTATATTAGTACTTTGGCTTGGAATTAAATTATATAACTTGAATGTGTTGGATCTTCGTGAACTGCAACAACTAGTTCCTGATATTGGTGACTTTCATGGTTTAATTGTTTTTCTAATGATTTTACAAATAAAATCATGACCCCGTAACCTTTAGGGAGCCAAGACAAGAGTCCCAACTGAGCTCCTGATTGGTTACAAATGTTAAAACCATATCATTCAGTAGGTGTATCTTTTCACACCTACTATTAACTCAAAACTATATCGATACTGGAAACAAAAAATTTCTTTTTAAATTGATTGATTGCTACTGAACATCAAGGGCCAAATATAACATGGTATATTTAGGATCAAGTTAAAGTAAAAATAAAGTTATGCAAGAAAAATAAAACAACAATTTGTATAGTACTATTGTAATTTCCTCACAAAAAGTAATTGGAATAAAATAGCCTTAAAATAAAGCAACCAATTGACATGTGAATAATTATAACTCATATATTACCTGGGAAAAAATGTTTTTGTAGATTTTTTCAAAATGAGTTTTCCTAATGAATTAGAATAGGGTCTGTTCGCCCTGATTAATGTTCGCCCTAATACCCGTTCGCAATTTTTAAAGCAATATCTACGAATGGGATGATTTAACAGATGGATGTTTTCAATAAAAACATGGTTAGTCCACTAATTATTGTTTTGTGGATATTGGATTGTTTTAAGTTGATTTTAATTAAAATAATAACATTTTCAAAGAATCAAGCTTCAATCAAGCATTAGGTACAATTATTATTTTTTTTTCAAAAGCAAGGCGAATACAAATTAATAAAAATACATGAGGGTCGTAATGGGGGTACGTTCATAACGAATAATGGTAAAAATTCTTGCCAAATGACGTTGAAGGTAATTTTTGGTGCATGACGATAAAATGTATACTTTCTTTTAGACGATAAAAAAATAGACTGATTTTGATGAATCACGTTAAATTTTTTCCAAGAATAACATTATTACTTGAGACCTCTGACGAAAATGACAAATAATGATAAGGATATTTTTACCAACGGTAAAAGTTTAACCAATTTGATGCTTATGGTAGCCGAAAATGAAAATTTGACGCCTGACATTAAAGGGCATTTCTACCCTCATACATAGATTGGCTGATTTTAATGGACAGCATAAATTTTTGGTATAATTGAAAACTGTATTTTAGTCAGAATTTGATTAAGTCTTTAACCTTTCTCTTTGAAAGCGGTCGTCCTCTTCTGTTAAGACTTGTTTCATCATAAGATATTTCAGTTTTCAAAACTGGTTTAGGTGACAATTTTCTTTTAAGGCCACCTTTCTTTTGCTTTTCTTTCCCAGATTCTGAAATTATCTTGTAATATCCATTGTCAAGTTTCAGGATGACCAAATTATCTGCTTCCCTATCCAGTGCTACTTGAAGCTGTTGTTTTGTTAGGCGAGGCTCTACAGAATTGGTGTTGAACCATTTCTCTATCTCTTTCACACTTGCGCCCTTGTTCTCGCCATCGGCACCGCTGCCGCAAAGTGCGGCTAATGCATCAAGGATGTTTTTGTTAGTTGCATCTGAATTTAAGCTTTTCTTGCCATGTTTTATGCTTTTGGAACTTGAAGGAACTCTATAACTTGTGTTTCCTTTAAATTCTACTTTCAAAACGTCTCCCGAGTCGACAAGTTGTTCAAGGTAGGCTTCCGTCTCCGCAGTTTTCAAACCATGCCGTCGCGCAACCAAATGAGCGATTCGCATTGCATCTGGTCGCGCTTTTCGTTGGCGGAGTTGGTCTATACATTCTATTATAACTGATTTATACTTAGCGAGAGGCATTTGTTCTACAATTATGGAAATATCTTTGAAATTTGTTATGCGACAAGCCTTCTTTCTTCTTCCAAACAAAAATCAATCACGCTTGCGCATATTCAATTTCCGTAAATAGCATTGTGGGAAGTTTAAAGGCATCTTTGGGGGTATTTATCTACATAGTTAATGGGTTCTATTATAACCAGCTGTCTTTATAACGTATATTTCCATTCCTATATATAACAAATAATATCTATTCAACCCAATGGATTTTAATTAACCTATTCGATTGTTTGTGATCTGTTTCAACTTACATTACCCTTCAAGAGCCTTTTGTGACGTCACAAATGCACAGAAAGAGGCTTAATTTGAAAGTACCAGACGGCAAAATCTCATTTTACCGAAAAAAATGTAACGCGACGTTATTTTTAAAATCAATTACTTCAAGTTTTCTGGAATAAACAGTTTTATACGAAATTGTCTTACTGTAGTGAATGGTATCCAAAGAGGCTACTTTTGTTATGAATTTTATTAAAAGTTTATACACTGCCGCAACATGTTTGTTCAAGCTATAGGACTGTCCCAGGTTTAAGTTACAATTACCCAGAGACCGTGATATAATATATCTCTGATTTTTGACAATCAGACGAGTTGAAATTCAGACGATTAAGTGCCATTGGTGTAAAAATGGAATGTTCCTCTTGTTTAGTATTAATTGCATATCTTGCATTGCTATATATATATATATAAGATAAGATAAGAATTTTATTAATCTAATCAAGAACCCATAAAGGGCATCATTTACAACAATATTAAGCACAATATGATTGGAAAAAAGAAAAACTATATCCTAATATAATACTATCATATATTGGACAGGATCAGAGCCTAACACATCATGTGTCTTACATAACATTAACAATAATTGCATAATAATTTTATATATTTTGTATCCACCTGGATCTTATTTCTAAACACTTAATTATATAATTGCCTAGGCACATAAGAGTTGGTAAATGCTCATTTGTGAACAGCCAGAAATATTTTTTATCCTTGGGTAATTCTTTAAAATTATTACAAAAACTGTTTACTTTATCCCATAATAATTTTCTCTGTTCGTTATATAAAGGACAACTTACTGTGAAATGGGTCTCATCTTCAATAGAATTTGATCCATGTGATAGGCAGTGATGACATAGACGCTGACTTCTCTCTATGTATTTTTTACTATACCTATCTTTCTCAATTTTAAGATCATGTGCACTTATTCTCAATTTACATATAGCTCTTCTTATATTAAAATCTTTAATTGATAAATAAGCCTCCTTTACGAAGTCAGTCTTGAGGTTGAAATAATTTTCTAATTTACTATTACCTTGTGATAAGGTATCAGATCTTTTGACCCCCCAAAATGTTTTAAAACTGTTACAAAGTTTACATTTTACAAATTTAATTAATCTATTGAGCTTTGTATTCAAATTTTGTATATCAAGTGATTGAAGGACATATCTCATAGATGAATACCAACAATTAATGTTTCCTGCATCTAAAATTTTATTACAAACATATATATATATACCCTGTTCTGCCATATGTACCATATATGGTACTATATATATATGTGTGTCTGTGTGGCATCATTAATTTTTTTGTATATCGACAAGGCAAGATCGATTTACATATTAATTAATTAAGATAAACATTGAATTTTCAAAACATCTATAATTATGTAAGAGAGACGTATAATAGGCCTATGTACAGTGTATTACATGTTCCAGTCTGTTATAATTATAACTATCCATTAATTTGTTCTTGGAAATGTTTGTGTAAATTCAAGAATTAAAATTTATGCAGAACTGCTTCGAGTGATGAGTTTTACCTTTGATTGTTATTCGTTATTACCATTGGGGCTTCACAAAGGTCATCGATTGATTTCTTCGGTATACCGCGACAAGCCGAAATCTATTTGAGATAGCTGTTTACAAACCATAACTTAATTAACCCCTTTTGGTTACTTATAATTCAATTTCAACTGAAAACAAGTCATAAACATGATGTAAAGTCGATCTAGATTGGATGTAAATGAGACGTAAGCATCAATAATTTCATAAACAGCTAGTACGTATATGTTTCCTCAAGTTTCCGAAATCTTATAAATCCTCTCGATGAAATAACAGGGAAAGTTGGAAGTGAACTTGGTCACGAATAAGTCATGTACAAAGGTCAAGACCCTTTTTATTCCACCCGCTTTAACATTTATATCATGTAAATTAAGAGAGTTTCATAATGATATTTTGAACTCGAATTATTTCTGCTCCAATTTGAATGAAGTTTTGATTGTTAACATCAGAAATATTTTTTTTATTATCACTGTCGCCTATTTTTTTTTTCTAAGTTCCAAGAATCCCATGACTCAATTTTGACGTTTCAATATCATGCATACATGGTAACTTGCAGGGGCGTAGCTAGGTATCCAATAAACTGTAGGCACAAATTGCGGCAGGGATCTGGGGGCTGCTCAAGGGCAAAGCCCCCCGACGGAAAACAGTTTTCAGCATTTTTGTTGCAAAATTTTGTGTACAAAAAAACATAAAATTACTGGTAATTTTATCATAAAAAAACATAATATACATGAAGAAAAGTTCAAAGAATTATGAATAATTTTACAATAAAATCTGACTGATGAATTTAAGCAGTACAATCGGAAATCTAAAAAAAAATATTTACAATATGCATTGCCCAGCGAAGATCACCGTAGCCCTTTTATTAAGCAGTACATCCTGTTTAGTATTTTCATATCTATTCCTTTCTGATTGAGGATAATTGATATCGCCGGGACACACAGACGGACGAAAGGACGGACTGACAAAGCGATCACTATATGATCCCGAAAATTTTTGATGTGTTTTCTCTGAGGTCGATTTATGGGATCTATTTTGTATGATGAATTCAAGTAAAATTACATTTAAATATTAAAAATAATAGCATTGCAAATTTAATACGACATATGGAACTCATGCACAAACAAAACACACATTTAATTAAAATTGAGAATGGAAATGGGGAATGTGTCAAAAAGACAACAACCCGACCACAGAACAGACAACAGCAGAAGGCCACCAACAGGTCTTCAATGCAGCGAGAAATTCCCGCACCCGGAGGCGTCCTTCAGCTGGCCCCTAAACAAATATATATACTAGTTCAGTGACATTGTTCACATGTGCAAACGTGTATCAGTTAACTCGATATACGGATATGTTTCACTTGTAGCCACAATTCCATCATCTTTTCCTCGATTTGAATACAACTTTTCACCGATCGAATTTCTCCTTTTCGTGAGCAACTCGACGGGTGACACTATATATGGAGCCAAAGTTGCATACTCCTCCGAAGAACCTGATATAACCTCCGATTTTTATTCCTAATCTATGGTTTTCAGTGTAATGTTTATGAACTCAGTTGTTTGTCTGTTCAGTAGTGTGTTTTTTTTTTCTCTTTTTGACCATGTGGTATCGAATGTTTTTAAACAGATAACTGTTATGGCCGTTTCAACAATGAAAATACTTACTTATTACCCCCTTGTATCCTTTACAGATTACTTATTTGTTCATCTGTTTCATCTTTACAAAAGTTAAATTAAAATTGTAAAGTTTATAAAAAAAGAAAAATTGTAAATAACTTTAAAGCAACCTCACTCAGGCATGCACCGGAAAGAAATCTTCAAAATGTTGATGATTTTCTGTACCTAAAGAAATTGGGTAGACATGAGAGATAAAACCCCCATCCAACTCTTCTGGCATTCTTGGATCTCATCCTGTTTTTAGCCTAACTGCAACGCATTAGAATTAGGTTTATCGCTACCAAACTGTGATTTGATAATGTCCTGTGAAGTTCTGGAGATCCCTATAGATTGTAAGACCACCAGGGCAAAGCTCAAGGTCTCAACAGCTATTGATAGACTGAAATATTTGCAAGCAACTTGGTTTCCGGATGTTACTTTTAAATTACACGTCTTATTTTTATCAAACTTAGTTTGATATTGCCTCATGGGATAGGGAATACCTCTATAACTTTTGAGGTCACTTTGTCAATAGGTCAATGTCACATAGCAAATGGTAGACTGAATTTTGGTCAAATACAAATCCGGGGGGAAATTCATGAACCCAATCGAATTAGAATATAGATCACTGATTTCGTTATGATAATATGACGAGCACGTGATTTACGATTGATCTGACTTTTAATCAGATTGGTATGAACCGTGTGTTTAACAGATCCCAAACATTGTTTGATAATAAAGAAGAACCCCAATAATTTTGTGATCACTAGGGCAAAGGTCAAGGTCACAGAAATTAACAAACTAAAAATTGACCGAAATGATTTTTTCTTGATGAAATCTTATAAACCATATGTCCAACCTTCATGAAATTCAGCTTGAACATTCCACTAGGAAAGATAAATAGCCTTACACCTGTTGATTTTGAGGGCGAATAGGTCAAAGATCAAGGTCACAATTAGTAGACCGATTGGTAAATTTGTTGTTTTCTATCACTTGCTCAGTTTTTTTATACGGTTGTTTGTCGTTTTCATTTTTAGCCATGGCATTGTCAGTTCATTTTCGACTTACGAGTTTGATTATCCCTTTGTTATCTTTCGCCTTTGAATTAACAGACTTACAATAACTGTCTTAAACATCCCCCCACACATACCCATGGAGAACAAACAAAATATGTCTTCTACTCCAAGTCTTCAAAGCCCGTTACTCGGCTAATAAACCTATGGTGCTTTTGTAATTTTTACTCACCGTTTCTTCAAAATGTACTTGAGTTAATTCCCTTTGATTACAACTTTTAAATAAGTTTCCTATACATGTTCGAGACATGAATGATTAAAATACTAAATACGCGAATGATTTAATCGTACTTGATATATTAAACACGCTCTTCTCTATAGTTAAGACAAGATTACCGATGACTGAAAGTTTGAGACGCCAAACGCATAAAAGTTAAGTATTAGGCACAAAGGCTCAACGGAGTTAAACAGCACAGATATATGTCTACATTTTGTTTCATTTGCCTTATAAATCTAGTTGAAACTTTAGTTCAATTTAAAAAAGAATGAACAAATACTATATAAAAGAATAATGATACCTTTAGGTAACATTTCGGAATTGTAAATTTATCAAATTGAATGCTCTTCAATTTCGTACTTTATTTGGCTTTTTTAACTTTTTTTTATTCGAACGTCACCGATGAGTCTTTTGTAGACGAAACGCGCGTTTGGCGTACACAATTTTAATCCTGGTACCTATAATTAATTTATTAAGACAAAGTAAAAGTGCTTTTAATATTATTGCATTTATAAATATATATAAGACATAACTGGTTCTATAGTTGATAGTTTCAAGCATTTCAATAAGGTCGATAGAAAATAATTTTAAACACATTTGGGTGATAACAAAGACTCGGCTGGGTTCTGTACTCCATTCTGATTTTATCGATGTTCTCCAGGCTCCTTTGAGCAACTTGTTTTGTCACTCCTTTGAGCAATGTGTTTTGGCCCTGGGCTCCGGTTGAGCAATAATTTTGGGCCCCGGGCTCCTTTGAGCAATGTTTTGGGGCCTCGTGCTCCAAGCCCCGGTGGTAGTAATCAAGGGCTCAAGATCAGCATACATGGAGCCAGTGTTATTACCCCGTCCATGAGCAAGTTTAAGTGTGTTATAGTGATAAAGAGGAACATGGGCAAGTTGAATTTTTGTAGTGAGAAAGTGAGAAAGACGATACACATATTTGGTTATGGGCACAGACGAAACATAAAATAGATTGGTGCCAGGAGCAAGGATTTATACAGTATTACATGTTCTATACAAATCCTATAAAAGGAGTAATGAAAAATAAGTTTCTGGCTTAAGCTATAGTCGGACAATTTTATCAATTTTTACGAAGCAGGGTAATATATACGGAAACTAAGAAAGGCAAACAAGTTGCATGGACAAAATACAAATTACAACCCTCAATGAAAAAACTGCGTGTGTCGAATAGTTTGTGTAAACCCATTTCCTGTTCAGAAAACCGTTCATAGGTTAAAGAATTTGAACTGAAAACTGTGATCCTTTTTCCCAAATGAAAATTGGAAACCCTATAATATAAAATTCAGCGGGAAATTGGTATCATAAGTCTGCAACCATTAGGCGCAACGTATTATCATCACCAAGTATGTCTGTCCAATAAGAAAATATAAATATTGTGCAGTTGGTCGAAACAGTTTCTAGTCGAAAAAAAATGAAAGAATTTGTATTATATGACTGCTATCATTCTTTTATTGCCCATTTCATCTCTCTGTCACCATGGTGATTTGTATATTATATAATCAAATACATGATAAAGATGTTTGTGATATCTATACGAATTTAAGATAATACTGTATATTTGCCTTTCTGACTGCAGGGCGGCTGAGATTACTTGATAACCAAGGATTTGTATAGTACAATTTCAAATCCTTGATAACCCATGACGTCCTTTAATTACATGTGACTAGTGCAAAACTCAATTTTATTCCACATAACTTGAATAAATTTCATGAAAATAAATGTTCGAAATTGGTGTGTGCATATTGTTAACTAAATTAAAATAGGCTGCAGCAGTGCTAATGCACATGTAACATAATCTGGCCGTGATGGGTTCAACCATTTTATTGAAGGTGTGTCAGTTATTGCATTATTTAACATACAACTGTTTATCCAGCTCTACAAGTCGACCTTGAAGTTAAAGATTAAATACAATTAAGTATTTCTTGATTACATAATGATTGACATAACACAAGTCTCACAAAATACCTGGGAAATTAATCAATAAACGACTTATCTCTCCCCGTTAAATAGAACAGTCCAAACATTTCACCCTGTACTCATTGAATGAAAGGATTTTGACAATGGCGGTGTGGGAAGTTATTCCCTTACTGATTTTACTTTTAGTTTTAAACAAAACAGTTTTAGTTTTTACACAGGACCAGTTTTTAACACCGCCTTACTTCAATCTTGCACAGTCGCAAGAAATAATAGCAAGTGCAACATGCGGAGTTGGAGTTTCAGGACGAGAGTTATTTTGTAAACTTACAGGTGCAACCGGCGAATATGCAAATAGATTTACACCAACTAATGAAGTTACTATAATGGAAGGACAAAATTGTGATCTTTGTGAGGTTCCTAGTTCTGAGGGAACCATCAGATCAACAAAAGAACATCCTGCAGAATTTGCTATAGATGGTACAGAAAGATGGTGGCAGAGTCCCCCTCTCTCCAGGGACTTGAAATACAACGAAGTCAACCTTACAATCAATTTAGGACAGGTAATATTATTAGTATTAAACAGTAATAAAAAGTCCGCATGCTGGAATTTAAGTGACTGATGAGGGGAGGGATTTGGTGTACATTACAGTTTCAATTTACTGAAAAGGGGGGGGGGGTCCCAGCTCACTCTTTCACATACACAAAATGTATTTCCTTGCTTTACTTTGTCTTCTTCTTGGATTTTGAGTAATTGATTAAACAGTATGACGATTATATATCGTTAAGTTGTATGCAGCTTGAAAGTAAAAAAATACAAATGCATGTTTATATTCATGTACAAATGTATGTAAAAAGGGGGGTCTGTCAATAGTTATATAAACATGAAAAAGTTAACTATAGATACAATTATACTTTTATTGTTAAAATTTAGGTTTTTTTGTTCTTATTCTGTACTGATATGACATCTAAGGCTCTAAGCCAAGGTAGCCAGATTAACAGTTTTGACAAAACCCATTAAATTCCCTAAGGGCTAAGAATAGTTCACAAATAAATGAAAATTTTCTATTTATCAAATTTTACTTTTGACACTTAAAAAAAATGCATTAATTTTTCTTCAAGTTGAATTGACTTAATTTGAATAATAAGATGTTGCAAGCATACCATTATCTACAATTATGAAAATATTATTCAACCTTTTTAAAATTAGTTTGACAGACTTTCATTGTAAAATAATTAAAGACTGTCGTCCTCTTTTTACCAAATAAAAGGTACAATGTATAGGAACATTTTGAACTCCCATACACGTATACATACATGTAGATAGTATCAACAATTACATAAGAATCCATTCATTCACTTTTTCACAAGAAGGTATTTCCTGTGCAGTAATATTTTCTCACTGACTTTCATCTGTGCGTGACCACCTCTTAACCTCTGAGGATTCTGGAAAAGTTGATTCATTATTAAGAGTTCATTTGTATCAAGTACTTATTATCCATTGTTAGAAATACTTTTAACCACAGTCAATCAAAATGTAAAAAATGCATATACTATGTACAAATGTATACATGTACATTTAATTTGTACCATCTTGCCTATTCTGCCTACAGAAAAACTTTGTAATGAACTTTCTGGTTAGTTTACTATATGTACATGCACTATAAAGAATAAATGTTGGATTCAAAAGATGTACAAAAGTACAAAAGGCACCTGATCCTTGTAACAATGTTGAGTTGTACTTGTGGAAAAAATTTGAACTTGTGAGTTAGGCTGTGATTTAACAATAAAAGTAAAAATAAACTTATCATAGAGATCCTAATTTCAGTACTTTAGGTACAAAATATGTATATATGTGTCTTAGGCCAAGATAGATACATGTATAAGTCTTTTCTGCTGCCCGACTGACCTTGTGTTTGATCACAAACCCTATAACATTTTATTCCCATGTCAAAAAATTATTCATGAAATACATGTAGGCTTTTGTGTCATTCGAGTTGACTACAAATCCTATTTTAGCTGACCTTTTCAGTCAAATTTGTGATAAGATTGACCAAAATTGATAGAAAAGTTGTCAGAACTTCAAAATTACAAAAGTCCCATAATGCATGTGCCAATTACCAGTATATGTTATGTAAATACTGTAATTGTATGTGTTATGTAAATATGGATTGGACTTGGAAGAAAAAACTTGTTATTTTCCAGATTTTGTCATGCAAAAAAAGATGGAATTGTGATCACCCTAATTTTTCATGACTGGAGGCATAAATCAAAACATACTTATATATTTTTTGGCCCTTAATATTTATGCACTTGTCGACCATACCATTCTTTATAAAACCTTAACCAGTGCATGAATACAGATAATAACCCATTTACATCACAATTAGGAAGTTCTTCATGCCATGAACTCTTTAAATTTAAATCTTTAAACCATTCAGAAGCTTTTAATCTTCAAACCATTTCACAAGCTCTAAATGGTCAAACCATTTCACAGGCTCTACATGTAAACTATATATCAAACCATTCTACAAGCTCTAAATGTTCAAACCATTCCAGTAGCTCTGAATCTTGATACCAATTCACCAGCTCTAAATTGTCAAACCATTCAAAAAGCTCTAGATTGTCAAACCCTTCAACAAGCTCTAGATTTTGATCATGAGAAATCAAAATGTGAAATAATGGATAAATGAAACTTTCATTATTTATACAGTTGAAGAAATAATGTGAAGACCCTTATATATAGGATTCTCAGGTTTTGATCTTAAAATCAATCCATTAAAAATTTGGAGACAGAAATTTCATAGATGTTGTCTTTTTGCCACCTCAGCGCAAATAGCTATAACTGGCAAGAATGTATAGAAACTTTATAATTATCAGAACAGAAATTGGAACATAGTGTTGTAAGATTATTGTAAGAAAGACTTTTATTTTAACTAGATTGAGAGATACTACATGTACACTTAAATTTCTGTGATAAAAGATAGGCGAAAGATACCAAATGGACATTCAAACTCATCAGTCCAAAATAAACAGGCAACGCCATGGTAAAAAAAGAAAAAGATCTAAAGACAAACAACAGTACACAAAACACAACATAGAAAATTAAAGACTGAGCAACACAAACCCCAGCAAAAACCTGGGGTGATCTCAGAACTAATGGAAGGGTAAACAGATCCTGCTCCACAATAATTTGGCAAATATATTTATATGTTTTGTGGCAGAGGACCCTAAGGGCCATCCAGTGTTGATTATGGTTTTTGTTTTGGTTTATTGTATTTACACAAAATGTACAAAGGAAATTAAAAAGTATTAACCAGTCATCTAAAAAAAAAATCATTTTAACTGTTAGTGTATCAGGCTTTGATAGAGTTAACTTTATTCTACATTGATTGTCATATTTTCATAAATGTTTTCATAAAATCTGTGAGTTCAACAACAGAAGCATGACGATGATGTTTCTGAAGAGTTTCAAGTAATGAAGGAATACACAGCTTATCTACATTTACATTTTACAGGAGCTTTGTCTTTCTTGTCTTTTTTAACTTTTACTTTATTTTTGAAGACCCATATATGATCAGGAATGATAAAAATTATATTTGGATTTTAAGAAGTCAGTATATAGTTTTTGGGTTATTCAAATAACCAATGTTTTGCAAAGAAACTTAATTTTCAAATGGTACTTTGGTCTAATGTAATGTTCATAAACATAAAAGATGTGAGTTGTAAATCTATTTTACAGAAACCCAACAAAACAAAAACCCTTAAGGCATCAACAAGTCAACTTATTGAATATTCTGTCTGGTAGTGCAAGTATTATTACTGCTGAAAATGTTTTTAGCATGGCCTTACAATCAGTGAAGAAAAACAAAAATTGCTTTCTTGCAGATTTTGTTTCTATGACAACCATATGACTTATCATAACAAGAACACATGTATAAAATTGCACATATATAAATGTGTAAATATGTTGCTTTTACATGTACCGGTATGTAATTTAAGAAATGGGAATTTATAAATTGTGATGAATGAATATGCAATTTAATATTCATTTTTTTTTATATATAATATTAGTTTCTTCAAATTTATACAGATTTATATGTACAGGTAGAAAAGAAGTGATTAAAAATATGCTCAATTTTGAAATACATAGAATTCCACATTACTGGTTTATTTTGTGTAAATTGATCTGTTGATATTTATGAATAGTGTCAGAAAACCATTTGATACATGGTTTTGGGTTACAGTTTACAACAATTAACATTTATCAATGTCAATAACTCTTATTTTCAATGTGAATTTATTCACAATTCGTAAATTTTCATCTCCAACAATTACATGTAGTCCCAAACATTTAGTTGAAAGTAAGTTCTTTATCAAGGGAAATAACTCTATATTATTTTTTATGTTTAAATAATAAAATCATCTGATTTTGACTTGATTCTTTATAGTTTTTCATAGTATGCTGTTCCTGTTTACAAGGGTGGAACATGTTCAGTCAATAATGATTTATAAATATAACTCAAAGTCATTTTAAAATCACAATTCATTGCTCAAAAGTTTAGCTTTATAAAAAAATGTGCAAGGATTTCCAATTACTTCTGTTATGTAATCATATTTAAATTTTAACAATTGTTTATCAACATAATTTATCAGATGTAATCTATCATTAACAGACTGGGATAAACTAATGCATTAGGAAATAAGTCAATAATACATAATGTAAATCACAAAGTGTATTTGTACATGTAAGTATATACATTTGTACATGTAAGTATATACATTTGTACATTTACCTACATGAAGGAGAACAAGGGGAAACATTTTTGAAGATGTAAGACACCCTGAAGAGGGCTGGATGCAGCATCTTTCAATTTTGGGCTTGCATGCAAGAACATAGATGAAAGGTCAATGTCATCTGATAATTTGGGTCATTAGGGTATATTTGTTTTTTGTATTTCATATTTATTTTTATATAAAAATGTTTTTCTGTTACAAATCATGATGTATTGTTTTATGTGTACATGTTATGCTGCCCATCAAGGGCCCTTGATTGGAATAATAAATATTCTTATTCTTATTCTTATTCTTATTCTATTTCACTGACATACTTGTTCCTTAGTATATTCCAACATGTTTGTTAAACATTTGTACAATGTACATGTACATATTTCACCCACTAAAGAGGTCACCTCATTTATTTAATGTCACTAAACTTAGTGCAATGGTTTCCAATGTTTTAAATATCTATGTTGGAGGTCATGCTAAAGTCAATGTCACCTGGTAGCATAATGCCAAAAAAAAAAAAGAGGTCCAAGAACTTGTTTCCACCATATTAATTTCAATTAACTTTTTAAAATAATACATTTAATCTAAGAAAAATTGAAAATTTGAACAATTTCAATAAATGATTCTTTATATATAATAATATGATTATAAAAGGATAGACTTCTCCTCATATCTTATCGTTTTTTAACATTTTTCCTGTAATACTTAACCATGTTGAACATCAAAATTATTTATTTTGTGGATAAATGAACTTTCATTATTTATACATTTGAAGAAATAATGTGAAAACCCTTATAGGATTCTCAGGTTTTGATCTTATAAATCAATCCATTAAAAATTTGGAGACAGAATTATATAGATGTTGGCTTTTTGCCACCTCAGCGCAAATAGCTATAACTGGCAAGAATGTATAGAAACTTCATAATTATCAGAACAGAAATTGGAACATAGTGGTGCAAGATAATTGTAAGAAAGACTTTTATTTTAATTAGATTGAGAGATACTACATGTACACTTAAATTTCTGTGATAAAAGATAGGCGAAAGATACCAAATGGACATTCAAACTCATCAGTCCAAAATAAACAGGCACCATATTAATTTCAATTAACTTTTTAAAATAATACATTTAATCTAAGAAAAATTTAAAATTTGAACAATTTCAATAAATAATTCTTTATATATTAATATGATTATAAAAGGATAGACTTCCCCCCATATCTTATTGTTTTTTAACATTTTTCCTATAGTTCTTAACCATGTTGAACATCAAAATTATTTATTTTGTAAAAATATTTCCTTTCTCCATTTGAACTGTACACGTATACCTAACAACAAAAATATTTTCATTTACCTGTGTTTTAAAGTAATTGCAAATGGCTGATATTTTTGTTCAAGCATATTGTTTTTCTTAAATTGTTTAACATTTCACAGCGGTATAACATGTTACTTTAATTATTCTTCCCTTAGTTTCTTTATTTTCTATTTTGTATTTACATTGTATCATAGATCAAATTTATTTGTTCAGTGTATGTTCACTAGTGTTAATATGTCTTTTGATTGAGTTAAGCCATTTCAATTGATAATTTATAGTGTGTCTTTTATGTTGTGATGTTACACTATTGTTTCAGATAAGGATGAAGGTTTGGTACCATTAAAACATTTAAACCCGCTGCAATTGTTTGCACCTGTCCTAAGTCAGAAATCTGATGTTCAGTAGTTGTCGTTTGTTGATGTGGTTCATAAGTGTTTCTCGTTTCTCCTTTTTTATATAGATTAGACCGTTGGTTTTCCCGTTTGAATGGTTTTACACTAGTAATTTTTGGGGCCCTTTATAGCTTGCTGTTTGGTGTGAGCCAAGGCTCCGTGTTGAAGACCGTACTTTGACCTATAGTGGTTTACTTTTATAAATTTTGACTTGGATGGAGAGTTGTCTCATTGGCACTCATACCACATCTTCTTATATCTATTAAGTTTAATTAGAATCAAAAGTGCATTATTTAGATAAAGAAAATTATAAAATTGGAAAAAATCCAAAAGTGTATTTCATCCTGCAAATGGGTCAATATTTATCTACAAATACAGATGCACAGATAAACCGAAGCAATATCAGTATAGAATACAGTTATTCCCTTCTGGTATCATTCGTCTGTTGCAAGAGAACAGTTTGCTTTCAAATTTTTGTTTTACATCACAGTTCATTTTGGTGTCCTCTTCAATTCATAGTCTCCATCCAAGCAATGTCAAATTCTTTAATGGCTCAGAAATTCAGTTTTATCCTTGCAGGATAAACATACTATGATAGTTGTCTCATTGGCAATCATACCACATCTCCCTATTTTTATGCACCCGCCGTAACGGAGGGGGCATTAAGTTTTACCCTTGTCCGTCCGTCCGTACGTCCCAAATTGGTTTCCATTCTCTAACTTTAGTTTGCCTCAACCAAATGTTAGGAACTTATACACAATGCTTATTACCACAAAAACAGATAAAGTTTGAATTTTGGTGGCGTCACTTTAACTGTTTTAAAGTTATGCCCCTTTACAAATGGAAAAATTGCTGAATTTTTCGTTTCCTTTCTCTTAAGTTTGCCTCAACCAAATATTATGAAACTTATACACAATACTTATTAGCACAAAACTTGGGTAGGGTCACTTTTACTGTTCTTCAGTTATGTACCTTTATTTGTACTTAAGACACTGAAAGGTCAACTGATTTTTTTTCGTAGTGAGTACAAATAAGTTGTGTATATTGCATATTTATTTTTAGGCTGTAATTTGGGTAGCGTCACTTTTATCTGTTCTTCAGTTATGTCCCTTTATTTGTACTTAAGAAACTGAAAGGTCAACTGGCTTTTTTCGTAGTGAGTACAAATAAGTTGTATATATTGCATATTCATTTTTAGGCTGGAATTTCTAGCTTTATTTTATCGTAGGATAAGTAACAAATACATGAAATAGATCTTTAGCTATAAAACTTTATTTATAGAGGAAACCAGTTGCACTGAAATTAGTACTTGGATCTTCTGTTGGCTAACATTTGTTTTCAAATGAAAACAGTTTTGATAAATGAAACAAAACAACATTTTTCTTTTCTTATATTCATATCTTGAATTATCAGTCAGGGGAATTACTTAAATGGGTGATTTAAGACACTTATTCAAGTTAAAAGTAAGAATAGTCTTTTTTTTAATAATCACCTATTTAAGTGGTACAAATAAATACTAGACTTAGTGATTTTATTTTATTGTACTTTAAATATATATATTACTAATGATCCTGGGACTAATTATGATGCTAAAATTATCAAACCAAAATCTGTGTTTATAAGATGGGGGTCATGTCAGGTGATGACCCTGTACTCAATCTAGGATAATGTAATAAAATTCACTTGTTTAAGTATCTTAACTCAATTTCTTCCAAAAAATCGCTTCTTTAAGTATTATTTATTAATTTACCCCACTATTTTCAACACCCATGAACAATAAAATTTTATTACTTGATCTGAAAGCTAAAACCATGAATTTTATAGGAAAATACTCCCACTGCTGGAAAAAAAGTATCAGATCATTATGTAAAGCCTTCAATATAGCAATTTGTTCAACAAATTTAGAATTTAGAGATGAAAGATTGCATTAAAGACATAAACCTTGCTACTTGAAAGAAGCAAAAGGTCCATTTTTTTTTTCAATTGTACTAATAATTAGATAAAATCTAAAATTGTATGTTTAAAACTTTGGTAAAACTACACAATCACAGAATTTCTAAATTGCTACTTAGATGAATTATTTAAAAATCACTTATTTCAGTAATTCCCCTGACTGAATATATATGGTTAACAACATATCATTTCTTAATCAAGTTTGATAGAAATTTCTGAAACTGTATATTAAAATTTGTGATGATTTACAACGACCCTATAGAAATGGTGTGTATAATTCGTCTTTCATCTGTAAATTTGTCATTAGAATTAAATTCTCCTAGGTGATCATTTAAATTCTTAAGTGTCAGAGGGTTTGAAGAAAATGATATCAAGCAAGTGTTGAACCATATCATTGAATTGTTCCTTATTTTTTAATTTACAACAATGACATTACTTTAAGAAAGTCCAAAGAGGTACATAGTTTTGTTTAAAAAAATGTCCTATGATCTCTTATTTAAGATGTTATTTTTGGGTTTATTTAAGAATTTGCATGACCTGTTTGTTATGTACATTTTGTGTACTCTGTTAGAATAGGAATACATTTGAACCATCACCCCATTAGACATGTTATAGTTGCATTTAATCTCATCCACAATCTTGCCCCAACTTCCAAATAGTAGTATATTTTAGCTACAGGTATATAATCTTCAGTTTTCACTAGAAATAATTATCATTTCTTCCTATTCATAGCTGATGTATTATTGGTAGCAGGAAATCATTCATATCGTTCTTTGGTAGACAGCTTTAAATACAAAAAATACAAAAATTAAATATCTAGTTTTAAATAGATTGATTTTTTACTGTATTGCTGACTAAGCATAAAATGTTATCTTTTGATACTTGTATATAAACTTGAAATTAATATTAGGTTAACTTTCCTGCCTAGTGATAAATTTTCAGATACTTTTAGCTTTTGAACAAAAGTAGATAAATTTCAAAGGCCAAGGAAAATTCTTAATCATATTTCTCAAATGCAAAATCCATTTACTTAATCATATTTATCAAATACAAAATCTATTTACTGAAATAGTAAATTGGCTGCTTACTGCTTAATAATTTGTGTGTTATAGATTCTGTTTATGTAGTTCATACGTGTTTCTCGTTTCTCGTTTTTATATAGATTAGACCGTTGGTTTTTCCGTTTGAATGGTTTTACAGTAGTAATTTTTTGGGGCCCTTTATAGCTTGCTGTTCGGTGTGAGCCAATGCTCCGTGTTGAAGGCCGTACCTTGACCTATAATGGTTTACTTTTATAAATTGTAACTTGGATGGAGAGTTGTCTCATTGGCACTCATACCACATCTTCCTATATCTATTTTCAATTGGAATATTTGATCTAAAATTATGTTTTATAAATCCTAACTTTTTGTTTATTTTTTGTTGTCATTTTCATTTCCTGTCCTAATGTAAAAAGACGCATTTCAATTGCTTAAATTATTTGATTCTTTTCATCAGAAATATTTATTATCACACCAGGGCTCGCACTACATGGAAATAATGGAGGGAAGCAACTTCTCTTTTTGAGGCTGGCTGAAAGAAAGTGGGAAGACATTAGGGATAATTGTGACACTGATTTACAGATGCACAGTCAGATTTATCCATATTCGTCTTTTACATATATATATCTATTTTCTATAAAATTATGGACTCATAAATATAATGTATTTTCAGGAATTTCATGTTGCTTACATCTTCATCAAGATGGCCAACTCCCCAAGACCAGGAGTTTGGGCTTTAGAAAGATCACTGGATTTTGGTAAAACCTTTCAACCCTGGCAATACTTTGCAGATACTCCAAGCGATTGTATCAAATTCTTCAACACTCCAGCAGATCAAGAAATCGCTGAAGATGACAGTGTCATTTGTACTACAGAGTTTTCCAAGATAGTCCCCCTTGAAAATGGAGAGGTAAATACCCCGAACATTGTTAATAATACTCAAAATGTTTGTTAGAGAAACTAATCAATGATATGCATGCCATTATTTTTACTACCATAAATTCAGAAAGTATTGGGAGCATTTTTTATTGCGATTTTCAAAGAATGGACATAAATGCTAGATTAATTATTGTGATTTCAGGTAAATCTGCATACAGATATATGTATTAGATATCAGAATGCAAGTTCTTATTATTGTGATACTCCCCTATTCTCATTATTCGCATTAATAAAAACCTCGAAATAATTTTTTAATTTACAGTATTATATATCATGTTTAGTAGTTTTTATCCAGAGCACATATTACATTTGTTTGTTTGAGAAGTAGTGTAGAGTAAGGCTTAAGAAAAAAATTGGTGGGTTTAGTATTGACCAAATTTTATAAGACTGATGCATCTAGGTCAAGATTTATTCTGGTGATCTTTATAAGACATACGGTTCCAGTATTATATAGATAACTTTACTGGAAGTTCTCCATTTGTAGTCTTGTCAATGAACAAAATGACATTTATTATCATGGTATTGAACTATTTAGTCCCAAATTGTGACAGAACTTTAATGATACAGCAACAGATATCTTGATGAATATTTAATGGTGAACTGATGGAATCTTCACAAAAATGCTAGGGTTGAAGCTCAAAATTAGGGTTGGTCAGGAATCCATAAACACACATAATTTGTTTACCTTAGGGCATACATCTTTAGCCTATGTAACAACAGGAGAAAGAGAGAGGGCAAATTTTCATTGTATCAGTATTTACACAAGAAATGATACATTCATAGACTCGAGTCAAATCTTCCTTTAAATTTGTTTAAATCCCATTTCTTTTATATTTTAACAATATAAAGGAATTAATCAGACAAATTTGTGTCTTTTTGTTCCCTTTACAATCTTATAAAGTAACTTCTTCTTCAAGTTATACTTATTTTAAATATCACGATAAACATGAACAATTTTAATCAACTAGACCAACAATTTTTTTAAAACCTTTGAAAATCTAGATATAAGTGAACAATCCTTATTAGCTTAAATAATCATTATGAAAAGAATTTAATAAACGGTACAACTATTTATGATTAAATGATAGTTTATATAACATGCATTGTACAACATCTATTTATACCAAAATTTAAAATTTTTATGTCCCCGTCGTAGGCAATGGGGGCATTAAGTGCTACCCTTGACCTTCCTTGCGTCCGTCAGTCCTTCCCTTTTCATTTCTGCACTCTAACTTCAAGTTTGCACCATGCAAATTTTAGGAAACTCGTACACAATGCTAGGAACCAAAACTTGCAGACTGAGTTTGAATTTTGGAAGCAATTCACTTACCGTTCTATAGTTATGCCCCTTTATAGCTTGGAAAATTTCAATTGAGTGGGGGCATTCGTGTCCTCAGACACATTCTTCTTTTAATTTTATATCACATCACATGGTTTGAAAACTATATTATATATATATTTTACATTCTTCAGATATAGACATTAAATCTTCCTTTAAATTAGTTTAAATCCCATTTCATTTATATTTAGCAATATAAAGGTATTTATCAGACAAATTTCTGTCTTTTCTTGACTCTTTACTAATAAAGTGGCTTCTTCAAGTTCTACTTATTTTAAATATCTTGATAAACATGAACAAATAAGGTTTGATATACTACTGTGTTAGTATAAGGTTATATCTACTTGATAATGTCAACAGTAGATTTATTGTATGGTTTGTAAGTACTTACGAAATGTTTGGATAAATATTTTATGGCCAAGTAATTTGACTTCCAATTTGTGATATATAGTTGGTATCTTTTACGTTGGTCTGGTACCTTTTACATTGGTCAAGAGTAAAAGAAATTCATTTGAAAAAGTTTACATGATTTTTATTAAACAAATTGAAATAAGCATCGTTTTCCTTTGATTTGATCTTGAAGTTAATTTATATAATCTTGTAGACATATAAATGATTACATTTCCTGTACACTTTGATAATTGTACTTATTTCATTGTGAAATTACAACCAAAAAAGGACATAGTGCATTGTTAAGGCTCCTTATAAAAATTAGAAGATGTGGTATGACTCTAAAGAGACAACTATCCTCCAGAGACCAAGTTGTGTAGATAAAAGAAACTATAGGTCATCATATGGCCTTCAACAATGAGCAAAACCCATACCATAAATCAATCTATAAAAGGCCAAGACATGACCAGATGTCAAACAATTCAAATAATAAAACTAACAATTTATGTACAAAACAATAAATGAAAAAAATATGATATGCAGCAACAAACAACAAGCACTGGCTTCTAACTTTAAATAAACATATGACATACAGAACTAGCCCGTGAAATATGTTTCAACTTATCATAATTTAATGTTGACTATTTCAAGATGAACTGGGCAACATGCAAATTCAAATGTTCTTTATGATTTTTGGCCACCAACATTTCTGTCAGTCATAAAAGAAATTAAAAAAAAACTACAATGTACCTCTGCCTTCTACAGCTTAATTTATCCTGCATCAAAAGATTCAAAAATAAGAGAAACAGCTAGATCATTAGAAGTTGTATAACTAAGGCATAATTTGATATCAATTAACCTTTAAATTGTTCTTTGTTGATAATGGTTGAGTACACGACACAAATTTAAAGCATAGATTATTTGATTTTCACTAGATTGTTGTATCCTTGGTTAACAACAGACCAAATGCAAAGAATTTCACATTTTCTGAGAAGCTACAGGACTGGACACAGGCGACCAATGTCAGACTTCGTCTCCTGAGAACAAAAACATTGTTAGGACATTTGATGGCTGTGGCTAGACAAGATCCAACTGTCACTAGAAGGGTAAGTTAGAACAGTGTTTCAGACCAGACCAACTTTATACTTACAAAAATCTTGATATAGTGAATAATAGGATTGTGAGTTGTCAACGTATATTTGTTCCGCCTAACAGAAGTTCCCCTGGAAACTGTTATAAACAATTTCATCATATCTGTTCCTGTTGGAACAAATATTCTATACCCTTTATTTCGTACGGGACAAATACTGTTATATTTGTTCCAGTGTAAATAATATTACAGAATATTTCTTCCACTTAGAACTTATATTATGAAGGAACTTCTATTTCGTGACAGAGTTTCTTATTTAGTTAAAAGTATTTATAGGAATGGTGTAAATTCTTCACTCTTTTTATAGATAGGATCAAATATTTGATTTTGTCATCACTTAATTATCCTCTAAAAAATCTCTTGAGACCACTGGACCAATTTAATTCAAACTTGACCTGAATGATCCATAGGATATTTAGTATATATTTTTTTAACCTATCTATCAACCACCATAGCTGCTTTAAAATTCTTACAAGTAAGATTTTATTTTTTGTTAACAAGAATGGTCAACAACAGTTTGGCTTGCCATTCCCCCCAACCCCCAAAACTATTGAAAAAGGGTCCCATTGATCATTATAAACTTACATACATCAGCCACATGAAATAATGAATAAAAACAGGTAAACAAGGTGTATGCCATATAAACAACTAAAAGAGTAAAAGATAGTTTTTATGTATACAAAAGCTTAATGATACTGTTGTTTGTCTATTGGTCCTTTTCTTTTTTTGCCATGGCGTTGTCAGTTTATTTTTCGACTTTTGAGTTTGAATGTCCCTTCTGTATCGTTCACCTCTCTTTTTTATCATAAATCTGTTTTATTATCCATTTTAGGATTAAGCAGAAAATATTAGGAATTTAGCAATTTCATTCTTTCTTATCGTAAACATTAGAAAAATAAAATTTCATGCAGTGTCAATGATGATGAGAAAAAAGGTCAGGAATTTGATGTGGATAAATAATATGGGAGTTGCAATTTTTTTTTGTGATAATTCATTATCTGTTTTGCAGTATTTCTATAGTATCAAAGACATATCTCTTGGTGGACGATGTGTGTGTAATGGCCATGCCGAATCATGTGATCGAGACCCTAACAATCCCCGCCTCCTCACATGTAAATGTCAACACAACACATGTGGAGAACAGTGTAACACTTGTTGCCCAGGATATGTACAGAAGTCATGGATGCCTGCCAAAGCTGGACACCCATTTGTTTGCGAACGTAAGTTTCAAAAGCTTACAATCTCTTTCAGAGTATCTTCACACTTGTATAATCAATCACATTTTAGTTTGATAACATTACCAATTCATTTTTAATTAACATATAATTAGAAACTCAAGAAAGGAAATTATTGTCTCAGTTTTATAAATAAAACAAATGATTCGATAAAAGCAATTTTAAAAACACCTCACCAGAAAGAAGACATTAAATCTTGTTTACACTGAATAAATTCTGGCCAATCAAAGTTAATGTAGTAGGTATGTTGGGCCAGTAATTTTACAACCTATCATATTTTAACAGCCTGTCAATGTTATGGACATACCAATGATTGTTTATATGATGCTGAGGTAGACAGACTAAAACAGAGTATAGATGTCTATGGTAAATACGTAGGAGGTGGTGTATGTCAGAACTGTAGGGTAAGTATATATAAATGTATTAAACAAAGTAGTCAATATTAAGGGAAGGAGATGTGGGTTAATTGAATGAGACAGAAACCCAACATCATACAAAAAAAAAACCAAAAGAGGCAACTATTGGACAACAGTGTATTTCACTTTCGAGGTTGCTCGGTATGCATGAATCAAATTAAACCATTGTTTAAAACCAATTGAAAGAGTGATAATTTGTATTATTAGCTTATCAAATAATAAAACAGATAATGACAAGAAGTTTAAAATACTGTTTAACATAAATACCGATCAAACAATTTTAGTTCACTTAAGAAAGCAAGCAAAGTTAAATTTCATACACCAGTAAAGTATACCCTTGAATAATTTAGCTGCAAAAATGAACCTAATTTTATTTCTGAGTAAATGATATTAATTTTCAGGACCACACAGAGGGAACTAACTGTGACAAATGTGTAGCTGGGTTTTATAGACCAGCTGGTGTGGACAGGGCTGCCAGGGATGCATGTAGACGTATGTTAATTTCTTATATACTTGAAAAATACAAAGGATTAAAGTTTGGATGATGACGCTCTATTTTTCCAAATTTCTGACTATTGATACTGACAATTACAAAATGATTATGCATAACAAGTGCTATTGTTCATTTTTGATTCAGCCATGCTGGATCTATGTGATCACTCTGGATTTGGAGATGGTGCTAAATTCCAAGTTGAAGACATATCATGAAAATAATTATTTGTTTCTATGACTTGCAGAAACTTTATACACCATTTAATCATCAAATATCAACTTTTGATATGTTAATTGTCCTTGAAATAAGAAAAGGTTTGGCGAACAACTTCATTATTTTAGATATACACTTGCATATAGTTCCTTAGTAAATCAAAATTTATATTAAATTGCCATTTATTAATTAATGTGGAAAATGTTACTTGTCAAGTTTAAGCAGTTGATAAGAATTATGAAAGTGTTTTATCCTGTAAGCCATTGAATAAAATTTGACTCAAGATGTGTCACAAGATTCCCACACTTTTTTGAAATGCTATTATTCCCATTCTTTCGTTGGGCAAATAAGAGTATTGATACAATAGAAGTATGAATGACAACTGTCACGATTTTCAAACAATTACACTCAAAGGTGTTAGTATTAATTGGATTCAACTCCATTCAAAAGCAGTCTTAATTGACCACAGTTAATATATCATGACAGTTGAGAATCATACTGGTATTGAGGTCAAGAATTTGTGTTTTCAATTTATTACACATCTAACTGAATACACAAAATCTTGACTTCAATAGTGTACCTATTATTTATTTTGATCAACACTACATAAAATTATTCTGTTAATTTTGTGTGAAAGCTGACGCTTAATTAAGATGTTTTTCTTTTAAAAGAAAAGACTAAAAAATAAAATCTGTATAAAAAATGCAACAAGATTTTATTTCACTTGTAAAATCAGTGTCATAATCATCTGATGTAAGTTAATAATTAAGGTCTATTTAAGTTACAATTATCAGTAATTTGGTTGAAACAATAAATTTATTGCATAACTCTTACCTGAGTATTTTCTGCAATACAATTTATTTGTATATTCCCCATTATATTGCTATTTAACAGGAATTGGAATTATCTCAGCATTAGGTATTTGTACATGTATATTTGAATACAGGAAATGTATTTTTTCCTTAATCATAAATGAAGAATGAACACCCATTTAGATAAAAATTAGTTATTTATTTTTGTTGTTGTTGAGAAAGGGCATTTTTAATGCCTCTTTCTGGAAATTATTCAGCCAATTATTATTAATGGCATATAGAAATATGCTACAAGCTTGAGGATTTCCCATAACATTCTTGTCAAAATCATTTAATTTCAAATGTTTCTAAAAAAAAGAAGATGTAAACAAATATGACAGTGCCTTCAATTGAAATACCAAAATGATTTGCATCAATATTGCAAAATTCTCCATCTTGTTGGCAATAGAATAGATATTTGACAGTGAGATTATGGAAATGGTAATAAAAAAGAAATATTGAAAGTATGGTAAGAAAAAAAGTCAAACTAGCTACAAAATTTGCTGGATCACAACATCCACGATGCTTTGATTTTCCATCAGTCTGAAAGCCAACACTGTATGCTGTTTTCGCTTTTGTCTTTCACAGCATGTGTATGTGACCTCAAATTCTCTACTGGTGATTGTGAAGATGAAACAGGTAGATGCAAGTGTCGTCCAGAATACACAGGTCAAGATTGTGACAGGTAAGAACATTTTGTCCAGAATACACTGGTAAAAAATTGTGACAGTTTCAGAAAATATTATCCAGAACACACAGGTTGGTATTGGGACATACAAGTTAACATGCCATAAACAAGTAAAAATCAGGATAGTAACAGGTTTTCATGATACCATGCAATTGACCATTTTCGAGTCATGTCCTTCCCCGGAAAAGTTCGTCAATTATGCACGCCTTTATGACTTCATTTACCAGATAGAGGGTACCACATGTATCCCTGCACTATAAAAGTTCATCAAGCATCTTTGTGATCATTATGCAGGCTAATCTAGAAATAATATTTTTTCCGTAAGTACTTAATCACAATTCCCTAATGACAGCAGTGCTGATTATCAATTATAAGAATTTAATTTGCCGAATAATTAGGGCAATATAGCATCATATTTTTTTCAACCACTGGATCAACATGGGAAGGAAGTGACGATGCCCCTAAACGCACGAATGATGTTCACTAAAACCAAAGTTTTTGACGGAAATGCAATTGATAGAAAGTGGTCTATTAGCAGGGTTCTCACCAGGGCTTCCAAAATTATTTTTTGCCAGCCGGACATTTTATATATTATCCCGATTTTAATCCCTTAAGACTAAATAAACAAAAGGCAATTATGGTAATAAGTTGCCGAGTTGGCCATCCCAATGATTGACATTAAAAAGAAACGATATTAAACTTTCTTTGATTCAAATTCGAAGTTCTGATGTAAACTGTAAAATTGGTAGTGCACCATTCGAAGTGTGCAACATCAGCGTACTTATATCTGCCTTTGACTCTTTATTTGTGCAAAATAACTTTGTCAAAAACTTTACTTTCGTTTTTAAATCTGATTCCGGATGTTATCTTGACAATGGTAAAACATGGACCAGAGACGTAAATTCCGTGTACGTTTGCAAAGCATGAATGAGTGTAAGTAGCTCTTTCTACGTTATTTCATCAAGAAAATATTCGAAATAAACATGAGATAAAGGTATCAATGACAATTTAAGCATTTTTGAAGAAATTAGGATGCATACTTAAATTTCACACCTGCACACACGTGTACTAGTTCAAACAACGTGGTTATGACGATTTTTCATTTTCACCTTTTTAATTTTTTCATCAAATCATATTTGTAAACGTATTTCTGATAATTTAAATCATTTTTATACGACCGCAAAAAAATTTTGTGGTCGTATATTGGTATGACGTTGGCGTCGTCGTCGTCGTCGTCGTCCGGCGTCGTCGTCGTCGTCCAGCGTCGTCGTCCGAATACACATTGGTTTTCGCACTCTAACTTTAGTTTAAGTGAATGGATCTTTTTGAAATTTTACCATAAGGTTAAATACCACAAAAGGAAGGTTGGGATTGATTTTGGGGGTTATGGTACCAACAGTTAAGGAATTAGGGGCCAAAAAGGGGCCAAAAATAAGCATTTTCTAGTTTCCTGACAATAACTGTGGAACGGTGTATGGATCTCTCTGAAATTATACTACAAGTTTCCATACCACAAAGGGATGGTTAGGATTTGCTTTGGGGGGTTATGGCTCAAACCGTTTAGGAATTAGGGGCAAAAAAGGGGGAAAAACAAGGTTGTCCTGGTTAATGGACAAATACTTTAGTACAAAACATAATTTAAAGCAGTGTAAGGGAGATAAATCAAATTCATCATTGAAATTATCTCCCTTACACTGCTTTTAAATTATGTATAAAGTAATGGTTAATGAACAATAAAGATAATTTAAACAAGGTAAGGGAGGTAATCCGAATACAATGTTTTGGTTACTTCCCTTACACTGCTTTTAAATTATGTTTAAAGAAATGCATATTTATAAAGGAAGACTAGTAAAAATATCTGCAAATGTTGCATCATTTTTTTTTACAAAAAAATCCATATGAAAGATTTGACACTATATTTTTAATTCTATTATAAAATAGATTAAGTTAGCACTATGGTAAATTTAAATGGGTAAATATGGTTGCCAACTCCATTGGAAATTTGAATTGAGATTATGACCATATCTTGAGGGAAAGAGTTTTTTGGGGAAAAAAGGGGGGGGGGGGGGATAAAAAGAAATTGTGGGGGGTCAATTTTTTCTCATTTCAGATTTCAGAAATTAAAAAGAATTATTTTTCAAATATTATTTTTTTTCAAATTTCAAATATTGAAAAATTTCAAGAAGTAATCTTTAATTGCACAGTATGGCGCATTAGATTTGTAAAATCTTTGATCACATTTATTTATTTGTTATGCTGAATCTAACAGTGTATTTAGATTTTTAATTTTGGGTCCAGTTTTCAAAATAGTCTACATTAAGGTCCAAAGGGTCCAAAATTAAACTTTGTTTGATTTTAGCAAAAATTGAATATATGAGGTTCTTTGATATGCTGAATCTAAACATGTATTTAGATTTTTGATTTTTGGCCCATTTTTCAAGTTGGTCCAAATTGGGGTCCAAAATTAAACTTTGTTTGATTTCAACAAAAATTGAATATATGGGGTTCTTTGATATGCTGAATCTAACCATGTATTTAGATTTTTTATTTGTGGACCCCGTTATCAAATTGGTTCATATTGAGGTCAAAAGGGTCCAAAATTAAACTTTGTTTGATTTCATCTAAAATTGAATTATTGGGGCTCTTTGATATTCCAAATCGAACCGTGTATTTAGATTTTTAATTTTGGGTCCTGTTTTTTAAATTGGTCTACATTAAGGTCCAAAGGGTCCAAAATTAAACTTAGTTTGATTTTAACAAAAATTGAATTCTTGGGATTCTTTGATATGCTGAATCTAAACATGTGTTTAGATTTTTGATTATGGGCCCAGTTTTCAAGTTGGTCCAAGTTGGGGTCCAAAATTAAACTTTTTTTGATTTCAACAAAAATTGAATATATGGGGTTCTTTGATATGCTGAATCTAACCATGAATTTAGATTTTTTATTTGTGGGCCCCGCTATCAAATTGGTTCATATTGAGGTCAAAAGGGTCCAAAATTAAACTTTGTTTGATTTCATCAAAAATTGAATTATTGGGGTTCTTTGATATTCCAAATCTAACCGTGTATTTAGATTTTTAATTTTAAGTCCCGTTTTTTAAATTAGTCTACATTAAGGTCCAAAGGGTCCAAAATTAAACTTAGTTTAATTTTAGCAAAAATTGAATTCTTGGGGTTCTTTGATATGCTGAATCTAAACATGTGTTTAGATTTTTGATTATGGGCCCAGTTTTCAAGTTTGTCCAAGTTGGGGTCCAAAATTAAACTTTGTTTGATTTTAACAAAAATTGAATATATGGGGTTCTTTTATATGCTGAATCTAACCATGTATTTTGATTTTGGACATTGGACCATAATAGGTAAATTAAAAAAATTCAAGTTCTTAGACCACATTCTTTCTGTGTCAGAAACCTATGATGTGTCAAATATTTAATAACAATCCAAATTCAGAGCTGTATCAAGCTTGAATGTTGTGTCCATACTTGCCCCAACTGTTCAGGGTTCGACCTATGCGGTCGTATCAAGCTGCGCCCCAGCGAAGCATTTTATGACTAAATGAATTAGATGTAAACCGCTGAAATGTAAGAAAATAACTTTGAATAGACCGATCAATGTCCGGTTCAAAAAAGTTTACCTGTCACCTGAACAGGTAAATTTCAGCTGTTCGACAACTAATTAGCCTTGATTAAAATGAGAAGGTATTAAAGTAGGGGTTGTTTTGATAGTACTTAATAATCATGTCACTTTTATGACCGGAAAAGTGTGGCTGTTAAAGGCAAAAGGTTGGGTCAAAAAGATCGCGAATTTTGTTAAAATGACCGTCTCTTAAGAAAGCCTTGAAAACTAAAAAGTAGATGACCGTTTCATGCTTTGCCCAGCCGGACTTTTACCGGACATTATACAAATGTCCGGAATATATGACCGTTTTGGAAGCCTTGATTCTCACTAAGGATTTTTGAAGGCGAGTCCAGGGACTCATCATTTTTGGCCATGGCGAGTCCAGCAGTGAAAAGATGAAATTTTATTAATATATATGATATAATTTCTGTCTCTATGACAAAATAGAGCAAGGAAATGACATCAAATCTATATTATTTTTTAACTTTTGTATAAAATGATGATATATGTGCTCAGTTGATACAACATTTTACAATTTTGACGATCTTTGGACTCACAAGTTTTGAAATTGATGAGTCCAGACAGATTTTGATGAGTCCAGGGCTCATGGACTCACCTTTAAGTGAGAACCCTGTATTAGTTTTATCTCTGGTGTAATACCCCTGGTATTTATTAAGTGTCTTCAAGAGTATACAGGTTGAGAATCAAAAAAGTTTTTTGAATATTGTTGTTTCCTTTATAAACACATTTTCAACACATGAATATTGTTGTCTCCTTTATAAACACATTTTCAACATAAAAAATAGATTAAAATAGTCAAATATTTATATCTGTTATTTTTAAAGTATAATCCTGCATGTTTAAACACATGTTTTAATACATAGTCTGCCAGGAGCAAATCACACATGGGCTGCTCTATTACCAGTAAAAGGGTGGAATCATAACCCTAACAGGTAAAGAAAACACAGGGTTACGTTTTAGTATTTCAGGTTAATATATTGACAAGGCTTTTTTTATATTGATATTCCTTCAAAGGGAGATAAATTATATTTTAAAATTTTTTATTGTACATCAATGAATTGCATAATTCTTAGAAAAAATACTACAATTTATAATATCTGTACAAGCTAGTCATAACATATATTTAGGTATCAAATGAAGTTTCTTTTTTCTGTATATACAGATGTAACACAGGTTTCTTTGGTTACCCAGACTGTATACCATGTGATTGTGATTTCTATGGTACAGTGGACAATATTTGTACTGTGGCTGGAGGAAGCTGTCCTTGTAGACCAAACTTTGATGGACAGAAATGTGATATGTGTTTACTTGGCTACTACAACTTCCCAGATTGTATTGGTATAATCTATTTTGAATGTTAGACTTTATAAAAAGGGATTTAAAGGATGCAATTGCCTGGTTTTGATAGGCTTAGGAATTAAAAGTCTGTTGAAAACATGAAAACTGGACAAAGAAGTAGTTGCTACTGGTTATTGGTCTTAAAAATTTTCAAAGGATTGTGATAAGTTTGTCTCTGATAGGAAATCTATTATGAATGATAGTAAACTTCATGCTGTAATTAGTATCAAAAACTATCCTGAACACATCATCTCATATCTGCAATAATGGAAATTCTCAATGTAATATGAAAGTGAAATATTTGATTGAGGACCAAGTTAGTGCACAGATCAAATGTACTTGAAACTTGTCTCTGATTTCAAATGGTGAATCTAAGTTTTGATGTAAATATGGATTAAACAGCCATGAAAGGACAGTAAATTCATTAATTTGGCCAAATTACACAAAAACTTGACAATTTCAATCACAAATGCTTAAAAATAATATAGAGCAAAACCCAAGTTCACATAGGTAGTCACAAATGATGTGTATCTTAATATCTATTCACTGGTTTTTTTTTGATAATTTGACAAAAATATTCTTGAAATAGGCCATTTTCTGCTTACAATCTAGATAATCTCCTCTTTAATGACATTACAGTCAAATAGCAGCTAAGGTAATACTTGCATTTTCTGAAAATCTTTCTGTTTAAGTTTAAAGTCTAGAACATGTGATTAGTAATGGTTTATTACTATTTTTGTTGAGTTTTTAACAGGACCAAATAAGCCCCAAAATGTATTTTTTCTTTTGCAGTATGACCTGAAATCATACGATTATTATATATCTATCCCAAAGTGAACAATTTACTTGAGGAAAATTCACTATCCAATACACGGCATTGTTAATTTTGAGTAATTGCAAATTAAAACAGTGTTTCGTTTCTTCTAATAAAAGCATGATTATTTCTTTTTAGCTTGTGAGTGTGATACAAGAGGGTCAAGGTCAAATGTATGTGATGTTACCTCTGGACAATGTACATGTGAAGCTAATTATGCTGGAAAGAACTGTAACGAGTGTGCAGATGGTTATTATGACTTCCCTAGCTGTACATGTAAGTAATGAGTATTAGTTATAATGATTATTTACAGGTGACATAAACAGTAGCTAAAACCCTGCATTGCTAACGAACAATAAATGTTAAAAAGGAGAAAAGAATTTTAGCTTTCACAATTAGTCTTAACTGATTGATTTTTGAATTGTTAAAAACAGAAAGTTTTGAAAATTCTGCAAAAAGTTACTATATGAAGTTTTTTTAAAAGAATTTGGTAAAGCTATTTTTGTAAATAATGAAAGTTAGAATGCTAAAATAGTGAAGATTGATATTTTTGTGCACTAGATATGCTTCAGATTTACATCCAACAAAATGTCAGCTTTTGTGTATTCTTGGTTCTCAGGATTGCCTAACTGAATTTTTATCTGTTCAGCAGATTGTTTGATTGTTTTTGCTTTAGACATGATGTTATTTGTGAATAAGTCAACTGTAGAACTAAACATTGATGGATTTCTACAAAATTCTATTAATTTTAAAGTACTGTTTAAAAATTACAGAACCTAATTATAGTTTTGAAGAATAAGTTTTTATGTATCACCTGTTTAAGTATATACTTTATTTTCAGTGTGTGACTGTGATCAGAATGGAGCACATCCAGAAATCTGTGACAAAGTGACAGGACAGTGTCTTTGCCAAGATAACTTTGTGGAGCCTAGATGTGATAGCTGTAAACCTAGCTTCTTTAGGTATCCTATTTGTGAAGGTAAGGTTGATATTTTATTATTAACATTGTTACCTTACTTTTTTGTGTAGATAAGGCACCAGTATTGCATTAATAAGGGAAACAACATTGTAGTAGTAAAGGAACCAGTATTAAAATAGCAAGTAAACCAGTATAGTAGTAGTAAGGAAACAGTATAGTAGTAGTAAGGGAACCAGTATTGAAATAGCAAGTGAATTTTATAGTAGTAGTAAGGGAATCAGTACTATTTGATATACTTGAAAGGAGATGTGGGATATACATCAATGAGACGGCAACCAAATGACAAAAACAACTAAAAGACATCTAGGTATAGATTATTGGAATTTCTGCATATTGATATTGTTAAATATTAGCCGTGAGCCACAATGTGAAACTTTTTGGCAATTGAGCACAGCAAAGGAGCAACAAAGCATTACATTTTTATTGTGCTTTTTATGCCCCCGCCATAGCGGAGGGGGCATTAAGGTTTACCCTTGTCCTTCTGTACGTACATCCCGAAATTGGTTTCCATTCTCTAACTTTAGTTTGCCTCAACCAAATATTATGAAACTTATACACAATGCTTATTACCACAAAACTCAAATCATGTTCGAATAAGGATGGTTTAACTTTTACCGTTCTGGAGTTATGCCCCTTTATCACTTTAATACAAGCTGGGGCATCATCTGTGTCCCATGGACACATTTGTGAACTGAACACCCTTTTAAAGTTTCTGCTTAGTTTTTTATGTAAGTAAATGTATTATTAAGGGATCAAGCTGTTAATTACCGGCACATGAAGATAATGCTTTTAAAATTATGGTTATGAGTGGATAAGTATATATAATTATAAAAAGTCAGCAATTTGAAAGACAATAAATCCAACAGTAGAAAACTAGTACTATTGATGTTTTATTTTTGATTGAAGCATGTAACTGTAACCCTGTTGGATCTGGTAGTGAAGTATGTGATCTAGGCAGTGGACAGTGTCCATGTGGTCTTAACTTTGCTGGACTTCGATGTGAACATTGTGCTGCAGGCTTCTATAGATATCCAGATTGTTCTCGTAAGTAAAATGTGGAAAGTGTGATTTTATCTTCATTGGATAGAGAGAACTTTATGTGAATAGTCTGATATTATATTCAATGGATAGAGAGAACTTTAAAGGAGATGCAGCGTTGTATTCCATGTTTACATTTATTTGTGTACTGTATTATTAAATTAATCTTGAGTTAGAAATTTGGTCTCGATACAGTTTTTCTTTTGATGAAATCAACAAACATGAGTAATATTCAAGATTTATGTAAAATTATGGTGTTACCCAATGTAAAGGTTAGCTGGTTCAAGATGAAGAAATGTACAAAAAATTAGATATCCACAGACTTTATGGCATTGATTTTTACTGCACTTTTTTTTGTTGAATCTTAACATACACATATGTCCTGAAACTATTTATATAGAGGCCGAGAAAAAAAAAATCTGTGTTTCCGGTAACCCCACCCTGTTTTTTTAGCCCCGACCCTAATTTTTTTATTGGATCTTCAAAAAAAAAAAAAAAAATTGGTATCAACCGACCCTGTTTTTGACATAGGCTTCTATTAATCGACATAATTATTTATCTAACTGCACAGAAAGCCAGTAAAACATTTTATTTATGTCAAAAGGTATTCCAAATAGGTTAAAATCCAAGAAATTTGCACAGCAGGTGCTTGAAAACATTGCAAATGGCCGCACTTCCGGTATTTGAAACTAATTACGGACACAGACTTGGAAAAACCATGATAATTTTCTGGATTTCGTTAACAATGTCAAAAAAAAAAAAGAAAAAAAAAAAAAATCTGACCTACCGACCCTATTTAACAAAATGATGTTACCGGAAACACAGATTTTTTTTTTTTAGGCCAGAGCAGAAATATTAAACCTTGTCGGGACATCTCTTATATTCAAATGAGTACCAAAAAAATAACTAAAGTGGATTCATTTATTTGAATGAGAAAAAGATTATTTCCAAGGATTTTTGATCTTTCTGATTTTTACAAATTCTTCATACATGCCTATTGAAAATTTGCATCTTGTTGGTCACTTTAATTCATGGTTTACACCTACCCATGAAATTCATGAAAATTAGTACATGAAGAATGATCATGAATCAACAATATTTTATCCTTATAATATGATGTTTGCCTACACATTTTAAGGTTATTTTCCTATGCATTTCAGCTTGTAATTGTGACAGATATGGATCTTATCGTCAGTCATGTGACCAGATTTCGGGACAATGTGAATGTAGGGATACGTTTGAAGGACTGACCTGTAGCAGATGTAGAGAGAATTTCTTTAATTTCCCTAAATGTGAAGGTAAGCAGGAATATAAACCAAAGAAATTAAAGTTGTATGTATAACCTAATCATGATCTTAAAACATTTTAAGTCATATGATGGCAATACTAGACAAAATTTTAAACATGATTATGAGTTGTTGATCTAATGGGAGAAAACAATTGTATCAACTCCGATCAACTACTTTTTAACAGGGTTTTCCGAAGGAAAAAAACAGCTATTGATTTAGTGAAGTATGGCAGGTGGGTGGCCGCCAACAGTTTCCGTGCAATTACTTATAAACCATTCAACCAATGCTTTTCAAATTTTAATATATTGATATTAATGACAAAATAGAGGTCAAGATTTTCACTTTTACCTTTCAGGAGTTATAGTCCTTGATATATTGGAAAAGGCACTTTATGTCGTTTCCATTCAAAAACTTGTGAACCATTCGAACAATGGTTTTCAAATTATAATATATTGATATTAATGACAAAAATGGAGGTCAAGTTCAATATTGATGATTTTCACTTTTACCCTTCAGGAGTGATAGTCCTTGAACTATTGGAAAATGACACTTTATGTCGTTTCCGTGCAATTATGAACCACTTGACCAATTCTTTTATATTTTTATATGTTGTTACTGATAAAAAAATTGAACTATTGATGATCTTGACCTTTGATGTCAATGAGTTATGGTTCTCGATAGATTGAAAATTGCATTTTATGTCGTTTCCATGCAATTACTTATGCATCTTTCGACCAATGCTCTTAAAATTTTAATATGCTTTTACTGATAACAAAATGATGGTCAAGTTTAAAATTGTTGATTTTTACTTTTACTGTTCAGAAGTTATGGTTCTTGTTAGATTAAAAAATAGGAATACAATGTGGCAGGTAAAAAAAAACCTAAAAGTGCCTTTCAAAATACAGAAAACCCAGTTTGCTGTCAATTTGACACCTCATTCCTTGTGTTTTGTTTAGGTTGTAACGTTGCATTAGTCTGCAAAATAATGAATGGTTATAGCAAAATATTTAAAGTCATTTGGAAACACGTGAAGTAAGAGAATGATAATATTGAGTGTGAACTATGTGTTTCTTTTTATAACGAGGCAGTCAATTCTATCGGTACCTATGTATATTCTGTTTGAGAGTTCGATTTATAGAAATTTGAAAAGATTAGGACCAGAAAATTTGTATCTGAAATTCTGATTGGACAGTATTGAGCCATATAATGAAACTTAAATGTATAGTTATTGTCTGATTGAGTATGTTGTTATAGATTTTCTTTTAATCTCACAAAAAAAAAATTGACAAATGATTTAAAAAGGAAGTGTATGGTTTGTATGTAGGTGACCTTCAAATAATGCAAACATTTAAATAAAGGAACATGGTTAATGGGTTATTAAGCTTATGAAAATATAAAAGTGCACTTATTGTAGTGTTAAATTAAGAAAATTAGGATATGTTAAGTCCGTTTTCTGTTTAAAATTTGACTCCACCTTGCTGATGAATTTTATCAGTTCATATGTTTAACCTTTTTCATATATTTTAGCTTGCAACTGCAACCCAGCTGGAGCTAAAGAAGTACCTGGTTACCCATTGGGTGGATGTGGTCAGGTACCAGTTGGTCAGCTGTGTGAATGCAAGGAAAATGTAAGGGGACACATCTGTGACGAGTGTAAACCAGGCTATTATGGATTGGACAGAAATAATCCACGAGGATGTAGACGTAAGTTTTGTAGGATCTTTTTCACCTTATATTTTTTTGGGGAAAAAGGGAGATGTTTCTTTTGTTAAGGACATAAATAGTACTTTTATACAAGATTAAATAGGGACATCAGAGCAGGTTGTAGCTGGTATTTAAAGAGCTTCTAAAATCATTTATTATTGATTGAATAGTTTTATATAACTACTCATTGATAGATAGGCTGCATAATTTTCTCAGTATTTTCAAGGTAGATAGAAAGTTGCAATTCACATACATATTTTGAAACAGTTCCTAATTAAAAATGGTTTCCCATATGATGATTTTCAATGCAATTTGGGTTTTTATTTTTGATTTCAGCATGTGACTGTCATGTGCCAGGAACAGCATCAGGATTACATGTCTGTGACCCAGGTTCTGGACAATGTGTATGCAAAGTTAGTGTGGGAGGTCAAAGGTGTGATGTTTGTCAGGATGGATTCCACAGTCTTGATAGAGAAAACTCATTTGGATGTGTTGGTAAGTTTAACAACTTTTACTAATAAATTAAGAAATTTTTTTATCAAAAATGAGTGGATTTCTTTTTTATATCTGGAGCAATGATGATATTTGTATATGTTCTTTCAGTACATGTATCTGGAATTATGAAATAAAATTATAAAACAAATTATCTAGGATTTCAAGGATACTTTTATGTGGAAGTTTAAACCTGACCCTGTGATACATTTATAATTCAGAATAATGATAATTCAGACATATTGATAATATGATGTCACATTAGAACTTGTCTTGAGAGATATCTGCTATGAAAGAACACATTCTTTTGTCCCTTCTGCATGAATCATATCTTTATTTTACACAACGTATAATTAAGGACCACTTAGTCCTCTCAGAAAGGGTGGTCTTTGTAGACATGTACACTTCAGCGCCTGTAGATTTTGCCACTGTATTACTACAGCCTGTAACTCTTTTATTTTACAGCATGTTACTCTGTTATTTTACAACCTGTAACTCTGTTATTTTACAGGCTGTAGCTCTATTATTTTACAACCTTTAACTTATTTTACAGCTTGTATCTCTGTTTATTTTTTCAACCTGTAGCTATTATTTTACAGTCTGTACCTCTATTAATTTACAACCTGTAACTCTGTTATTTTACAGCCTGTAATTGTGATACTGGTGGATCAATGAGCCATGTTTGTAACAAAAGAACGGGACAATGTCCATGTAAACCTAGAGTTCAAGGTCTAAAATGTTCAAGGTAAGCAAAACTAAATTTTCATCATTTAAAGAATTGAAGTTAATGGCAGGTCTTTGATCTGTAAAAATTATTCACAACTTTAGGACTCAGGGCTAGTTTAAGCTTGACATCTAACATGTCTAATGTATTTCATATGTATTCAATGTTAAGCTAAATGTGAAAAAAGATATATGAGAGATACCGAGAGTAAAAATTTAGTTTCTGAGTATAAAAGAAAGAATTTAGAATTTATAACTCACAAACCTGAATGCTTACTTTCACTGTGTAGACTTTTCACTTGACTAATGATTAAAAAGCAAAAGAAACAAGATAAAATCTTGATGGATGGAATTGTCGAACTTAAAAAACTTAAATTATAGTTTTATATATATACAGACTTTGAAGAAATGAGTATTGTTTGTTAAAATGGTCCCAATATTCATTCCTTTATGTATTTGTAGCCCAACAGATCTTCACTATATTCCATCACTACATCAGTTCATATATGAAATTGAGGATGGTTATACCCCAGATGGTTCTCGTATTCGATATGGATTTGATGAGAGTATTTTCCCAGACTTTTCATGGAGAGGTTATGCCATACTGAATTATGTACAGGTATTAAAGACCAGACATTTTGAGTGTATTGTACAAAAGTCTGTAATCTGCTTTGCACATTTTGTTTATGCTTAAATTTTTATAATTTCTGACATTTGTCTACAAATTAGGAATACTACACTTAAGGTAGGACAATACAAAGATTTTTTAATCCCCAATCAGACAACTTTATACTGATGTAATTTCTTTCATCTAGCTCTAAAATTCATAAATGAGGAACCAAAAGAAGGAAGAAAGATTAATCTTTCAAATGGTGGTATAATTTCATTATTACATAATTGATTATTATATATAGTTGCTAGGTTGCGGATGTCCACATTGGAATTTAATTAGCTTCGTTGTTATTCATAGCATCCCAATTTTTTTTTATAGATTCTTGTGCAACACAGTTTGACCTCCAAAACCATGTCCCAGATTTTTCCTATTGTATTTTCATTCTCTCATAACCCTTCAATTATGTTTGCAACATAAATTTAAAATAAATCTCGCAATTTAATTGGGTAAAGAATTTGTTCTATTGACGTTTTTGGAAATCTGAGACATGTTTTTGTAGATAACTGGCCAAGGAACTACATGTGGTAAAATCAAGCATATAAGGGTAACTAGGAGTTAATTTCATTTAAAACTACATTTTCACAACAAAAATGTGTGTGCAAAAATGTATGTGTGACAATTGAATAAATAAGGATTTTCCTACTCGACCCTCATCAATTTCAATATAATTCACACATGTACCATGAGGATACTTCAGGATTGGCTTTTAATCATAAATCAATTAGGTTTTAACCAGTAAGAAAGCATTCCATTTCAGCTATTCTAAGTGTATAAAGAAAATGCACACCCTATGCATCAAAAACCAGATCTGGCTGGAGAAGTATCATTATTGACCTTGGATTTTATTCATTTAGTACAGAAAACAATATATTTTGTTTTTAACATTTTCCCAAAAAGTAAGTTATGCATGTGTACATAAAATGATCAGTTGGTCAGTCTAGAGGATTCTTATGAGGGATTTCTAGAATTATAATTATATACAATGAAAATATGGTGTTGTACACAAAGAAGAATTTTCTTATTTTTGTAATTTGAAAATAAAATATTTAACTTGTGTTTTCTTTTAAAAAGAATTCCTATTTACACATTGTTTTCAAGAAAACCTGATATAACCATCAGCATTAACATCAGCATTAACATCAGCAACATTAATTGTTCTACAATTATATTTGTTTAATATCTGTACATTTATTTTTTGATTCCGTCTATAGCTCCAAATTATTTTTGTGTTTTTTCTCCTGGTAGCTCCAATATAGAAATGTATTTTTTATTGGGATTTCATTATCTTCTTTTTTCTATAAACCCCTAATCCACCTCTTTTTCATAACTGTTATTTTTATAGCTGGTCAATGGTCATAAAGCTATCAAATGATTCTATTGATAAACCACAAAGTACTGCCCACATGTTCTTATCTTGTATCAGTCAGACACATGCATTTGTTTATAAAAATAATTATCATCAAAACTCATTAACAATGCAAGATATGGAAACATATTTGTCTTCTGTGATTTTGTAATTTTAAATGTAACAAAAACAGCTGAAAATGAAATTTTGATAAAATTTAGTTGCTTTTGTATTGTGCTACTTTAAACTTGGCTTTATTACAGTTAGTAAAACCTTGTCTTTTTAAAGTTTTTTATTTAAATACTCTGAACAATTTTTTTTAATTATGAAAAAAAATTTTGTGGTCGTATATTGGTATGACGTTGGCGTCATTGTCGACCGAAGACACATTGGTTTTCGCACTCTAACTTTAGTTTAAGTTAATGGATCTCTCTGACATCGTACCATAAGGTTCCATATCACAAAGGGAAGGCTGGGATTGATTTTGGGGGTAATTGCCTCAAAATTTTAGGAATTAGGGGCCAAAAAAGGGGCAAAAAACAAGCATTTTTCTAGTTTCATGACAATAACTTGTGTGTAAGTGTATGGATCTTTCTGAAATTGTACTACAAGGTTCCATATCACAAAGGGAAAGCTGGAATTGAGTTTTGGGGTAATTGCCCAAAACGTTTAGGAAAAAGGGGCCAAAAATAAGCATTTTTCTAGTTTCCAGACAATAACTTGTGTTCAAGTGTATGGATCTCTCTGAAATTGTACTGCAAGGTACCATACCACAAAGGGAAGGCTGGGATTGATTTTGGGGGAATTGCCTCAAAATTTTAGGAATTAGGGGCCAAAAAGGGGAAAAAAACAAGCATTTTTCTAGTTTCAGGACAATAACTTGTGTGTAAGTGTATGGATCTTTCTGAAATTGCACTACAAGGTTTCATATCACAAAGGGAAAGTTGGGTTTCAGTTTGGTGGTAATTGCCCTTAGCGTTTAGGAATTTGGGGCCAAAAAGGGGCAAAAAAACAAGCATTTTTCTAGTTTCCAGACAATAACTTGTGTTCAAGTATATGGATTTCTCTGAAATTGTACTGCAAGGTACCATACCACAAAGGGAAGGCTGGGATTGAGTTTGGGGGTGATGAATCATAAGGGGGTTCAAAAAATTTGGGGGGAGGGATTTTTTTTTCCTTTAAAATTTTCCATTTTAAATTGGTTATTTCTGATTTATATATAAAAGCAAATAATAATGATATGGTTTGAATAGGTAAATTAAAAATTTATAAGTTCTTAGACCGCATTCATTCTGTGTCAGAAACCTATGCTGTGTCAATATTTAATCACAATCCAAAGTCAGTGTGTATCAAGCTTGAATGTTGTGTCCATACTTGCCCCAACTGTTCAGGGTTTCGACCTCTGCAGTCGTATCAAGCTGCGCCCAGCGGAGGGTTTTATTTGTATTTATTTTCTTTACAGCCCGAAGTCATTGTAGACTTACGAATAAGGAAGCCAAGTTTGTATCGCATTATTTACCGTTATCTCAACCCAAGTGATCAGTCAATAACAGGGGAGGTAATGCTGAAACCTCAGCAGGCCGAGATCAATACACCACAGATGAGCCAGGTTGTATTTCCACCTAACGACAGTCCTAACTTTGTGACGGTAGGGAGTGGAGGATCAATGCATGACTTTGTTCTAGATCCAGGAAATTGGATGGTATCATTAAAATCTTCTGAAAATGTCATGTTGGTAAGTTAATCATAATCCAGTTATATTCTACATTAATATTGGAAAATAACAAACACTAAATTCACGTTTGTATATTTCATAGTTACTAATAACCATATAAACTTACCACCAAAATCAGAAGTTCACCGATACAATCATAATTGCATATATGACTTTGTTCTCTTTATGTTTGTTACACACAACAGAAAGATATGTGATGTGTAACCTGGCATATATTGCAAGTTTTGAAAGAGTTTTAACAATGGTAATACTTTTTATAACAATTCTGAGCACTTGAACATTCCAAAAAAATAATAAAGTTACATATCAACATGAGATGTCTAAAGAGCATGTAGGATATGAGAGATATAATCAAGATGGAAGCACATACAGTGATGGATGTTAAAAATATCAAACTTATGATTCTTGTAATTTGTTCCTTTAGACATTATAAATGTTTATAATTGCAAGATTGGATTAATAAACAGAAATTTGTCATATAGATTTATTTACTGTTTATTCCTTGTATAACATTTTTGAAATTGAAGGTCATTCACTTTGCTGCTATAAAACCACAATCCATGTCACTCTTTGTACTTTTAATCATATGAACAGAATAAATGAGCAAACAGTTTACAGGATGGAATGATCATTCATTATTTTTTGCAATGAACTTCTTTATGCCCCCGCTGTAGGGACAGGGACATTCAGTGTTACCCTTGACTGTCTGTCTTTCCGTCTTTTCGTCTGTCCATCCCATTTTTTGTTTGTTCGTAGGTTGAGTGGGGGCATTCTTGTCCTCAGACAAATTCTTCTTCTTATCATTTTATATGTACCGGGTAACACTATTTGAATGTATTTATGTAAGATAAGCAATAGATTAAAACTACTACTTGTTATATTTACTGTTGTAAAAAAATTGTATTCTCTCATATCTTAGGATTACATGGTTTTGATTCCACAAGCTTACTATGAAGCCTCAGTATTGTCTGAAGATGTGACAAGACCTTGTACCATTCCTAATGACGGAGGACCGTAAGTATAACAAATCATTCTGAAGAAGGGCAACCCTATCTAAGAATCAAGATTCACTATTTGAATATGTCACAAGTCTGTTTAATTATATTGAAAAAACTTATTTATCATTTGATAGTTTGAGATCATTGAAGCTGCTACATTGAATAATCAAGAAAAGTGGATTATTGTGAGAAATGTTGTCCAGTTTTATTCCTTCATGTCATTAACCTAGCAGCTTCGCCTACAATAGATCTGACAATTGTCTATTCTACTTTCTGTTTTAAAGACCTTTCAGGATTCTCTGATTTTGTCACAATGATGCACACATTCAACAATTTGAAAATATCTCAAAAGGAGTGTTATCCAACAGACTGGAGCTTGAAATGTAGCAGGGTTTGTTTGGTTTAGTTTATAGAATGAAATAATCAGGTGTACAATCTATATAACATTTGTGTTTCAGGTGTGTTTTGTATAACTATACAGACATTGCTAACTTCCCTACCGTGTTTGGTGAGAATGGTTATATCATTGATGTGGACGGAAACAAAACACCCACCAATGTCTTCACTGATGTTGTTATCACAAATGAATTAGGACTGAATGCACTTGGTCAGCTAGATAAAAACCAGGTTAAGATTGTTATCATATTAAAATTTAGCAGTTGTTTTAGACTGAAAATACAGTTAAGAAGCCTAAGCACATATTGGTTTTCATATCTAAAATTGTTAACATGTTATTGCTTAGTAGTTGAAAAAAGAGATTTTGAACTCTTTTTTTTGGATATGACTGCCTATCACATTTAAAAGTACAATGTACATGTAGTAGGACTAAAGACTTTTTAATTAGGATAGGATATGAGGAGTTTTTTAAATTTGGTTTGTCATTTTTGAATTGAAATTTTTTATAATTCTTGTTAAATTTCCAGAAAAACTTGAACCTGAATTTAGCTGTTCCAAATCCAGGAGATTATGTTTTGATGTTGAACTATTTTACTTTTGCTAACAATTCACAAAACTTGGATGTGAAGGTCAAGACCGGAGATGAGGATTATGATGGAGATGTTGTTATTTATAAATGTCAATATAGGTAAATTTCAATACTAGATTTAAAATAGAATTTCAGACTACATTAATTATATTATCTATATATATTTTTTAAGGAGAGAAATGATAAACCAGGATAGTTAACATGATACATAATAAGTCATGGTAGTTAAAATGATACATGATATACCAGGACATTTAAAATGATATGTGATGAAAAAAGTTTAAATGAACATAAGAAATCAGGACAGTTAACATGATTTCATTATAAATCAGGACAATTAACATGATTCATTATAAATCAGGACAATTAACATGATTCATTATAAATCAGGGCAATTATAATGATACATGATAAATCAGGACAGTCAAAATGATACATGAGAAATCAGGACAATTTCAATGATACATGATAAATCAGGACAGTTAAATGGATACTTAAAAAGTTAAAATGATACATGATAAATCAGGACAGTTCGAAAGATACATACTAAAATCAGGACAGTCACAATGATACTTAGAAAATTAGGACTGTTTAAATGATGCATAATAAGTCAGGACAGTTAAAATGATACATGATAAATCAGGACAGTTAGAATGATGCATGATAAATCATGACAGTTTAAGTGATACATTATAAAACAGGACAATTAGAACGATACAAGATAAGTCAGGACAGTTTAAACGATACATGTTCAATCAGGACATTCGAAATGATACATGATAAAGAAGGACAGTTTAATTGATAAATGATGAGTTAGTAAGCTTGATTATTAGACTGACTGAATTTATTTCCAGTGTCTTGTGTCGTCAAGTAATCACAGATGTGAATGGAATGCCTATGGTAGTCAATATTAAGGATAATGCAGATATCTTACTGACCGGTGATGATAATGTCAATGTAGCTATTGTAAGTAAAACCACTCTTGCCTTGGTATTCAATGAAGAATACAATGCACTAAAAATTTTCAAAAGAAATATAATATGTAACGATATACCACCCACTTTCACCCAAAGTGTTAAGCAGGGAATATTTATAAGCATGTTTTTGGTGATAGAAGGGTGATGTCAGCTAAATTGATAAAATTGTTTTGGATTGAGAAATGTCACCCTGTATATTAGTCAATGCAATTTAATATATGTGACCTTAATTAAACAATTTTGGTTGATCCACATAGTCTTTTTAGTTTTATAACAGCATGTAATATAAAAGGTTACAAAACAAACAAAATGATAATTAAAAGCATTAAGGAGGTTTGCTACTCTGTTTCAAAATAACAAGCTTTTTAAAAGACTTTTATAAATTGATAGTATATAAATAAAGGAACTAAAACAGCAGAAAAAAAATCGAAGGGTCCGTGTGCTTGTTTTCGAGATAAAAGCCATTGAAAATTTGGCGGGAAATAATTCTCTCTAGACTTTTCATACATTTAACATTAGCACCCTTTTTCTTTGAAAAAATATGAAAAAATAACAAGGATTTTATAGGATTTTCAAATATAGCTTTTAAAACTATATGTAATAAAATTATGAAAAGAAAAGTAGGGGTTAGTGGGGAAATATTTTTAATGGCACTACATGGATAAAACCAGATGATTCCGAATATCTGGCAAAATATTCAAAAACAAGAGGAGCGAACATCCTTAAACCAACATTTTGATTGATTGATTTTTTGGTGTTTAATGGCACTTTCACCAATATTGGCTATTTCGTGGTGGCCAGTAATTATTGATTGAGGAAGTTGGGTTACCCGAAGAGATCCACAGACCTTTTGCAGGAAAACGCATAAGATTGAAAAAAGAGAAGGTGTTCAAAATTTTTTCTTAGAAAGAATAGAATACCATGAACATTTAATTTGAATGGTTTCCACTGTTTGCAGATTTGATATATTAGTTTTCATTGCTCTCCATAGGGTTCAGTAACAGCTATACCATATGAACAGTGGAGCCATGGATTTATCAGACCACAGATCATATGTATCAGGATTAATGGAATGTATGTACCCAGTAGATGTTACAATTGTATATTGAATACCAAAATCAAAGTTTGAATTTTCATTATTTAGTTTTACATATTTGCAATTAAAAGATAAATGAAAAAATAGCACAAAATTATGTTGTTACTATATTGCTAATGAAAGGAAGATGTCATTGATGTTTATGTTAAAGTAAAGGATATGTGGGGTATGCATCAATAAGACCATAACCTAACAGTAAAAAGAAAAACTATCTATTCCTATTTTCATTTAAAAATAACCATCAAAAGACAAAATAAAGATTGTCCATTCATGCATAAAAGGGGAAATGTTAAATGATCATCTGTCAGCTTCGAAGAAAACACAAAAGAGTTGGGAGTTTAGCAAGATGTTTTTCATTCATGAATTTGCCAAAAAAATGGTGCAGGTATAAATGGAGAACAACTACAATTTCAGTGATAAAGAAACACTAAAAAATGATAATGTTTGTTTTGTTTTCAGTTGTATCACATCAAGATATTTCATCCCAGTAGGGTCAGTCAGGATAGATTTTGAAGAACCACCAAATGAAGATCTCCAGGTGGACAGATTCGACTTCCCCAAAGGATTATATGAAATTGATCCTAACATAGGACTGGTTCGTCTCAATCAATATCAGGTAAGTCAGGTTAAAACTTGGCATATTTCATTTTAAAGATTGATTGTAAGGAGTCAGTAATTCAGTGGTTGTCGTCGGTTCATGTCTGTTGTTTTTGTTTTTTCGAAATTGTGTTGTTATAAATTAGGTAGTTAGTTTTCTCATTTGAATTGTTTCACATTTTTCATTGCTGGGGCCTTTTATAACTGACTATACAGTATGGGTTTCTTATATGCATGTCATTGGTGGATAGTTGTCTCATTAGCAATCATACCACATCTCCTATTTTACATTAATTGATTGTTTATTGCTTTGCCTTCAGTGTTTTCAAAATACATTGTTTGTATTTCAGGTAGATTCAATAAAAAACAATCCTATTGAATTTAATCAGTTGGTAGGATCTGAAACATTAGTGGACAGGGTTGATACCTCTGGCAGTTGCCTGGAAACCAAATTTTGCTAGATTGAAGAAGTCCATTTGTCATTTCATCATCTCTTTGTATTGTCTATTTGAAAAAATTAGATGGACTATATCAATAAGCCTCTTACTTTCTGTAAAAATGAATACACTTTTGAATAATAATTGAATATCTTATTAAAACAAGAAAGTATCAGTATGATCTGATAGTCTTTGAATTTGTTGATGTGAAGTAAAATATCAGCTAACATTACTGAACCCTTTGCTTTTTATCTCAAAATATGTCATTTTATTTATTTCTAGAATTATTTCTAAAATACAAATTTGGTTCCTATCTGGGTGTAGTTAATTCATATTATTTACTAACTTGGTGTTTTTTGCTTTCCATCATTGTACTTTTCAAGAATGAAAATAATATTTAACAGACGAAATATCGTTTATTTTCAGACCAATATTACCATAGAAGGAATGATAAGAGATCCAGGCAGGTTCTTTTTCCTTGTACATTTCTACATGCCAGGAGAAGTTGGAATAGATATACCAGTTAACATACATGTAGATAATCAGGATTACAGTGGTGAGCATATTCTCCAATAAAAAACTGCATGGGAGACAACTTACAATAGATGGCTATATCTAAATGTGAGATTGAGTAAAAGTGGACATATGGTTACTATCACTGTATTGGAGGGGCCTCTGTGGCCACTCTAAGTAGTTCATCTTCTATATCACTAGACTGTCAATGCTGAGGTTGTGAGTTCAAACCCAGCATGTGGCAGGTGTGTTCGACTGCAATCTTGATTGACTAGGATGTCAGTTTTCCTGCAAAAGGTCGATGGTTCTCTTCAGGCACTCCAGCTTACTCAACCATATATTTTCTTTGTAGAATTTCACTGTTGTGTAGAGTAAAATTGTTATTGAATTAAAAAAAATGTTAGAATTTCAATTCCAAATTATTTATTAATTGGATTATTTCTCATTAATGGGCAATCATATTTTTTTTAAAATTATATGGCGTCGAGTCTATTTTATTAAAGTTCTTGAAATTATACCTTACTATGTGACTATATAATATATAGGGTCCAGCCAACATAAATTGAAAATTGAAAACCCATGAAAATGAATTGCTTTGTATGCATCAGTCAGTCTCTGTGCCTCACACAAAGATGTGCCTCACACAAATGGGGCCCTTACTGACATGTCAGTTTACTAGTTAAACTTGTTAATTTCAGGTATGTTCCGACCTAGATTCTGTCCAACCCTATCTGGATGCCGTGGACTCATTACATTTGATGACGACCTTAGAAACAAGATCATTGGAGGAACTGATGGTAAAATCAGAATCAGTTTCAATAACACCAGTGGAAAGACAATCTGGGTGGTAAGTATCATAGATCACAAAGTGAAGGTACTTGAAGGATTAAGGCTAATTTTGGCTCAGTAATATGAAGGTTTTGAGATAAATTTCAAATTTGTACATAATGTATGAAAATATATTAAATCAAGAAATAAAGATGAGTTACACAAGATTTTTGATGTTATAACATCTTAATATGCCTTATCATGGAATTAAGAAAAATGCTGATGTAAACAATTTCTGTCAATATTTCCTGTGTGGAAGCATTGTGTGCAGCCAAGAAACAAGAAAACAATTTTAGATCAGCTTTATCATACTAGTTATTTTCATAATCTCACCAAATATAAAATTGTTTTTATGGTGTGCACATACTTTTCCAATCAAAAATATACTTAAAAGTTGATATAAAACAAGGAAAATCAAGACATTCTTACAAGATATACAGATTCTGTATTGGTGTGTTGCAATTGAAACTCTTTTTAAATGTAATTTTTTTATTTTCCTAACTTTTTTCCTTAGTATTGTGGTAAATTTAAGATCATGTATGGTAACTAATATTTGGGTGATATAAGGGTCTATTAAATCTACTGTTAGAAACTTTTCAATATTCCGGTACTGTTCTTTAGAACAGTATTATTGTAGAAATAAAAAAGATATAAAAGATAGAACAGTTCAAACAAAGGTATCATAATTTTTTGTTTCTAGGACAAAAAAGCTAATTATCAGATTCATATATAACATGTAAAACCAACCAAATAATGATTATTACAGAAATTTATCTTTATTCTAAAAATCCATATATTTGTCTTGTACATCATTAAGAAAATATGTTCATGAAACGAATCTATGTTTTTCATCATTTGCTTGCATAAAAAGCTGTATGTATGTATATGTATATGTTATATTTTGAGTTATTCAGAGGGCATCAGAGGAGATTAGTATTGTACTAACTAATTTTATCCTCTTTAAATAAAGTATTTATTATTATTATTATTAACATTTCCCTATTTTATTATATATTTACGGTATGTCTTGTTATTGTAAACATTGAGTGTTCATTGACATTCGACAACATAAATACATCACTCCAGTTGATAATATGATGTAATTAACATTTGTATGATAATAATTGAATTATGTTTTGTTTCAGGATTATGTTCTAGTAATACCGTCCAGTAGTTATGACTCAAAACACTTGAACTTACAACCTATTGATCACTCGGTAGAGTTCCTGAAGGACTGTATTGGACCAGGATTTGAACTTATGTAAGTATTTTTGTCTCGCCTTGACAGAGACATAGGTATGCTGTTTCAACAATGTATTATTTTGTGATTAGGTCTAGTTCATGGTGAACCACAAGTGGTAAGTCAATGATATTTGGTATGCAGTTGTATTAGCATTGGCACATCTCATTACTATGGAGATTATTTGGCCCCACCCCCTCAGTCAAGGTCTATTGACTTTGAAACTTTGCTTAGTTTACATGTATTAGTTTTATGATTAGGTCAGTTTATGGGAAACCACTAGTGGTAGGTCAATGATATTTGGTATGCAGTTGTATAAGCATTGGCATATCTCATTTCCATGGAGAATATTTGGCCCTGCCCCTCATTCATGGTCTATTGACTTTGAAACTTTTGCTTAGTTTACATGTATTAGTTTGTGATTAGGTCAGTTTAAGGGGAACCATTTGTGGTAGGTCAATGATAATTGGTATGCAGTTGTATAAATATTAGCACATCTCATTTCCATGGAGAATATTTGGTCCTTACCCATCAGTCATGGTCTATTGACTTTGAAACTTTTGCTTAGTTTACATGTATTAGTTTATGATTAGGTCAGTTTAAGATGAACCACTAATGTTAAGTCAATGATATTCTGTATACAAATGTATTGGCATTTGCAAGTTTCATTTCCAAGGAGATTATATAACCCCAACCCCTAATCATGGTTCATTGACTTTGAAACTTTTACATAATTTACAAGTTAATGTTTGTGTTTAGGTTAATTTAAAGGGAACAACTTATGAAAAGTAAATGGTATTTGGTATGCAGTTGTATTAGCATTGGCACATCTCATTTCCATGGAGATTGATTAGCCCTGTACCTTCAGTCATGGTTTATTGACTTTGTATATTTGCATAACTTACATGTTAAAGTATTGCTATTTTAATTTCAACATTTGCATTATCAAAATAACAAATAGGTGAGACATATCTCTGTGTTAACAGTTTATTATTCAAACAATAAAGTTTTCTATTTAACTTTTCATAGATGATTGATGACATACCACTGATCTTTTTATCGAGAATTATAACTTCTGACTGCAGATGAAGCAAGGTTTTCGCTGGTTCTCTTGAAACTATGGAAAACATCCTTGTAATACTGTAAATTCAGAAATTATTGCGAAGTTTGAAGAATTTACAAAAATTTGAGATTAATTATTGCAATTTCAAGAAATCAAAATGTGAGTTCTATGCACCCAGTCGCATTTTTCGCATTAATTAAAATGTCGCAATAATTTCTGAATTTACAGTATTCATTTGCTGTTCCATGAACCACAATTTTGTAATATGTGTTAATACCAAAAGGAGTAAACATATTGAGTTTATTTTTAGAAACAACTCTCCAGTTTTGTAAGGATGGTCATTGTTTACTGTTTTATTTTTAGAAACAATTCCCAGTTTTGTAAAGATGGTGTTTTTACCTTGACAACAGATTTTAACAATGGAGCCATTTCTTGTGACTGTAATATTGATGGGTCACTAAGTTTTGATTGTAATCAGTTTGGTGGACAATGTCAGTGTCGTCAGAATGTCATTGGACGTAGATGTGAATTGTGCGAGGAGGGTTACTATGGATTCCCAAGATGTATCAGTAAGTATATTTAACTGTTATCAACAATTTGTAGCATGATGCAAAGCAAAATGTCTTCATTTAAATTATTGAAAAAAAGATTAGTTTGGGAAAGTGCCTATTTTATAGATTATTCGATATTGTTTCTCGTGCAGCATCCACCCCTGTCACTTAAAAAATTGCATGTCTGTTCAATTGGCAAATAAAAAAGGATTTATTTGCATCCATTTTTGTAACTATAACATTTTTTCAATCATTTTGTCTAAAATTTTGTCATAATGATATCAGTAGATTTTATGTTTGCAAATATTCTCGCATACATTGCATTAAAACTTGCACTGTGTTTAGTAAGTTGTCTTTAAAGATGGATATAGAAAAATTTAGGACAGTAATTTAGAATACACAAGATTCCCATTTTGATTTTATGAAGGAACTGCCCCGGTTGACCTTGGAATATTTGGGGGAATATGTGTCAAAGAACATTGTAATTTATTCAGGGAAAAAGCATCATTTGGAAGATCATGTATTATGACTTACCCTCTTTGTATTTTTATCCTTACAGAATGTGATTGTCCATTCGGAACCTGCCATCCACTGACCGGTGATTGTATCTGTCCACCCCATGTAGTAGGAGCCAGATGTGACCAGTGTTCCCCAGCTACTTATGGCTATGATGCCCTTGTTGGATGCACAGTCAGTATTTTATGCTAATTCTTAACCTAATCATTAAAGAACAGGCATCTTTCTACTTATTTCAAATGCTTGTATTGTTGCAGTAGGGGAATCTTTGTTTTATTATGCATTGCAAAACTTAAATTTACAATAGAAAGAAAAGTAATATTGGAAAATGTCAGTCTGAATAATAGATTCTGTACTAAAAACACAGTCAAACTTGATCCTTTTATTGATAAAATTTTGATGAAGATTGAGAAGTGATAAAAATGCATATGAATTTGAAAATGGAGAAAAAAAATAATTATGTAATTCTGTCCTTGACAATGTAGCGCTTAAATGTTGTTACAGGAATGTAAATGTAACATAGATGGCATTGTATATGGAGATTTGAATTGTGATCAGACAACTGGTGGATGCAAGTAAGTTCATGTAGAATTTAGCCTTAAGATATAGTAAGAAATTAAATGCAATAGTCAATTTCTATGTTGATGGATGGAGTCATTGGTGACATGTTTTGCAATGACAGTCAACATTTCCCGGATTTTTCAAATGTCTTATTTTTAACATTTGATGAATATTACAGTTGAATGGAATTGATACTTTGAGGTTGACAAATATTCTTTTTACTGGCTTTGCAATGAAAGTTAAACACCATTTGTGACTGTCAAATACCAAATGAACAGTAACAACTCTTCAAATGCTGTACCCTTATACCTTAAATATTACAATTACCTACATGTACCTTTGAAAAGTTGTCGTTGAGGCAGTTTAAATTGTCTGTTAGTCTCAAGAGAAAAGAGTTATCTTCTTTCTACAACTTATGGAGAGAATATAGTTCACTTAATTCAAGGAAGGGTTTAATCTGCAATATTTTTTCATGTTGAACACTTTCAGTCAAGTGTAGGGTAGAGAGTGAACTTTTTTTCTTCAAATCTTCCAAAAAGTTTTAATCTTGATGAATTTTGATGCAACTTTTGATAAACAAGTGTAGTACTTTTAATTAACAAGTGTAGTATGTTGTCTGAAATTTCAATTGTATACTTTAATGATACCTTTAGGTCACTCTTATTAAAGTGATGTTAAAAGTATTTCCTGTTCTCTGAATAAGGACCAAGGGTTAGCTTGTAGGAACAACATCTCTTATGCGAAATTGGTTCTAGTGAAAATTTGGGAACAATTTTAGAGTATCATTGTGTCATATATCAACAGGAATTCTGTATGATCTTTTCAGCTGCAAGGAGAATATAATAAATCGTAAATGTGACCATTGTAAGATTGGATACCACACCTTCCCTGCCTGTGAAAAATGTAACTGTAATGAATTAGGAACCATAGAAAATGTTTGTGATGCTATGTCAGGCCAGTGTGAATGTAAGGTAAGGAGACAGACTTTATATTATTGTTTTGGGTCAATTCTTAGATGAAAATGTTATAATTCAGATTTTATACCGAAAAATATTCTTTTTCAATTAAAAACGTTGAGTTAGTATCAATATGAATGCTACTTCAAGTTTTCAATACTGTGTTTTGGAACATTGATAACTATAAAAGATTGTAGGATTTTTTTCTGTAATACAGCTTTAATCATTCATTATTTCTTTATTTTGAAACAGAAAATTTACAAAAATATTAGTGGTTTATATTTTACAACAGAAGAATTTCATATGGAATATTATACCCCCACTCTAGGAGTACCATATTTAGGTAAACAGCAACATATTATCGCTACCAGGTTTTCATTTCTCAGTTATGACTAATACATTGTAATAATTTTATTTTTCAGACAAACGTTGCACCCCCATATTGTGACAGATGTCAACCAGGATCATATCACCTTGACCCAAGGAATCCTAAAGGTTGTTTACAGTGTTTCTGTTTTGGAACCACAAGGACATGTCAGAGTACAGTCATGTACTGGGACGATGTAAGTAGTTGCTAATGGTCCACACAACCCAACTTTATGACATCAAGAAACTTAAACAAAACTTTGGAAATACTATTCATCCAGTAAATTACTGTTGATAATTCAAATATTGCAGTTTTTCCTACTCTGGCACATTGAGTTTTTCAACTTGAGAAAATAAGTTATAAGTTAATGTTTTCTTTTACTTTGACGGTCATTTTAATTTTGTTACAGGTACCTTAATGCATGTTTTATTGTTGGAAGTAACATTTGTAATTTGAGGGATTTCTGTGAAAACATAATTTTTATGCCCCCGCCGTAGCGGTGGGGGCATTAAGTTTAACCCTTGTCCGTCTGTACGTACGTACGTCCCAAAATTGGTTTCTGTTCTCTAACTTGAGTTTGCCTCAACCAAATGTTATGAAACTTATACACAATGCTTATTACCACAAAACACAGATCAAGTTAGAATTTTGGTGGTGTCACTTTAACCGTTTTAGAGTTATGCCCCTTTATAAATGGAAAAATTGCAAAATTTTTATTTTCTTCTAAATATCAGAGTAATTTTCAAAATTGGAGTTATCTTCCTTTGTCCATGATTATAGTTGAATCAACTACTATCAATGCTTTATACAATGCAATGTTTAATTTTGACTTCAACTGATAAGACACAGATCAAGTTGAATTTGGGTAGTGTCACTTTAACCATTATTGAGTTATGCCCCTTTATAAATTGAAAGATTGCAAAATTTTTAGTTTCCATTCTGTAACTTAAGTTTGCCCCAACCAAACATTATGAAACCTAAACACAATATTCATCACCACAAAACTGAGATCAAGTACAAATTTTTTGTTTCCGTTTTCTAACTTTAATTTGCCTCAACCAAATGTTATGAAACTTATACACAATGCTTATTACTACATAATACAGATTAAGTACGAAATTTGGTGGTGACACTTTTACCATTCTTGAGTTATGTCCCTTTATAAACATAAAAATTGCTGAATTTTTCGTTTCAGTTCTCTAACTTTAGTTTGTCTATACCAAATGTTATAAAACTTCTACACAACCGTTCTGGAGTTATGCGTGTTTACAAATAGAAAAATTGCTGAATTTTTAGTTTCTGTTCTCGACTTAGTTAGCCTCAACCAAATGTTATGAGACTTACACACAATACTGTAAATTCAGAAATTATTGCATGCATTTATTATTGCGATTTATGAAGAATGGACAATAATGCGAGATTAATTATTGCGATTTCAGGAAATTCTGCAAACAGATGCATATATCAGATATCAGAATGTGAGTTCTAATTATTGCGATACTAACCCAGTTGCACTATTCGCATTAATAAAAACCTCGCAATAATTTCTGAATTTACAGTACTTATTACCACAAAACTCAGATCAAGTTCAAATTTGGGTAGCGTCACTTTTACCGTTCTTCAGTTATGTCCCTTTATAACTATATGATATGCAAGCGGGGGCATCATCTGTGTCCACATGTGGACACTATCCACATTTATTTACCAAGTTATATATTGAAGTTATTGCCCTTGGACAGATAAAATATGTGCATAGACATTGTAAGGATGTTATCTTATTCTATTACAGGTAGAAGATATGACTAGCTGGGCTGTAACCAACACAATGGAAGGCGCTCTTCGTGAAGCTGGTACAATAATAGCGGTATTGGATGCTGTCAACAAAACCATAGACCCCAACCAACCAATGTACTGGATAGCACCTGCTCCATACTTAGGAAATAAGGTATAAATTATAGACTAATCAACCAACTAATTTGATAGCTCCTGCTGCATACTTTAGATAAAAGAATTCATAGAATCTAATCAGCCAGTAACCTAGTTTGATCATACTACAAGAAACAAGATATCTACTTTAGAACTTTAAAATGACCATTTGTAGCTCCCAAATTTTACCTTAAGATTGTAAACATTTTAGGCTATGTTGGTATTTTGTGACTGTCCTAATGTCTTCTGCCATTAACTAGTAAAACATTACAAAAATATTAGTGGAATTTTCTACAAAATTTTGCATGCTCATTTTCCATAAGGTTAGTTCTCAAAGAGATTTCTCATTGCCAAATGTATATTTATAGCTAATGTAAATATGGCAGATACCTGTATCTTGCAGGTGACAGTTCCAGTGTTTTCTGTGCATAAGAACCAGTCATAAAATATTTTTTATAAAACTGATATTTATTTCAGCTAAGATCATATGGAGGTAAATTGAAGTTCCAGTCAATCTACATGTTACCCAGAGAAGATCCTACTGTATCTGAACAAATGACATCTAATATGGATGTTATCATTAAGGTTGGTACATTTATTTGATCCTGATTGGAATAGGTTACATTATGCATCTTGGTCTGCATAAACTTATGTTAAGTTAGAAGAAATCTTAAAGTGGTTAGAAATAAATTATAGATATACCGGTAATATGAATCCATTAATGGTGAAATCAGATTTAAAACTTATTATGTAATGATATATTTTTATCTTGCGTGTGACGATAGTCATTGAAGCAAGACAGACGTGCTGTTTCCTGTACGGGCGGAATCAACAATTGTAAAAGTTTGAGATTATGTTACACAAGAGTTAACTGAGTTAACAGTTAACTTTTTCAATGTCTGATAAATATATCATTGAATATTGTTTCCAGTGGTTTATTTTATGTACAGTCGACTCCACCTAATTGCATACCGCTTCATAGCATAATTCGGTTAATTGCATAGTTTTCACCTGCACAAAACCATTTCCCATTCATCTAATGTTAAATTGTCCGGTTATATGCATAGCTCTACAAGTGGCCTTTCGGTTTATTACATAGAAAATAATCGCCATCTAGATATGCTTGGTTAAATCTGTCGAAATTTTTGACCGGAAACGGCAAGTTGGTGAGTATTGTTTTCTTGAATGCATCATTATTTTCATTATTATTTCATATTTACTTTTGTGTTATTCAAATAAAGTTTTAAAACAGTTTCTTTCGTGTTTATATGATTGAATTTGATTTTAAAATAAACCTCGATGTCTACACGGGTAAAGTTTCCCATGTTCTATTTTAAGCCTCGAGGTCATAAAAATATCAAACAGATAATTGTTGTAAAAACACTGACCATTCTATCTAAAAAGGTGTAAATAATTGATTGGACTTCAAACATTGTCCATAGATTACATTTGGGGTGAAATTCAAAAACAATAACGCCTGCTAATTATCGATCATTATCCAATGTGAACTCTCGTAATTGGGCTTGGGGTGATCTGCATTTATGTTTAATATTACAGTGCATTTATATATGGTTAAAGAATTTTATACATCAATCATTTAATTTTAATATATTTTGAAAAGAGCATTTACTTCTAATTATTATATTTTCTCACTTTCAATACTCGTGTCCAGCAAATAACCCGTACAGGGCCCCATTACTGCTTTGCATATACGAAACTAACGAAGTTAAATGAACAGTGTTACTTTACTCTGCAAGCTGTAAATATTGTATATCAAAGGCAGTTTAGTACACATCTATTGTTAAAATTATTATAAACTATGTAATTTTGTTAAACAGTTTATTTTAATCAAAGCGTAACAATGTACATTGTACATACGGGTCATAGAAACAAATCTATTTTTAGAACGAATCTATTTTCGTATCCCAGGTAAACTGGTAAAGGAAACGTCGGTACGCAAATAAACTAAAACAAAATGTGTTTATAATATTTATTGAAATAATACAAAATAAAATAAAATGTATGACACTAGACATATAACTTTTATTAGAATAAATCAACATTCAATATGTTGTAATTGGATTATAGACGTTCATCTTTCTTCAGGGATTTACTGATCTGTTCTATTGACGTTATTTGACTCCGTAATTTGACATTTCGGATGTAAGCATACTCCGCTTTATTGCATAATTTTGTCTGACAAATAGGCTATGCAAATAACCGGAATGTACTGTAAAGCCAAAATTAAAACTTGTATTTTTGTCGAGCCTGCGACTTTTGTCGCAGAAAGCTCGACATAGGGATAGCGATCCGGCGGCGGCGGCGGCGGCGGCGGCGGCTACGTCGGCGGCGGCGGCGGCGTTAGCTAACTTCTTAAAAGCTTTATATTTTAGAAGGTGGAAGACCTGGATGCTTCATACTTTGTATATGGATGCCTCATGTTACGAAGTTTCCGTCAGTCACATGTCCAATTTCCTTGACCTCATTTTCATGGTTCAGTGACTACTTGAAAAAAAAGTTCAGATTATTTGTAATGTTAAATTCTCTCTTATTATAAGTAATAGGATAACTATATTTAGTATGTGCGTACCTTGCAAGGTCCTCATGCCTGTCAGACAGTTTTCACTTGACCTCGACCTCATTTCATGGATCAGTGAACAAGGTTAAGTTTTGGTGGTCAAGTCCATATCTCAGATACTATAAGCAATAGGTCAAGTATATTTGGTGTATGGAAGGACTGTAAGGTGTACATGTCCAACTGGCAGGTGTCATCTGACCTTGACCTCATTTTCATGGTTCAGTGGTTATAGTTAAGTTTTTGTGTTTTGGTCTGTTTTTCTTATACTGTATGCAATAGGTCTATTATATTTGGTGTATGGAATGATTGTAAGGTGTACATGTCCAACTGGCAGGTGTCATCTGACCTTGACCTCATTTTCATGGTTCAGTGGTTATAGTTAAGTTTTTGTGTTTTGGTCCATATCTCAGATACTATAAGCAATAGGTCTAGTATATTCGGTGTATGGAAGGACTGTAAGGTGTACATGTCCAACTGGCAGGTGTCATCTGACCTTGACCTCATTTTCATGGTTCAGTGGTTATAGTTAAGTTTTTGTGTTTTGGTCTGTTTTTCTTATACTGTATGCAATAGGTCTGCTATATTTGGTGTATGGAATGATTGTAAGGTGTACATGTCTAGCTGGCAGGTGTCATCTGACCTTGACCTCGTTTTCATGGTTCAGTGGTCAAAGTTAAGTTTATGAGTTTTGTCTTTTTTTCTAATACTATATGCAATAGGTCAACTATATTTGGTGTATGGAAATATTTTATGATCTATATGTCATTTGCGCAGGTTTTATATTACCTTGACCTCATTTTCATGGTTCATTGCTCAGTGTTAAGTTTTTGTCGAGCCTGCGACTTTTGTCGCAGAAAGCTCGACATAGGGATAGCGATCCGGCGGCGGCGGCGGCGTTAGCTAACTTCTTAAAAGCTTTATATTTTAGAAGGTGGAAGACCTGGATGCTTCATACTTTGTATATGGATGCCTCATGTTACGAAGTTTCCGTCAGTCACATGTCCAATTTCCTTGACCTCATTTTCATGGTTCAGTGACTACTTGAAAAAAAAGTTCAGATTATTTGTAATGTTAAATTCTCTCTTATTATAAGTAATAGGATAACTATATTTAGTATGTGCGTACCTTGCAAGGTCCTCATGCCTGTCAGACAGTTTTCACTTGACCTCGACCTCATTTCATGGATCAGTGAACAAGGTTAAGTTTTGGTGGTCAAGTCCATATCTCAGATACTATAAGCAATAGGTCAAGTATATTTGGTGTATGGAAGGACTGTAAGGTGTACATGTCCAACTGGCAGGTGTCATCTGACCTTGACCTCATTTTCATGGTTCAGTGGTTATAGTTAAGTTTTTGTGTTTTGGTCTGTTTTTCTTATACTGTATGCAATAGGTCTATTATATTTGGTGTATGGAATGATTGTAAGGTGTACATGTCCAACTGGCAGGTGTCATCTGACCTTGACCTCATTTTCATGGTTCAGTGGTTATAGTTAAGTTTTTGTGTTTTGGTCTGTTTTTCTTATACTGTATGCAATAGGTCTATTATATTTGGTGTATGGAATGATTGTAAGGTGTACATGTCCAACTGGCAGGTGTCATCTGACCTTGACCTCATTTTCATGGTTCAGTGGTTATAGTTAAGTTTTTGTGTTTTGGTCCGTTTTTTTATACTTTATCCAATAGGTCTACTATATTTGGTGTATGGAATGATTGTAAGGTGTACATGTCCAACTGGCAGGTGTCATCTGACCTTGACCTCATTTTCATGGTTCAGTGGTTATAGTTAAGTTTTTGTGTTTTGGTCCGTTTTTCTTATACTTTATCCAATAGGTCTACTATATTTGGTGTATGGAATGATTGTAAGGTGTACATGTCCAACTGGCAGGTGTCATCTGACTTTGACCTCATTTTCATGGTTCAGTGGTCAAAGTTAAGTTTTTGAGTTTTGGTCTTTTTTCTTATACTATTATGCAATAAGTCAACGATATTTGGTGTATGGAAATATTCTATGATGTACATGTCAGTCTCGCAGGTTTTATTTGACCTTGACCTCATTTTCACAGTTCATTGCTCAGTGTTAAGTTTATGTGTTTCAGTCTGTTTTTCTTAAACTATAAGCAATAGGTCAGCTATATTTGTTGTATGGAAGGATTGTAAGCTGTTCATGTCTGCCTGGCATGGTTCATCTGACTTTGACCTCATTTTCACGATTCATTGGTCAATGTTTAGTTTTCTTGGTTAAGTCTGTTTCTTAGAAACTATAAGCAATAGGTCAACTATATTTAGTGTATTGAATGATTGTAAGGTGTACATGTATTTCTTGTTTGGTTTATATGACCTTGACTTCATTTTCTTGGATCATGTTAAGTTTATGTAATAGTTGTAGTAAAGCTTTCATTTAGGACTATCAACATAATATCAATGGTTAGTAAAGAAGGCGAGACATTTCAGCGTGTCCACTCTTGTTATTCATAAAGGTTTGTGATATGAGAGTTTAGCAAAATTGCAATAAATGTGACATACTTATGTGCTTGTTCATGTTTTTTTATTAATAGTTATTTTACAAATTGACATACACATACTTTGTTTTGTGTTAAACTAGCTCAGTATAGAAATTGACATCTTCGCTAGCCAAGGTTTACGATCTACTTCCCTCCTCTCCACCCTTGGCAGATTAAGCCAACATTTGTGATAACAATGTTGCGCCATCTAACAGTAGATTAAAGTCACGCCAATTCCGAATACATTATTCTTGACCAATGGTAGCACTTGAACTCTTCAATTTGGAGGTAAAAACACGGTAGCGTCTAGATTCTACACACTTGGTAAAGCAGGAAACGAATATATATGTTGACATTCATGCATTTGTGCAAGAAACATACACAGGAACTTCTATTAGTTGATTAAAAACATTCAAATTGTATTAAATATAGTCGTATGTTTAGGGATGTAAAGACTTGTTGCACAATAAGCACGTGGCAATTGTTTACATACACTTTCTACATTTACATGTGATCATGTTATAGGCGCTTTTTGATTGGATGCAGCGAGTTTCGACTGCAACCAATAAAAATCATTACCTTGTGTCTCCGAAATTCTATCTCAATCCGGCAAGGGTGGAGAGGAGGGAAGTGGATCGTAACCCTTGGCTAGCGAAGATGAGAAATTGATGGCAAATGGAGAAAAATATTTAGTTATTATAATATGACCTTATTGATATTTGATATTTTGCAGGGACACAACATGACTATCTATCACACCTACACATCAGTGCCTCAGCCTAGTTCTATGTTTAATTATGAGTTAGAGATATCTGAGGTTAGTACCCTTTTTACCATATTCTTTGTCATATTGATATACAATAATGATGTAAAAGAGAATTCAAGTATTGTGATTGATTAAGATTCAATTAGCTAAGATGATGTATATTTTTTGCTTGAAAAAAAATCTTTTTTTATTATCAGATTATGATTTTGATAAGTAAAACTAATTTAATTGTATATTTGTATAATTACCAATTAATCTTTTGTTATGTTCAAGGAGCTTGTATTTTGATATTAACCAACACTTCAGAACAATATGAATAAGATTCTGTTACTTTATAACTATGTACAGAGGATAACAGTGGCATTTAATAATTTTTTTTACAGTTAAATATCAAGTCCTCAAAAACAAGATGAAAATGGTCTTTGACGTATTGAGATATTTAATCTCATTACTTATTTGTGTGATTAATTTTATAAACTACTAAACGATGTGACTGCTTTGAATGATTTGTTCCATTCTTTGATCAGAATTCCTTGATTGACTATGATGCATTACTTTGAAGATATTTCTTAAGAACTAAGTGATTGTTTTTGTAGAATAAGTTCCGAGATGCTGCTACAGAATTGAGTATTACCAGAGAACAACTATATGATATCTTGGTGGATGTTGATGCTCTACATATTGTGGCCAATCACTATAGCTCACCTGGTGAAGCAAGGTATTTCTTTTCTTAATTCTTTAATTGATATTCTATAAATTATCTTATAAGGAGCAGTCTAGAAAGCACGCAAGTTTAAGCTTGGCCAAGATGGTTGTTGTTACAGAAATGTGTCTTATTTATTTGGAAAAAATAACAATTATAAGAGGTTGGCAGATCAGCTTGAAAAAAATAACAAAACTATATATATGTATCTGTACAGAATACAGGTTTTATCTTCTTATTTGTTTGTAGAAAGATGTGGTTCTGCTTCAGTTTGAATGTTCTTCTAATTTGCATGTTTATGGTTAGGGCTGGAAGTTGTATGATTTCTATTTTTGTTCCACAAGTAAATGTAAGATTTATTATACCCGCGCTTTAAAAAAGGGGGGGGGGTATACTGTTTTACCTCTGTCTGTCCTTCCGTCAGTCCATCTGTCCGTCCCATGAAAATTTTCGTCGCATGACAAGGATTTCTGAAATTTGGTTTAGGGTTTATATAAGTAAGTTACACCGGGTGATGCGTTTTCAGATTCATCACTCAACAACTTCCTGTTTACCGAACACTTGTATTATTTTACACATGATAGCCAAGTTGAAAATTTTCGTCACATTTTTCTCAGGAACTACCTGACAAGGATTTCTGAAATTTGGTTTCAGGATTTATGTAAGTCAGCTATACCATGTGATGCGTTTTCAGATTCATCACTCAACAACTTCCTGTTTACCGAAATATTTCGGCGGGGGCATCATCAGTGAGCAGTAGCTCACATTTTTACTTGTTAAGAATAGTTATACAAAAAAAAAAAGAACTTTCACTGTAAAGATAAGTATGTTATGTGGATTCAATTCATGGGATACCATTTTTTGTTGATTTGGTGGGTACAGGTGAACCACAAAGGAGTAAGTTTGGTAAGGGCCATATGTGGCCCTGATTTTTAAGTTCAGTGTTTCAAGATAAAAAATGTTTAAAGATGATGAAATGACATGTGAGAAAGTTAAATAGAACTCGTTTGTTAAAGTTTTGTTAGAATGCGTTGATTTTTACATTCCAAGTAGTCAAAAAAAAAGATTTTTGTGAAATTTCACAGAATCTTTCGGAGTTCAACCAAATTAAGACCTAGGAAACAGAGCACAGGCGTTGACAAACTAAATATTCAAGTCAGATATGTTAAATTTCATAACAAACATTCTGTCAAAAGATCGTTTTTGTCGTTGCATGCGCTCTATATTTCCTATCCAAAAAATCAATGGAAATCTTATCTTTTTTTCATTGAATTTTTGAGGAAAATCAAAATGAGTGCTATTTGTGACTTCATGAATAGATCGCAAGTACGTAAATTTTCGACAAAAAGAGATATCTTCTATCTAGTCATTTGTTAGCAATGATTTCTTGTGATATTGGTCAATAAATCCTAATTTGAAATTTAAGCTAGAAGTAGAGGCCATTTAGGGGCCTTATCGAACCTACTCCTTTAAATGTTCAACAAGTTACAAATTCTCTATAGGTTTATTTGCATATTTTGTCAATTATGAAACAAAATCAAATATCCATGAAAATCCAAGTTTTCCTTAATCAACGAAAATTGGTACCCACAAAAATAAAAGAATCAACAGTATATTTTTTTGAATGTTACACAATAAAAAGAATGATTTATTTTGTTGTCTTCAGATTAATGGAAGTGAAGATGGAATATGCCAAAGAAGATGGAGCTGGAGACCAAGCAGTGTCTGTTGAACAGTGTCAATGTCCAGTGGGCTACACAGGAACTTCTTGTGAGGTAAGCTTTCTCCTCCCAACTGCACACAACACAGAGAGAAAACCTGTATAGAGCAGTGTCTGTTGAACAGTGTCAATGCCCAGTGGGCTACATGGGAACTGCTTGTGAGGTATAAGAGAGACAGAGGATACCAATGGGGTATTCAAACTCATAAGTAGAAGACAAGCTGATAATGCTATGGCAAAAAACTAAATATGGTGAACAGACAAACAACAGTCTACAAAGCTTTCTCCCTATAACTACACACACAACAGAGACCGAGAGACCGAGAGAGAGAGAGAAAGAAAAACCTCATATATGTCTGTTTGACTACATTGAGATTTTACAAAATAATCTTTTTGATAAACTGAAATAACTTGAATTAAAATACCTATATGTGACAACAACACTTCAAAGAGTCTGCAGTTTGATTAAACTTGGTCGCCATGTTTCTCCTGCAAGGCAGGCGTCATCAGGACCATTTTCGTACAGAAATTATTTTAATAATAGATTCTATATGTAAAATAGGTCATTTTACTATGCATTCAATATCTGGTAATAAAAAAATACAAGATGAGAAACTTAAGACTTCATTTAACATATGATGAATTTTAATATTTCAGAGTTGTGAGACAGGATTTTATAGAATAAAGTCCACACCTTACCTGGGAACATGTGTACCATGTAGATGTAATGGACATGCTGATTCCTGTGATTCATTGACAGGTGTTTGTCAGGTAAGTAATCTAAATGAAGATTTGGTTCATTTGTGTATACATAATGGTTGTTCAAACAAAATATGTATTTTTTGGTAAATGTACATTGTCATTTGAATTATGTGGGATTTATAAACCATTTTATATTTAAGAATTATTGGCCGATGATTTTTTGCATGTGTGTGTGATGAACAAAAATACAGAATTCATTTTCACACTGATGAAATGTAGTTCATCTTTAAAGTGATTACTGTGAATACATTCTTTCTAAAAGTGAACAAAACTTTATTGTGAGTGAATAATAAGAGACAATATTACATAATAAATATAAATTACACTAATTCTATTTAAAAAAAACATGTAGTAATTAGACAAATTATTCTTTTTCTTTTCCACATTTATGAATTTACTGCCTCTGTGGTCTCTTGGTAATATGTAATATTTAAAAGCAGCTTTGGTAAAATGTTTAGTAGGAAAATGACAAAGCATCAAGAAATTTATATATTTTGAAAAATATCAAATTTTATTTAAACTTGTATGCTATAATTCATTAAAAGTATCATTTCAAGTTTTGATATCTGTTTTACAGACTTGCAGAGACAACACCTTTGGAGATCACTGTGACCAATGTTTACCTGGTCACTATGGTGACCCAGCCACTGGACCATGTCAGATCTGTAGCTGCCCACTTCCTACTGCTTCTAACAAGTATGCGATTTTTAATTTCATAGATATATACTAGAACAGTTTAGAATGAAACTTGTGCTTTAAAAATATTTTTTCAATTCACTACATGAGTATCATTCGCAGTAAACAAGACTCCATAAATTAATCATTTTGTTTGTATTATGAAAATATTTTAAAGAAAAAGCAATGTACTATTTAGTACAAAAAAAAAATTCAAACATGAATTTTTGTAAAATTATATTAAACTTCAAGAGTAGATGTTACATTTCATTGTGTAGCTAACAGTAAGTTGTTTTGCAGTAAAATTAATTTAGTTTTACCATTCATTGGCTTTTATGTATGATAATCAGATAATATGTTGTTTTCAGGTGATTTTTTAAGATTTATTTTTATACGACCGCAACAAAATTTTGTGGTCGTATATTGGTATGACGTTGGCGTCGTCGTCGTCGTCTGAAGACACATTGGTTTTCACACTCTAACTTTAGTTTAAGTGAATGGATCTCTATGAAATTTTACCATAAGGTTCAATACCACAAAAGGAAGGTTGGGATTGATTTTGGAGGTTATGGTACCAACAGTTAAGGAATTAGGGGCCAAAAATAAGCATTTTTGTAACTTCCTGACATAACTTGTGTGTTAGTGTATGGATCTCTCTGACATTGTACCACAAGGTTCCATATCACAAAGGGACTGCTGGGATTGATTTTGGGGGTAATTGGCTCAAAATTTTAGGAATTAGGGGCCAAAAAGGGGGCAAAAAACAAGCATTTTTCTAGTTTCATGACAATAACTTGTGAGTAAGTGTATGGATCTTTCTGAAATTGTACTACAAGGTTCCATATCACAAAGGGAAAGCTGGAATTGAGTTTGGGGGTAATTGCCCAAAACGTTTAGGAATAAGGGGCCAAAAATAAGCATTTTTCTAGTTTCCAGACAATAACTTGTGTTCAAGTGTATGGATCTCTCCGAAATTGTACTGCAAGGTACCATACCACAAAGGGAAGGCTGGGATTGAATTTTGGGGATAATTGCCTCAAAATTTTAGGAATTAGGGGCCAAAAAGGGGTAAAAAACAAGCATTTTTCTAGTTTCAGGACAATAACTTGTGTGTTAGTGTATGTATCTTAATGAATATGTACTACAAGGTTCAATATCTCAAAGGGAAAGCTGGGTTTGAGTTTGGGGGTAATTGCCCAAAACGTTTAGGAATAAGGGGCCAAAAAGGGGCCTAAAAACAAGCATTTTTCTAGTTTCCAGACAATAACTGTGTTCAAGTGTATGGATCTCTCTGAAATTGTACTACAAGGTACCATACCACAAAGGGAAGGCTGGGATTGAGTTTGGGGGTGATGAATCATAAGGGGGTTCAAAAAATTTGAGGGAGGGATTTTTTTTTCTTTAAAATTTTCCATTTTAAATTGGTTATTTCTGATTTATATATAAAAGCAAATAATAATGATATGGTATGAATAGGTTAATTAAAAAATTTTAAGTTCTTGAACCACATTCATTCTGTGTCAGAAACCTATGATGTGTCAAATATTTAATCACAATCCAAATTCAGTGCTGTATCAAGCTTGAATGTTGTGTCCATACTTGCCCCAACTGTTCAGGGTTTGACCTCCGCGGTCGTATCAAGCTGCGCCCAGCGGAGCATTTTATTGTAGTTAAACTTGTGCTCTAAAGAAGGGGTTCATGGATTGACCTAAGTACTGTTTATACTTGAAATTATTTTGGGGCAAGATATGATGTGTATGTTTTACTTTATTTGTAGTTTTGCCACAAGCTGTGATGTATATAACAATCAGTTATATTCCTGTGAATGTAAAGAAGGATACACTGGTACCTATTGTGAGAGGTAAGAAACTGGAACCTATTGTACCTATTATGAGAGAGAGAGGAAAAGTCAGTTAAACTGTGTTTTTTTGATGCAACTGCACTAAGTTTTGCAATATATTTTTATACGACCGCAAAAATTAAAAATTTTTTGGTCGTATATTGGTATGACGTTGTTATTTTTATTATGTAAACAATGTTAAAGTAGATCTGATTCTTTACTTCCTCCCCATCTGGGGCTGGAACCTATAGTTATACCTCTATATTCTATGGCTATGCCGCCTAGCATTGTGCAGCCACCTTATCACCTCCAACTGTGGCTTATTAAACCAGCTTTTGTTTCAGGAGGTGTTACCTTCTCGTAGGTTTCAAATAAGGATGACTAATCACAGTACACAAAGTATTTTTAAGTGTACAGGAATTATCATCTCATCTCATCAGTATGAATATAGGATGCTATTTTTAGCATAGTCACTATAAATTTTATATTTATATATATTTTTATATTATTCAAGTATACTTTGAATTATATCCGTAAGGTAAACATTTTTATTATATACTTAGTAGTAAATACAGATACATTGTATGTGTAATACAATCATTGGCAAGCGTGCTGTATCAGCCACCCGTGATGATATCGATATCAGCACTGTTGCAAAGGCTTTATTAAACCCCTTATTTGTATGACATCATGTCTTTACGTCATAATGCTACATTTTCAAAGATGGACGATGTTGACGGTGGTGATGTAGCAAACTTTGAAATGTATACCGAAGAATTTGTACTGTCTATGAGTTGTTTAAAGTATATAATAAAGTGTATATGATATGGCTTTTTCTATATCACACACTGTATCAACCCTCAACCAATATAATCCTTCCAGCAGAGCTCTCATGATTATATTGGCGTGTCGGGTTGATACGGGTGTGATATTGAAAATGCCATATAATATTCTCTATTTATAGATGGAAAGTCCTTGATATTTAATAATAACAATCAAACTATATTGACATAGACCTAATAATTTTTTTTGTATTTCTTTGCTAAAGCAAGAGGCGTTTTATAATTCAACATACCAATGGGGTGAAGACTTTTACACTCTTTAAGATAAAAGTCTTGCATAATAACTACAGTTACAATGGCCTGTAATTATTAGGCTTTATGTTTATGTTAGTTAACAATTAAATTATATATATAACTTTGTATCACTTTTCTGTGGTTTTTCAACCTTATTTGAACTGTATTTCATGTTAGGATGGGTAAACTTGGAGGACTGAATGTCGTCATATTTTTAATGAATTTGCAGTGGGTTTTTTAAAGAACAAATTTGATTGACAAATAAGACAAGAATAATTGTTCAAACTTATAATTATTGGGATTGACCTATAGTAATCAATAAAAGAAAAATCTTTCACCATTCGTTGCATCATAAGTCATAATGTAGTTATATTCATCTATGTTGTTGACAGAAACTGTATTGTCTATATCATGGCTTCCAAAACGGTCATATATTCCGGACTTGACCGAAATTTATAACAAAAGTCCGGCTGCTCTCAGCCTCAAACGGTCAAATATCATAGGTTTGCCACTTTTGTTATTCAAGGCATTTTCATAAAACAGTCATTTCACTTTTTTTACCAACTATCGATCCGTAAAAATGTCCGTTTGGGCATTATAGTTTATAATTGTGGCAATCTATTTCACAAAGATATTTCGGTCATATTTGGGTTTAATTAAACAGATGCAGCATATTTCATACTCTGAAGTGTCTCAGTTAGTCTAATCATCTGGGTACACAAATGCACGGCTTGGTACATCAATAAAAAGTAGAAAAAAACATTTGTTCTTTTATTTAAAAAACAACAAGCTGTCAAACAATTATCCCTTCAATAAGTAATATTGAAGCCATAAATCATTCACTGATTACCTTTGATGAGAGACCTTAGCTTGTCTTAATCAATAGAATTGATGATGCATAACAATGAACATAAACAGGTGATAAAGGTGATCAGGTAAACGAGGTCAAACATGTAAGCGTGTATGGAACAACATCCTATTTAATTACGCTTTGCAGATATTATTGTAAATGAGCATTCAGTTTTAAAAAAGTATCCTTAGATTTTAAAATAATTCTTCAAATAAGAATATTTATAAATGAATTCGAATTTGTATGATATTCATTATTATATTTAAAAACACTGTACATCGTGTTAAATACTGGGGTACGCTAAAGGGTATTCAAAGTTATTTTCTTACATTTCAGCGGGTTGCATCTGATTTATTTAGTCTAAAAGATTGAAATTATAAGAAACACGTTAATAAATATGATTTGATGAAAAATTTGAAAAGGTTTTAAACTAATAATCGTCAGAACCACGTTGTTTGAACTAGTACACATGTGCGCATGTGTCTATTGTCTGCTGGTGGGAAATTTAATTATGCATCCTAATTCTTCAATAATGCTAAAATTATCATTGATACCTTTATCTAACGTTCATTTCGAGTATTTTCTTGAAGAAATAACTTGAAAAGGCTACCTAACTCAATCGTAAACTTACACGGATATTACGTATCCATGTCTGATCCGTGATTTACCATTATCAAGTCAACATCCGGCATTAGGAAAATGTGATTTTAAAAACGAAAGTAAAGCTTTTGACAGCGTTATTTTGCACAAATAAAGAGTCTAAAGCAGAATTAAGCAGAATTAGTACGCTGATGCTGCACACTTCGAATGCTGCACTTTCAATTTAACACTTTACGTCAGAACATCGAATTTATATCAAAGTAAAGTTTAATATCGTTTTAATGTCAATCATTGGTTATATCATATATGATGGCCAACTGGTTATCATAGTTGCCTAATTTACTAAGTCTAAAGGGATAAAAAATCGGGATAAGATATGAAATGTCCAGCTGGCTCAAACAAATTTTGGAAGCTCTGGTCTACATTGCTATTTTTTTTTTTAATCTAGTGAAACTTTTGAATGCCACAAAAACATTGGAAACTGGTTTGTTTTTTTAAGTCATTACTAAAAGTCATGTTTCAATGTTTTAATTCTTAGGTTATGGTGAAAGCTTGTGTAAAAATAAAGCAGTCAGCATTTCATGTAAACACTCGTTTTTTATCAATGATATATGTCTTTCAGATGTGCACCAGGTTACTTTGGCAACCCAAATCAGCAAGGAAGCACCTGCCAGCCTTGTCAGTGTTCTGGTAACATTGATATGAATGATCCTTATGCCTGTGATGTAGCTACAGGAGAATGTTTGAGGTGTCTTAATAATACAGTAGGACCACAGTGTTCCCTGTGTAGAGATTGGTATTATGGGGATGCTTTGCAAGATAAGAACTGTGCAGGTGGGTACTAGGTCACAGTCATTTAATGGAAAATTTAGAGCATGCCTTTAGCTATAATGTGACAAGATAGAAAGAATAAGAAAAAGGAGAGTATATTTAAGAGGAGGGTTCCCAGTGTTCTAGCTAGAAAATGAAGGGGTGCTATCCTTTAAAAAGGGCACTTTTATGCAGCTTTCATTTTTCAACAATTTTTTTCTTTCTTCATAAAAATAGTTGTTTATCAAAACATTGTATAAATAACTCATAGCTGAGAGGGTGATAGAGCCCATTGTTTTTTTCTAGGGGTATCAATCTGCTCTATCACCCTCTCACCTATGTGTTATTTAATTTTTTATACTGAATGTTCTGCCTTTATTGTCTTTAAAATTTTAAATTGAAAATAATTAAATATGACATCATGTACATAACAATGTTACAGTTATTAAAAAAACAACAAAAGTGAAGCAAGATGTATCTTTTATTTTGACAGTCTGAGAAAGTTCTGAGGCCAAAACGTAGGACTTGAGCATTGTCTTTAAAATTATTGATGTATTCCTTTAAATTATCAATTTTGACTGGTCTGCACGAGAGGGTGACATTCAAAAAATAGTCTCCCGCTAAGCCATGGGATAGTATATGAATAACACATAGCTGAGAGGGTGATAGAGCAGATTGTTACCCCGAGAAAACATTGTCAACTGAGGCGAAGTCAAGGTTGACAATGTCTTTTCGAGGGGTATCAATCTGCTCTATCACCCTCTCAGATATGTGTTATTTAATTTATTATACTGAATGTTCTGTTATAACTGTCGATTAGATTTCAAATTCAAAGTAATAAACTATGACGTCTTGTACATAACAACCATCCGTATTTAATAAAGGGCACACTTGATCAAGACACAAGTTGTTAACATACTACAAAATAATCATTACATTAGACAATATATGACACAGTACGGTACACTTGACACAGAAATATTTTAAATTGAACAGAAAAAAGAAATGAAACCACATAACAGGCATGCTTGTGATGTAAAGGACAGGTTTTCTGGCATCAGAGAAAAGTTTGAAAAAAGAGTAAATTTAGACAAACCACTTAGATGAAATACTGTAATTTTGTATTGCTTTAAATAAAAGTCCATATTAGAACATCTAAAAAGAAAATTGTTAGTGTTTAATTCGACATTTAGATTGTTGAAACTTTGTTAGAGTTGAGTTCTCTGTCCTGTGTAATAACAACTTAAGAAAAATTCTGCAGTTTTGATAGAACTGAAAATGTTATTGAAATTTATTTTCATTTCAATTTTCAGCATGTCAGTGTGACCAGTGTGGTTCTGAGTATTGTGAACGTGACAATGGACAGTGTTCATGTAAACCTAATGTCATAGGACCAGGATGTGAACAGTGCGCTGTATGTATAAACTGACCACACCAATCTTAATCTTCCAGTTTTTGAATATACTTTTATCAGGAGATGTTCTTGAATAACAGTAAACTTTAGTTTGCCTGTATAAATTGATATAAATGACCTGTGTTTTCTTATTTTAAAGCCAGCTGTAAGGACAAAAAATTATGGAAATTTAAAAAAAGAATCTTAATCTAAAAAAAGGAAAGTATTAGTCCTTGAAAATGTAGAAATAGTCTTCCAAAATTCATATTCTTTAAAACTGGCCTGAAGACATTACATCAGTAAAAAATTGCTAGCTCAAACAGATTGTCATAGTTTATTTGGTTCAGACTAATACTGAAGATGACTGTGTAAATACATTTTTTTTTTTAGCCAAATACATATGGATTTGACCAGTGTGGTGGATGTCGAGATTGTAACTGTGAAGTGGCATCTGTAAGTCCACAATGTGACATGGTGTCTGGAGATTGTAATTGTCAGCCAGGTGTTGAAGGAAGATATTGTGATGTGTGTATAGAGGGCTACTGGAACTATGCTGTCAATGGATGTCAGAGTATGTATTATTGAGTTTTCACAGCTGCATATTTATCATGGTGGCTCTAGGTTTTGACATGGATAAACAGATATCAATAGAACATATTGTGACCAGTGTATAGAGAGCTTTAATATTGTAACATTGTGTTAAAGTATGTATCTTTCATGTATATATATATGGGTTTTGTATTGAAAATTGTTGAAAGCATGGAGAGAAATATTGTGTCCAAAGTATATATATTTAATATGTATGAGGGGGATGAATTTTATTGTATGATAATTCTATTTTAATATCGATTTATGAACGTGAGTATATAAATCAGGTGGACTCAATTTAAAAGTATCAACAAGGGCTTTGACTATTCGCCAATACACCCATATTTATATTGGTATGACGTTGGCGTTGTCGTCGTCGTCTGGCGTCGTCCGAAGACACATTGGTTTTCGCACTCTAACTTTAGTTTAAGTGAATGGATCTCTATGAAATTTTACCATAAGGTTCAATACCACAAAAGGAAGGTTGGGATTGATTTTGGGGGTTATGGTACTAACAGTTAAGGAATTAGGGGCCAAAAATAAGCATTTTTGTAACTTCCAGACATAACTTGTGTGTTAGTGTATGGATCTCTCTGACATTGTACCAAAAGGTTCCATATCACAAAGGGAATGCTGGGATTGATTTTGGGGGTAATTGCCTCAAAATATTAGGAATTAGGGGCCAAAAAAGGGGCAAAAAACAAGCATTTTTCTAGTTTCATGACAATAACTTGTGTGTAAGTGTATGGATATTTCTGAAATTGTACTACAAGGTTCCATATCACAAAGGGAAAGCTGGAATTGAGTTTGGGGGTAATTGCCCAAAATGTTGAGGAATAAGGGGCCAAAAAGGGGCAAAAAAATAGCATTTTTTCTAGTTTCCAGACAATAACTTGTGTTCAAGTGTATGGATCTCTCTGAAATTGTACCACAAGGTTCCATATCACACAGGGAATGCTGGGATTGATTTTGGGGGTAATTGCCTCGAAATTTTAGGAATTAGGGGCCAAAAAAGGGGCAAAAAACAAGCATTTTTCTAGTTTCATGTCAATAACTTGTGTGTTAGTGTTTGGATATTTCTGAAATTGTACTACAAGGTTCCATATCACAAAGGGAAAACTGGAATTGAGTTTGGGGGTAATTGATCTAAACGTTTAGGAATTGGGGGCCAAAAAGGGGCCAAAAACACATTTTTCTAGTTTCCAGACAATAACTTGTGTTCAAGTGTATGGATCTCTTTGAAATTGTACTGCAAGGTACCATACCACAAAGGGAAGGCTGGGATTGAGTTTGGGGTGATGAATCATAAGGGGGTTCAAAAAATTGGGGGGGGGGATTTTTTTTTTTTTTTCCTCTTTTTTTTCTTTTTAAAATTTTCCATTTTAAGTTGGTTATTTCTGATTAATATTTAAAAGCAAATAATAATGATATGGTAGGAGATACACACCAAACAGGATGTGTAAATTATTATATAATAAGTATTGTGCAATATCAAGAAATTTTCAATTGCACAGTATTGCACAATAGCAAGAAATCTTCAATTGCACAGTATTGCGCAATAGCAAGAAATCTTCAATTGCACAGTATTGCGCAATAGCAAGAATCCAATAGCACAATATTGCGCAATAGCAAGAAATTGTCAATTGTGCAGTATTGCGCAATAGCAAGAAATATTCAATTGCACAGTATTGTGCAAAAGAAGATACTTCGTATAAATTGCTTATTTCTTGACCAATTTCAATGGGGTTTTATTCTTGAATTCTTGGGGTTCTTTAATATGCTGAATCCAACCGTGTATTAAGTTTTTGGATTTTGGGCCCCATTTTTAAATTGGTCCACATTGAGGTCCAAAGGGTCCAAAATTAAACTTTGTTTGATTTCATCAAAAATTGAATTATTGGGGTTCTTTGATATGCCGAATCTAACCGTGTATTTAGATTCTTAATTTTTGGTTATTTTTTCAAATTGGTCTACATTAAGGTCCAAAGGGTCCAAAATTAAACTAAGTTTGATTTTAACAAAAATTGAATTCTTAGGGTTCTTTGATATGCTGAATCTAAACATGTATTTAGATTTTTGATTATGGGCCCAGTTTTCAAGTTAGTCCAAATCGGGGTCCAAAATGAAAGTTTGTTTGATTTCAACAAAAATTGAATATATGGGGTTCTTTGATATGCTGAATCTAACCATGTATTTAGATTTTTGATTTTTGGGCCCGTTATCAACTTTGTCCACATTGAGGTCAAAAGGGTCCAAAATTAAACTTTGTTTGATTTCATCAAAAATTGAATTCTTGGGGTTCTTTGATATGCTGAATCTAACCATGTATTTAGATTTTGGATATTGGACCATAATAGGTGAATGTCCAATTTAAAATTTTTAGTTCTTAGACCACATTCATTCTGTGTCAGAAACCTATGCTGTGTCAAATATTTTATCACAATCCAAATGCAAAGCTGTATCAAGCTTGAATGTTGTGTCCATACTTGCCCCAACTGTTCAGGGTTTGACCTCTGCGGTCGTATCAAGCTGCGCCCTGCGGAGCATTTTATTATTAGCTACGTTGACAATGTTTGAAATTGAGGAGGACACACAAGTTTAAGCAGGTAAACAGCAAGGTAGGTCCACTTGAAATTCTCACAAATGTCAGATGCTGACAACTGTGCAGTGAAAAATTTGAAGTCCTTAAAATCTGTGGACAAGAAGCAGAATGTGTGCAAACAACCCTCTGAAGCCTCAGGTTCAAACTGGCAGGCTGCTCATAATGCAGTCCCAGTTTCTGTTAGAATGCCACCTTTCGTTGGAGCAGACCTTGTTACGGAAACCAGGTCAAAAGGTCCAGAGAAGGAGACATGTGTTACAGGTGTGAACTCTTTTGAACATTGGGCTTCGGATCATTTATTTTCATCTGTTGCTATGCATGCTTATTTTAATGCCCCACCTACAATAGTAGAGGGGCATTATGTTATTGGATCTGTGTGTCTGTTTGTTCGTCCGTTCGTTCGTTCGTCCGTCCGTTCGTCCGTCTGTCCTGCTTCAGGTTAAAGTTTATGATCAAGGTAGTTTTTGATGAAGTTGAAGTCCAATCAACTTAAAACTTAGTACACATGTTCCCTATGATATGATCTTTCTAATTTTAATGCCAAACCCCAATTTCATGGTCCACTGAACATAGAAAATGATAGTGCGATTGGGGTATCCATGTACTATGGACACATTCTTGACCTTCTTACTTGTGATTGACAGACAGGTTGACAAGAAGATAGTTTACAATATGTACTCTTAACGGAACATACAGATAGTTGTATATATATATCAGTATAAATTTGAGACATGCTAGAAGATGTGAATGTTTACCTGCACTTTACCTGTATTTGACCTTTACAGAGTGTAATTGTGAGTTTGATGGAGCTATCACCTGTGACAGGCAATCAGGAAGATGCCAGTGCTTACCAGGAGTGACAGGTCCTACATGTGATAGATGTCTTGACAGATGGGTACTTATCCCACAGAAAGGTTGCCAAGGTAATTTATGTTAACCAAAAAAGTCAGTTGAGCTTACTTGTCAATAAATGTCATAGCTTTTGTCATTACTTGATGTTTGTTGTTTCTTGACAATCACCTGAAACTTGTAATCAAATTTGACAAGTTATGTTCCTTATGTATATAGTAGGAATTGTGAATGTTTAGAAAACACCAAACTTGCCTGTCTTGCTCTTGAAATATCAAATGACCGTAAGATACGTGAGGGTTTATACATCCAAAAACCTTGGGACTTTCATTGCAAGCTTGCAACTGCATTTCTTTAATTTGAGGCTACAATTCTGAAAGAACAGAAAATGAAACAATATCATCACTTTAATTAATTAATTTATAAATAATATTACAAAAATAAAATGTAATAAATATACATCTTGTTAAAGGGAGACTTCGCAAAAAAATGAAAAATTCATATTCTGTTCATGATGTATAAAAAAGCACAAATTCATAGATATTAAAGTTTTATTCTGCAAGTTAAGAGATCACCATCGATTTTAAATTTAGAGTATCAATTCTCCGCATGCGGCCATTTTGACATCCTCCCCGAATATTGACCACGATATATCTATAAACCACAAAGGACCAAAACAAGCAGTAACCTTACGTAGCCGTAATTGAGTGTCGATATCTTGTCAAGCGTACGGTTGTTTTATCCGACAAGGAAAGCAGTTTCCCAGGTCACAAAAAAGATTATGATAGACATGGTTGTGCAACCTTTCCTAACTAACTTGATACGGAAAATGTAATTTTATATATATTATTTTTTAAATAACTAGTACTAATAGTATGGTCTGTCGTTTTGAAACTGTTTTGTTTACGAAGTATTTAAAACAATAAATTGAAATTAGTTAAAAAGTCAAAGTTATAAATAAGTGTTCCGTGTAAAATTGTTTTTGAAAATCTAGTTTGTTCATAATTGTTTTATGTAATAAACTTTTTAAAATAAATTCGGACCTTCCCTTATCTGATCACCAGAATGGCTAAAGGAATTGTTCCCAGAGGTATTGTGAGGTGACACGTACAGGTATTCAAGCGATTTCCTGTCGGGCTTTAAAACTGTTATTACACAATTACATAAAACAAGTTCGTGCATCACTTCTTTTCTGGGGGTATTGATCAGTGTACACGGCCGATAACATGTAACTTCCATTTTGAATCTATCAGGTGTAATATACAACTTTGTATAGCGTATGCGATAGTGATATACTAGTCATTGCTAAACTCATACGCTTGTTTATAAATAACATTTTTGGTGTAAAGAATGATATTTATGAAAGTTTAAATAATAAAAAAAAAAAAATTTGATGAAATAAAAATCTATTACACATTTTCCAAGGGTAAATTGGGGAAAATGTAAGTATAATACCCGTTGTCAATAATTATGGACATTTTGAAACATACAAATATTGATTTAACAAAATGTGCGGCACTTGTCGATCATTGGTTTATACGCCTAGATGGAAGGTTTAATACGGAACTATGGATAGTCGCAATATAGAACTAATATCATACAAGTATATTGAATATACGAGAGAAACATCAAGAACCAATCTGATTTAAATACAGGTCGATATCTAACTTGCTTTGGTTCATCGAAGCTATAGACATAGTAAAATCACAGATTTATATTTCAATAAGATTATTTCGAACAGTTTAAGAAATTCGTCATCATCACATTTTCCTGGTCCGACATGCATGTTATATATATATATGCCACCGGACGTGCACTAATGATCCCCAAAAGCCTATTTGAAGAAATAAAGAAACTTCACTCCGGATAGACTGATGGTAGTTGTATTAACGTCTGGTCAGCTAGAGGGTTGATTTATTTATTTAGTTAGCTTGTAGGGGATTTAACCACTCTTAATATTGCACTTATGCATTAGATATTAAATGACAATACCGGTAATATAAGAGAAAATATAAATACGAAAAGTTGCCGCCATATCTGATAGAAAAGGACTCACCATGAACTATAGGATTGTACGTACGATTGTCATTCTAAATGGCATAACGGACAGTCATTTAAATGCATGCATGTACGCTGTGATAAAAAGGGGTGTCGCAGTTGCAAAGTATTCATCATAAATATATTTCAAATTTATTATTTCCTGTTATTTTTATAAGTTAACGCAGAGACATGTATACACTAGATCTCTATTTAACGACAAGCAACTATATAAATATCTGAATCTGATGTGACTTACCGTTCATCTCTTTCTTTTTTCTCATTTTATTTTTATTTTTGCAGGAATATACACATTGTAAGATATACTGTTCCTCGATTGGGGGGGGGGGGGGGGGGGGGGTCTGAGGTCATGTCTATCTATCTATGATTAACCTTGACATTTCCGGGTATAACAGAGCTACTTGTATATTACCTGAATGTGGTTAGGTGACGTCCCATGAGGTCTTACGTATACATGTTCATATTTATAATGGTTTCTGATATAACAATTAGGTTTTATAACATTCACACTTCTGCATGTTCTGTTTACCAAATTCGTATCTTTTTTTCAGACCGAATGAGGATGTGAATATTTTCCAGGATCAAATTCATTTCGGCATTTTTTTTATTTCTTTGTATTAAATCTCAGAAATTTACAGAATATACTGCTTGTCCGCTTTAGGAGTTTTCTTGTCAGTTTAAACAGACGTATATATGTCTCTGGTTTAGAGTGGGTTTATGAATGAATGATAAGTCTTACAAAGGTACAAGATATCAAGCACATTGAAAATTGATTTCGACGTTCTGTCTCCATTTAAAAAAGGAAAGTTGACGTTAGATTGATTCTGTTATTTTTTTTAAACATCGTTGGTCAAATAGCTTAAGAATTATATAAATACGTTGTGAGATTTATAATATTTTAATAAGGGCATTCCTGATTAGGTAAATGAAGATCGCTTTGGACGACAAAACTATATTTTTGTAACTGATAATTTTCTCTGCACATTTAAATATTCAAGGTTACCGATGATAATTTAAAATAGTACTGTTTTGATATATACGCTCGTTTTCGTGTGCCATTTATAATATTTATATAATTATTTTATTAAAAGTGATTCAGATTTCGATGTTACAACAAAATACTCACCTATTTATTTAAAAACCGAGCAAATGCAAAATGTTAAAAAAATATATATATAACAGCGATTAAGGTATTTTGCCACTATATTCCTCCCTTAATAATTAAAAAAAATCTGTCTCATACCTGCAACGGTGAACCCTTGAGGACAAACACCACTCTAGTGAAGATCAAAGGATTAAAATTACATAATGCTAATCTTTTAATTACCGTGAATTTAACCACGCCTTTACCAGGTGGTGTCAGCATAATACACATGCATTGTATTTACACAGTACTAGACTGATGCAAGGATTTGTATAGTAAGACAAATCCTCGACTGAAGTAATAGGGGAGAATACAAACGGGAATTTCTATTATACTATCAGTTATATATGTTGTTCAAAATATCCGTCGAAAAAAAAATCATAAAAAAATTCTATTGTATGATTTGCTTTTATTACTATAATCATATCAGAAACCCTAAAAATATAAATCGTAAATTTTAATTTAAAAAAATGCACGGCTAATCACTTTTCTTTCTGAATTGTTAGTTGGTTAATAGCTACACCAAAAGTCGTTGATGCGCTTTAAATCGCGTTATTAGATGATTAACGAACAAGACTTTAAATGAGATTAATCCACTCCCGGCATGCAAAAAGACTTAAACTACGTCACATAAGTCAGGAAGTTTGAATAAATAAAATTAATAATTCCCAATTTTCTTCTTTATTAGTTTTCATATCCAGATAAAACTTGGTGAATATGTTTTTAATGGTATTATGAACATAATAAGATGATAAGTAAAAAATCGCGAATTTTCCCTTTAAGTATTAAAAAATATCAGAAAAAAATGAATTTTGATAAAAGTTTTGTTTCATGTGGCCTTGATTTTACATATAAATAGTGTGATATATAACAAATGATTTTCTATTTTTTTTCAGAGTGTGACAACTGTGTACACACATAAATAGAATGATGTATAACAAATGATTTTTTTTTCAGAGTGTGACAACTGTGTACACATTTATAAATAGAATAATGTATGATAAATGAATTTTGTTTCAGAGTGTGACAACTGTGTACACATTCTGATTGATGATGTTGAAGCTTTAGATTCTGAATTGGGAGGTCTGACGGCTAATTTGGCAGGAGTGTCAGCAGGTGTGTCTGCTCATAACAGATTACAGAGGATTAATGAAAGTGTAATAGCTCTCAGGGTAGGTTGATTCAATTATTCTTTATCATTCAAAGTTTCATCAGAGAATTTTCTTTGTGCATCCTGGAGAAATCTAATGGGGGAAATATATAGATATGTACAAATGAATCAAATGCTTTTGTTTTATTATTATTTAATTTTAGATTTTCATACTTAATGTAAAATTTCTATTTTGACTTTACAGCCAGAAGTTGCAGATCTATATTCTGACCCTAGAGATCTAGAATTGACCCCATTAAGACAGGAACTCAGTGAATTGGAAGTACAGGCAAATAATGGCAATGGCAAGGTAAATATGGAAACAGCAGATGGATTTATAAATTTTAAAATTTTAAAAAGTTTCACCTTCCTTAAAGCATTGTTTAGTTTGAGTATTTTTTTTCCAGTTCCTTTTAAAACCCTGTGATTATATTGTTGAGCTTGTATTTTTATCTTTGACTTTCCAAACTTTTATCTTTGAGCATATCCCATGTAGGTTCTTTTAGAAAAGTGTTTTAATGGCAGCAAATACTTGACTTAAGTTTTTACGCATTATCCAGATTGAATATTATATCAGAATATATGCTGTTCTCCTTTATTAAAGCACCAAAGGTTAACCCAATGGTAATGAATATAGCAGACATGTCTTAACCTAACCTTAGCAAGTACACACAGCATTAACTATTTTTGGGGGATAATATTTGGAAATGTGTTGTAACTGTTTTCCTACATTTCAGGCTTCATCTCTGGTAATCACAGGAAATGCTGTTCAGGAGGAAAGCAGTCGTCTGCTAGAGTCTGCCCTTGAGACAGAGGGCACGACTAATGAACTAGACCAGATAAGATTGGGTAAATTTTTAGGTTAGGTTACAAAAAGTTGTCAGTAAAAATAAAGCTGGGCATAAACTGGAATTTTAGGGTAAACCTTAAAGGTTAGGGTGCATGCAACATAAGAATGTTATTAGCTGAAAGAGGTGTTCATGAAAATATACTGGAGAAAAAAACTAACAAAAATAAGGTGAAAGTTTTATGATATGTAAATGTTGAAAAAGGAACAGAATAGTAAAAGTTCAAGTGGATGTTGAATTAATATGTTGAGCTTATATTTTTGCAGAAACAGTCCAGTACATAGAGAGTGTACTAGAGAGAATTCTACAGGGCATCAAATTGACCAACATCTCAAACTATGTGACCGTCTCACAACAGATCATGGATGAAATTATCAGTCGAAACTTCTCCAAAGATACCGAGGAATGTAATGCTGAGAAAATGGCTGCCATAACAAGTAAGTTAAAGATTTTCATTACTATAAAAGAGGTGGACAAGGGGCACCTGATTCTCACTCCCTTACTCCCAGGTGTAAATTGGTCAAAGAAATTTTCTAGCATATCTATTTTTTACTCCCTCTTCTCCTGGTTCCAACCCCCTGACTCCCGCTACTGGTCCCTCATTCGCTGTCTAACCCCTTATACTAGACAATGTTGAAATTTTTCATGATTGTATTTATAAATCCAATTTTCTCTTTCTTATTTGTTATAATTGAAAGGGGAGTGAGCCTACAATTTTTTTAACGCAATTACTATTAATTTATGAAACTTTGGACATTGTTTTAACCAGTAAAATAAGTCACTTGATTCTTTGACAGAGTTAAAATTAATCATATAAAATTTTATCTTAGCATTTTTTATTTGTTGTAATGTACTTTTAAAATTCTGTTTCCAACTTTTTTTTAGTGACCTTTAGTTTAAGAGGTTATGTCGTGAAGACAGACAACGGTGCCAACCACACAGCTATAACCAGAGCTGCTGTAGACAGAATTGGAGGACGTTTGTATGATTTACAGAATGGTAGTCGCTTATCTGTATTAGATGCTGAGGACGCCATCAATATGGCTGAGGATATCAGAACAGTTCTCATGGCTACATTACAGGTATAATGGTGTTTATATTCTATAGAAGTGATCAGATATAAGGCTACACTATTAACAATGTTACATACGATATGAACAAATAGAGATTTACTTGTCACATACACAGCATCTTTACAACTTGAAAAAATGTTGAAAACCATGAGGTCAACCTATAATCTTTAACAATAAAGAAGTGTTTATACAATATGTTAAGCTCTTAATTGTCCAAAGTCAACACAAGTAGTGGATAGTGAATGAAATTAACAAAAGAATAAGGAAATTTTTAAACAGTCATTCATCAGAACTCAAAATTTTTTTGCGTGAGTCGTAGAAACACAAAGGTGTTATTGTCTTCCTGACTACACAAAAATCTGAGACAGTGTACAGTTATCCTCAACTTCCAGTATTAAGAAGCAGATATAGTAGGAGAAAAAAGTGTGTATTGGACATGAAACTGACATTCTATAGAAATGCCTCCAGAATGTATTCCTTTACAAAGTAAAAATAAACATCATCCTTATCATTATTGTTAACTTATAAAAAGAAGGTTTTTTATTTATAGTGCTGATAAAGTTCAGGTTTAAAGGTACAAGTTAAAAATAAAGAGTTAAGTGGGGAAATTTCTCATTGGTAGAAATGTTCTTACAGTGAACTTCAATTTTGGTTTGTATATTATTTTATATGTGTTTTAAACTGTTGAGTGTAACTTTTAAGCTTTAATGTATACCATGCGAAAGACTTAATTAAATGTGCACACATACACAGTAAGACTATAAAACTTACAGTTGCCAATCCATACTTTTAAATATAAGACGTGTTACCTGATGAGCTCCCAAAGGTAATTGGTTTTAGATGAGTTGATTATGCATGTTTGTTTCACTTGTCATCATACTTTCCGCAATTAGGTAAACGAGTATGTGCCTTATTATGATGTTTTACATAAAAAAATTTTTTTTTTTTTAGATGTATAGAATTTTTATCACCACAATGTTTTGATGCTTTTTCAGGACAATGGTATATAAACCCAAATCAACCATTCTACCATTGCAATTTACCATTAACAAGGTGTCCATGATTGTTAAACAGTTTATAGAATCAATAGTCTTTTGGTTAAAAAAAAATTAAATAACTCAAGGTCAAGGTATAAAAGGTGATTTCATTGGCTTGTAAAAGTTTCTGGTCCAAATAGACTAAGTTGTAGCATGACTGGGACTCAGAATTTTCAATTTATTTTTTATTAGTCCACAATTGATGACATAAAAATGCATGGAAGTGATACAGAGATGGTGCTTGACATGTCTAGAGATCTGATAGAGAAAGCCTTATTGGCTCTCCAACACACCAAAAACTGGACAAAAGAACTGGAAGAAAATTCATCAAAGATGGATGATGCATTGGTCAAACTCAGTGAGCGCACAGACAATCTTAAGATGGGAATAGCAATGTCAGAAGGGCCAGTCAATGATAGTATAGCTCATGCTAATTCCCTAGAAGAACAAGCCAGATTTTTGGAAAGGTATCAGATATAGCCATAATAAATATGGTCATCCCCTCAATCGGATTTTTAGAGTCGAACACAAGTTTGAATTTTGATTTCTTGCTATTTACATTAAAAATGAGGGGGAAAATCTAAAATTCAACCCCTTCCCAATTGATTAAAAATGTTAGAAGATAATATTGTAGTAAACACATCGCATTGGAAGTGTAAATAACAAGTAGGGGAAACAACAAACTATTGTTTAAAGAGATATTGCTAATGACAATACACAAAGCAGACAAATTAAAAGCAACTAGACAGATGTAAAGACAAACAGAATAAAAAAGTTTGAAAAAAGAGCAAACAATTCAGTCTTAGCTTTAGTCAAAACAAGCTCCATTTAAAACTGGAATTGAGTTCAGAAGCTCTAGAAGGGTAAGCATATCCTGATTTGGATTATCTGCCCTTATGAAACCTTTATACTTAAAAAAAATAGAAAGATCAAGAAATGTTGATCAATAGGATTTTGAAATTAGCTAAAGTACAATATGATGGAATGGTTAGAGTTCTAATTTATGAAGAAGAGCTTGTGGTTTCAATGGTATGTCTTGTTAAAATATGGTTGTAACCAATCTTAAACAGTAGAAACATTGTTTTAATAGACTAATATTTATCATGTTAATATTACAAAATCTTTGGGTTTGTCTGAAACAGTGAAAGATAGTACACATACTCTAGCATATTGTGACATAGAGGAGATAATCTTTTGTTAATGAGTACACATACTCTAGCATATTGTGACATAAATAAGATAATATTTTATTAATGAGTACACATACCCTAGCATATTGTGACATAGAGAAGATAATCTTTTGTTAATAAGTACACATACCCTAGCATATTGTGACATAGAGGAGATAATCTTTTATTAATGAGTACATATACCCTAGCATATTGTGACATAGAGGAGATAATCTTTTATTAATGAGTACACATACCCTGGCATATTGTGACATAGAGGAGATAATCTTTTATTAATGAGTACACATACCCTAGCATATTGTGACATAGAGGAGATAATCTTTTATTAATGAGTACACATACCCTAGCATATTGTGACATAGAGGAGATAATCTTTTGTTAATGAGTACACATACTCTAGCATATTGTGACATAGAGGAGATAATCTTTTGTTAATGAGTACACATACCCTAGCATATTGTGAAATAGAGGAGATAATCTTTTGTTTATTGAATCTAATTAGAAATACATTTTCTTTACCAGTATGTATACGGACTCCCGTGATTCCTCGTCCAATGCTATCAATGCTGCACAGTCCTATGGAGATATAGTAATGGCCATCGATGATGCATATGCTGCTGCTATTTTGGCTGTTAATGCTTCAGATGAAGCATTCATGAAGGTATGTCAAGGAATAATATGATGAATGGAGAAAGAATGTTTTGGCTATACTTTTTGTCATTTTTGGTTTATAAGCTCTTCATTTTTTTAACAAGTTTTCTATTTTTAAATATTTTGGCCTTGAGCATCAATGAAGAGACATTTATAGTTGAAATGTGTATCTGATGGAGTAAAATTGGTACCTTAATGTTATTTGAGATGTGAAATTGTCTAAAAATGAAGAATGTATACCCTTGTTTTCAAACACTCTCTGTGAGGGAATGAAAATAGTTTAAAAAGTTATTTTGTAAACTGATGAAAATATTTCAAGCTCATTCTCAGTTAGGGTTGAATCAGTTATAGGATTAAATTAAGCCTGGATTTTGTTTGGTTGGGACAATAATGTTGAGAGCCTTGTGACCTACTGAATAAGATTATCATTGGGTTTGTACTTACATGAGCAACATGATGGGTGCCACATGTGGAGCAGGATCTGCCTAGCGTTTCGAAAGCAAATGAGATCACTGCTGGTTTTTTATGGGGTTTGTGTTGCTCTGTCTTTAGTTTTATATGTTGTGTTTTGCTTACTGTTGTTTGTCTTTTGGTCAATTTTCATCTTTTGCCATGGCCATGATTTTGAATATCCCTTTGGTATCTTTTGCCTCTCTTGTATATTCTCAGTTTAGATATGATGCTTTGAAATGCTGATAGCAAAAAAATGTTAACAACACAAATATCTTTTTTGCACTAACAGCTGTTGCAACTTGCCAAGCATACAGTTTCTGCTTAGTGTCATTAGGTCAACCTGTGATAAATTGAGGTTATATTTTGGTAATTTTTTTTAGACTCAGTTATTTGTAAGTTAAAAGTTATTTATTCCTATAACCTACTGAATAAATTCTATATTCTATATATGTATAATGGCTTTTCTACTGTTAAAGCTACAATGATGTCTTAGTAAAGCAATTCAGTTCAAATTTTATAAGAAACAATAATTATATTAGTATACACATACAATTACATTAACTTTATTAAGGAATTTTTAATACATATAAACTTTACTTAAAAACTAACCAAATGTATTTATTTTAAACAATATTTACATCATAATTAATATTATAGTTGACTGCCTCTTCATGGGATTTTTCAATTTAAATACAGTGGATTCATTTATATTCATGGGAACCAATTATCATGGATTGAGGAAAAATTTGATTTTCATGGCCATTGAATTTTGCGGTTATGCAAATTAAAAGACTATGCAATCCTATAGTACATTGAACTTTATAATTTGCAGTTTACAGATACCCATAAAATCAACAAAAAGTGTGCTAACCCACTAATTATAATCCACAGTGGTATGTTTAGGTTTTCTCTATAGGCAATACTCAAACTTGTTATGGCTTGTAACATTGCAAAAGTTTTAATATATTTCTGTCTGATGCAATAGTCAGGGACAGAAGGGGAAGAGGAGGGAATAGATATGTCATCAGAATTTAATGGATTACTTGTATATTTGTAGTCTAATGGTGTTGGTGAAAATTCAGCTATATCTAAGAACCAGAGTATGAACTTGTTAGAGGAAGCCAAAACAAGGATGACTAGAACAGAACAAGGTATTATAGTGATGTAGCATAAGACAATCTAAAAATTTGTGTGTAATTTTCTCGATCAATCGTTATATTGAGCTCTGAACCTTATGTTCTAGTAAGAATATCTTCAAAATCTTTTCACCAACAGATCAGTGACTGATTTTGTCAAACGATACAGAGTTGATCAAAACCACCTAAATTGTTGTTACATTGTTTATTGAAAGGTTAAAATGACCAACTTCCGGTTTAAGATTTTAAGACCGATTCTTCAGAAGCTCTGTTCATTACAGTTGCTTCATTTTAATTTTGTGGATTGAGGAAAAATGGTATTTTCAAAGTTACTCAATTTTACCATTTTTGCATAATAATAATAGTATTGAAAATTTGTCTTTTGTTCAACATGGAAATTTAATGTTCTCCCATACCCAGGAAATGCACAAAAGTTAGTACTCTAAATTATTTAATTATTATCTTTCAGAATTGTCTGGTAGGTTAGAAGATGCCAAACAAGAGACAGAGAAAGTTAAAGGCTTGAATGCTCAGCTGTCTAATGAATTAAATGAAGTCCAGGATGATCTGCCTTTTGGTAAGTACATGTTATTTTACTGAATAAGGATCTTCTCAACTATTGTTGTGATTACTAGTACCAATCTATTACGTGTTTGGATTGTTCTGTCTTATAAAGAACAATGTCACAAACATAGAAAAGAATTAACTTCAAACAAGGTATCAAAAGTTGATGCCTTCTTTAAGAAATTTTCTTTTAATTAAACAAATGTATACTGCTTTATGATGTCATTGTGCATACCTTTAACTGCTTCATATTGAGTCTCTGAACATTTTAAATTCTCCTTAGTCATGTGACTGTTACATGTATACCAAAACTAATTGCATAGGACATTATTGTCTCGCCTTGACCGAGTCAAAAAAAGCGAGAGATAGGTATGCTGTTTTCAGTGGCAGCAGCGTCAACAATGTATTACATGTAGTTTGTGATTAGGTCTAGTTTATGGTGAACCACTAGTGGTAGGTCAATGATAATTGGTATGCAGTTGAATAAGCATTAGCACATCTCATTTCCATGAAGAATATTTGGTCCTTACCTCTCAGTCATGGTCTATTGACTTTGAAACTTTTGCTCAGTTTACATGTATTAGTTTGTGATTAGGTCAGTTTAAGATGAACCACTAATGTTAAGTCAATGATATTTGGTAAAGTTTCATTTCCATGGAGATTATATAACCCCACCCCCTCATTATGGTTCATTGACTTTGAAACTTTTACGTAGTTTACAAGTTAATGTTTGTGTTTAGGTTTGTTTAAAGGGAACAACTTATGAAAAGTCAATTCTATTTGGTATGCAGTTGTATTAGCATTGGCACATCTCATTTCCATTGAGATTGTTTAGTCCTGTACCTTCAGTCATGGTTCATTGACTTTGAATATTTGCATAACTAACATGTTAAAATATTGCTATTTTGATTTGAACATTTGCATTATCAAAATAACAAACAGGCGAGACATATCTCTGTGTTAACAGTTTATTAAATTGAATTTTCATTTATTTTTGTTCCTGTGGCTAAAAAGTATACAAATGAAACCTTGAAATAATTGAACTTGTATTTACTCAACAGGAAATGTAGGTCAACGTGCACAGGACGCTCAACAAAAGGCGACAGATGCAGAGCAGAAAGCCATTGATGCCCGTAATAAAATCAGTAACATCCTTAACAAACTGCCAGAGGACAAGAGAAAGGTTGAAACTCTAGCCACTGACACTGTCAATACTAATAAAGCCACAAACGATGCTATGGAGCAGAGTAAGTTTTATTATAAGGACTTAACTCTTACCCTTACAGAGCACCTGAGATCACCCACGGTTTTTGGTGGGGTTTGTGTTGCTCTGTCTTTATTTTCTATGTTGTGTTTTGTATATTGTTGTTTGTCTATTGGTCTTTTTCTTTTTTGCCATGGTGTTGTCAGTTTATTTTTGACTTATGAGTTTGAATGTATCTTTGGTATCTTTCGCCTCTCTTTTACCATGCTGAATTGTTTTCAGAAAATGTCTAGTTTTTGTTTATTTGTAAGTTATATGCAAATGAGCTATATCCTGCTGCTGGTGCTTATTGATGACAATAAAGCTAAGATAGGGGATCACGTGGTGGGATGAGTAGGGTGAGAAGGTGGGGGTTGGTGGGTCGGCTGCTGCCCCAAAGTTAGTCATCTGTTGTGAAAAGTGTCAATTTTGACAATTTTTCGTACTATTTTCTCAATCCACGAACATTGGTATCCACAAAAATAAATGAATCCAAAGTAGAAGAAAGTAAGAAGTATGGTTTCAATGAAAAAACATACAGATTAAATTTGGGCTGAAAAATTTCTTACATGTGAAATTTGAAAATTCTAAATCAATAGCGTTGAGTTGTGAATGGATACCGCTGTGGTCTGTCCCAATACCACAGTGCTGAAATGTGATAGGAGTGAATACTGCAGCGCTAAAACGGCCTGGGGAGAACACTGAACCAAAAACAAAGTTGGTGTCATATGATTATTTTGTGTCATTAAAATGGAAATTTCTGTATCAACGTAATAAGATTTTTTTATGAGAAATCTATGGATTTGAAATTGGAGATTGATGATTTTCAGACAAATTTAAGAACGTTTATTGTCGATTTCATGTGCTTTCTATACAAATAGTTCTTTCAAAAAGAATTCAATAAGTAATATTTTTCGATTTTCAGTATAGTTTAACGAGCCAAAGTTGTATGCAAAATTTTAGCAAATTCTGTGACACAGTCCATTAACTGTAACTTGATCGTAAAGGTTATTATAAAGTATGTTAAAGTTCACATGATTTTTGAATAGAATATCACATGATTTGTGTATGGAAGATCACATGATGTTATATCTTTTCATTTGACAGTTAACTATGTGTCAAAAAATGTACCAGAAATTGAGAATCTCATTAACATAATTGGTGTACAGAAGAAGACAGTACAAGAATTGAAGGACAGAGTGATTGCAAATATTACAGAACTGAAGGAGAAAATCAAATTAGCAAGAGATGAAGCAAACAGGGTAGGTGGTGCTGTGGTCACAAAAAACAGCCATTTTATGCTTTTTAAGCACTCCAAAAATAGGTTTGTGTCACACACACAGTGCGACTAAGTGAATTTTGATAAAAATGATAACTTTTTATGTGTACTGTTCTTAAGGATGTATTCTTCTGATGTTTCAGTCTCGTTGAAATCTCTTTTCGTGAATTATTTCCAAAACGTGATACAAGTGAAAAACTAAACTCTGTGAAAAAATTGTGTACTTACAATAAGTAGTTTTTATACGACCGCAAAAATTGAAAATTTTTTGGTCGTATATTGGTATGACGTTGGCGTCGTCGTCGTCGTCGTCTGGCGTCGTCAGGCGTCGTCCCAAGACACATTGGTTTTCGCACTCTAACTTTAGTTTAAGTGAATGGATCTCCATGAAATTTTACCATAAGGTTCAATACCACGAAAGGAAGGTTGGGATTCATTTTGGGGGTTATGGTACCAACAGTTAAGGAATTAGGGGCCAAAAAGGGGCCAAAAATAAGCATTTTTGTAACTTCCAGACAATAACTTGTGTGTAAGTGTAGGGATCTCTCTGACATTGTACCACAAGGTTCCATATCACAAAGGGAAGGCTGTAATTGATTTTGGGGGTAATTGCCTCAAAATTTTAGGAATTAGGGGCCAAAAAAGGGGCAAAAAACAAGCATTTTTCTAGTTTCATGACAATAACTTGTGTGTAAGTGTTTGGATATTTCTGAAATTGTACTACAAGGTTCCATATCACAAAGGGAAAGCTAGAATTGAGTTTGTGGGTAATTGCCCGAAACGTTTAGGAATAGGGGGCCAAAAAGGGGCCAAAAATAAGCATTTTTCTAGTTTCCAGACAATAACTTGTGTTCAAGTGTATGGATCTCTCTGAAATTGTACTGCAAGGTACCATACCACAAAGGGAAGGCTGGGATTGAGTTTGGGGGTGATGAATCATAAGGGGGTTCAAAAAATTTGGGGGGGGGGATTTTTTTTTTCTTTTTTTTTCTTTTTTTCCTTTTTTTTTTTCTTTTAAAATTTTCCATTTTAAGTTGGTTATTTCTGATTAATATTTAAAAGCAAATAATAATGATATGGTAGGAGATACACACCAAACAGGATGTGTAAATTATTATATAATAAGTATTGTGCAATAGCAAGAAATTTTCAATTGCACAGTATTGCACAATTGCAAGAAATCTTCAATTGCACAGTATTGCGCAATAGCAAGAAATCTTCAATTGCACAGTATTGCTCAATAGCAAGAAATATCCAATAGCACAATATTGCGCAATAGCAAGAAATTGTCAATTGTACAGTATTGCACAATAGCAAGAAATATTCAATTGCACAGTATTGTGCAAAAGAAGATACTTCGTATAAATTGCTTATTTCTTGATCAATTTCAATGGGGTTTTATTCTTGAATTCTTGGGGTTCTTTAATATGCTGAATCTAACCAAGTATTAAGTTTTTGGATTTTGGGCCCCGTTTTTAAATTGGTCCACATTGAGGTCCAAAGGGTCCAAAATTTAACTTTGTTTGATTTCATCAAAAATTGAATTATTGGGGTTCTTTGATATGCCGAATCTTACCGTGTATTTAGATTCTTAATTTTTGGTTCCCTTTTCAAATTGGTCTACATTAAGGTCAAAAGGGTCCAAAATTAAACTTAGTTTGATTTTAACAAAAATTGAATTTTTAGGGTTCTTTGATATGCTGAATCTAAACATGTATTTAGATTTTTGATTATGGGCCCAGTTTTTAAGTTGGTCCAAATCGGGGTCCAAAATTAAACTTTGTTTGATTTCAACAAAAATTGAATATATGGGGTTCTTTGATATGCTGAATCTAACCATGTATTTAGATTTTTGATTTTTGGGCCCCATTATCAACTTTGTCCACATTGAGGTCAAAAGGGTCCAAAATTAAACTTTGTTTGATTTCATCAAAAATTGAATTCTTGGGGTTCTTTGATATGCTGAATCTAACCATGTATTTAGATTTTTTATTTGTGGACCCGCTATCAAATTGGTTCATATTGAGGTCAAAAGGGTCCAAAATTAAACTTTGTTTGATTTCATCAAAAATTGAATTATTGGGGTTCTTTGATATGCCAAATCTAACCGTGTATTTAGATTTTTAATTTTGGGTCCCGTTTTTAAATTGGTCTACATTAAGGTCCAAAGGGTCCAAAATTAAACTAAGTTTGATTTTAACAAAAATTGAATTCTTGGGGTTCTTTGATATGCTGAATCTAAACATGTGTTTAGATTTTTGATTATGGGCCCAGTTTTCAAGTTGGTCCAAGTTGGGGTCCAAAATTAAACTTTGTTTGATTTCAACAAAAATTGAATATATGGGGTTCTTTGATATGCTGAATCTAAACATGTATTTAGATTTTAGATTTTTGGCCCAGTTTTCAAGTTGGTCCAAATTGGGGTCCAAAATTAAACTTTGTTTGATTTCAACAAAAATTGAATATATGGGGTTCTTTGATATGCTGAATCTTACCATGTATTTAGATTTTTTATTTGTGGGCCCGCTATCAAATTGGTTCATATTGAGGTCAAAAGGGTCCAAAATTAAACTTTGTTTGATTTCATCAAAAATTTAATTATTGGGGTTCTTTGATATGCCAAATCTAACCGTGTATTTAGATTTTTAATTTTGGGTCCCGTTTTTTAAATTGGTCTACATTAAGGTCCAAAGGGTCCAAAATTAAACTTAGTTTGATTTTAACAAAAATTGAATTTTTGGGGTTCTTTGATATGCTGAATCTAAACATGTTTAGATTTTTGATTATGGGACCAGTTTTCAAGTTGGTCAAAGTTGGGGTCCAAAATTAAACTTTGTTTGATTTCAACAAAAATTGAATATATGGGGTTCTTTGATATGCTGAATCTAAACATGTATTTAGATTTTAGATTTTTGGCCCAGTTTTCAAGTTGGTCCAAATTGGGGTCCAAAATTAAACTTTGTTTGATTTCAACAAAAATTGAATATATGGGGTTCTTTGATATGCTGAATCTTACCATGTATTTAGATTTTTTATTTTGTGGGCCCGCTATCAAATTGGTTCATATTGAGGTCAAAAGGGTCCAAAATTAAACTTTGTTTGATTTCATCAAAAATTGAATTATTGGGGTTCTTTGATATGCCAAATCTAACCGTTTTTTTAGATTTTTAATTTTGGGTCCCGTTTTTTAAATTGGTCTACATTAAGGTCCAAAGGGTCCAAAATTAAACTTAGTTTGATTTAAACAAAAATTGAATTCTTGGGGTACTTTGATATGCTGAATCTAAACATGTGTTTAGATTTTTGATTATGGGACCAGTTTTCAAGTTTGTCCAAGTTGGGGTCCAAAATTAAACTTTGTTTGATTTCAACAAAAATTGAATATATGGGGTTCTTTGATATGCTGAATCTAACCATGTATTTTGATTTTGGGCATTGGACCATAATAGGTAAATTAAAAAAATTGAAGTTCTTAGACCACATTCTTTCTGTGTCAGAAACCTATGCTGTGTCAAATATTTAATCACAATCCAAATACAGAGCTGTATCAAGCTTGAATGTTGTGTCCATACTTGCCCCAACTGTTCAGGGTTCGACCTCTGCGGTCGTATCAAGCTGCGCCCAGCGAAGCATTTTATTGAGTAATAAAATCAGGTCAAAATGTTGAGAAAATGGATGAGGGGTACAAAGAAATGATTTTACCAAAAACATGTACATCCAACATCAATTTTTCCTTTTCAAAATTCTTAAATTTGTCCCTATATGTTAAAAGTTTTTGGTCAAGGTACCGTAGTTTTTTTATGAAGTTGAAGTCCAATCAACTTGAAACTTAGTACACATGTTCCCTATGATATGATCTTTCTATTTTTTATGCCAAATTAGAGTTTTGACCCCAATTTCAGGGTCCACTAAACATAGAAAATGATAGTCGAGTGGGACCATCCGTGTAATGTGGACACATTCTTGTCTTAAGTTAACTTTATTCAGATTGGTCCTCTTCATCTTTAGTGAAAGTATGAAAATAAGTTTAATTGTGAAACTGATTTTTTTCATGATAATAGCCCCAAAATGGGTAAAAATTGATGAAAAATGGGAAAATCATTAAGAATGGGGTACTTCCAAATGGCTGTAGCAAAAAAAGAAGTGCACCACCATATGATTTTTTCTTTATCAATTACTTTCTTACAGTCATGTAAACCCAAAAATCAGGTTAAGAAAAAAATTTAAATCTAGAAATTTTTGGCTCCTCAGAGGTGTACATCCTTAACATGCAAATACAAACGCTTACACATTGGGTGTATGATAAGCTATGTTTCTTTAAAATTTGATTTTAACGGCATTAAGATGTTTTGTTTTGCAATAAATTATGCTTTCTTGTTGACATCTATTTGTGTTTTTAGATTCGTGTTGGCTTGGAGTTCCTTGGTAACACTACTGTGACATTACGTAACCCACAGAACATAAATGAGGCGGGATCCTTCACTAGATTGTCCATGTATATACAGACAACACAGAAAGATGCTCTGCTAGCCTATGTAGGAGGAGATCATATTCCAGGCAGGACAGTCAGTCCTGTAAGATATTGTCTACTATGTGTCACACGATCTCTGGAATATCATTTTTCATAATATTTCTGCTCTAATATCAAAGCAAAATTGACCAGTTGTACAGTACCATTAATTTTCATTTACAGGTAGAATCGATAGTAAATGATTACTGTAAAGGTGGAAGATTTTGCTTTTGCTCATTTTGCAATTCAGATACAATTGTTAAAATATCCCCTTGCATAAATTTTATCTTTAAGGAAGATTGGAACCAGAGGCAAGAAAAAATTAAAATAAAACCTTGTGAACAGCTTTGTATATTAAGCAAGTGCATATTTTTAATCTGAAAAAACAAACTAATTATAGTATGGTGTTAGTAAAGGACAAAACCTTTTGCAATGGTTTTCAAGTTTTTCACACAGGTACAGGCTACTGCATCAGAATTGGAAAGCATTTGGTCTTTTGAACTAATTTACTATTTCTATATTTAATTATATCTGCATAATAAATGGGTATTTTTAATCAAAAATTACTTCATAGTTACAATTTTAATTGTCACTTGCTGCAATGACATAGACAAACCATCTGTCCTGGTGTCTGTCCATTCTTCTGGTCTTGTAAGTGCTCTCACTCATACATTTCTTATTGGATTTTTATGAAATTTTCATGCATGTTTTTAGAAATAAGCATATAATAGGATGGAATAAACACAATGAAAATATCAAAAGAATTTTCCTTTAAATTGGGGGGGGAGGGGGGGGGGGGGGGGGAAGGGAAGGTGATTTCTGAAATCAGTTGTACAAATAGTCATTAAGTTTTCCCAGTTACTTTTCAATGTAAAGCCTTGCCATAGATATATTTTTATTTTCTTTTGTAGGACTACATGTCAGTAGAACTGAGAAATGGACAAACTGTTTTCAGATTCAATCTAGGAGCTCAAGAAGGTTCTACAGAAATAGTCCATCCATGGGACCTGTCTGATGGAGGATGGTATAATATCATTGCTGAAAGGTAAAATTTGTATGGCTGAAATTAGGGAGAGTCCAATTGTAAACACTATGTCATTTCATAACAGAAAATATCCCTTATACACATTACAAGGAAGATATGTGTTTTCATCAGAATTATCAAAACGTCATCAAGGAAAGATTTGTGTTGTTGAAGACGTCAATACGACTTTTATTTTCAAATTAAATTTATATCAGTTAAGACCATTGAAAAGTTAATGCATGTTTTAAATATGTACATCAGAGCTCTTTTCTTGGATTGGTCCAATAAGTAATGAAGCCTTGAAGGCCAAATGATAAAATAGATATGAGTACTCTTAGATCAGTACTTTGTGTCTTTCATCTTTTTGTCTATTTGTTTCTTTGAATTTTTGTGCTTTGTGGCCATCTGATGAGTTATGTCCTTTTCAGCTGATTTTTAGTTTGCTCATATGTTGTGTTGTTACACAACAATCCCAGGTTAGGGGAGGGTTGAATGTGTTAACCCCACCACATTTCATAAGTGCTTGTCCAAAATCATGTCACATTACTGAAAGTCTACTTAATAAAAAGGACATGGCTTTGAATATCAAAAGGACACTCATTTAAGTTTCATGATGTATCGGGGACACATCTGAGGAAAGGAAATAGATTAGTGGCAGGACATAGATTTGACTCTTATATTATTATACTTTATATTTGAATTGTAGGGGCCAAAAAGTGGCTTTATCATACATCCTCCTTTGATGAAAAGTTTTGTAGTAAATTCACAATTTAGTTCATATAAAAAATGAACATAAAGTTAGTTTGTTGGAGTGCTCCAGTTTGATAATTACGCTTGATATTTTGATTAAATTCAAAATTCATTTAGAAATGTGGCAAATTCTGTCTCTTCTTATTCTGATCTTGAATGTTCAATTCACACTGATACAAATTTTTAATAGATATAACTTATAAGATATATTCTGTCATGCATCTTGTCAATTATTGTTTTGATTTTGTTTACATAAGAATTGGAAAGGTTGGAACATTAACCTTGAGAAAAGAAAACAACCTTGGCAATGTAGATGTAGAAGAAGTAAAAGGAGAAGCTCAGGGAACATTTACTGTATTAGAACTGGATCCAGACACCACTAAATTCTATGTGGGTGGTGTGCCTTATGCTGTCAGTGTAAGTTGAAATTTGTTGGTTTTTCTGATAATCAAAAGGCAACCATGACCAAATGGATTTAAATTTTCATGAAATTTTATGAACAAAATAGCTTATTAATATGATTTTATATCCCTCTGGTGTTATCGCCCATTTTAAAATTGTTCTATTGCAAAATAGATATAAAAATATTTTTGAAGATCTTCTGAAGGACATTTTCTACATTTCAATCTTTCATTCATACATACAAGACGGTTGTAGATTTTTCTACAGATTGATTATAGTAATTTTCATGTATCCTCTATTGGAATATGTTATTAGTCTGGCATTCAATTAACCAGTTAAAATGAATACAAAGGGAACGCATTTTTTCTGTAAAATAATCCACACAAAAAGTAACAAAGACAATTTGTATAGAAAACAGATGTTTGAAGGCCTCACTGTGACTTTGAGATGAAGAACAGCAATAAAAGTGCTGTTCCTTTGCTTTTTGTGTGTTTTTTTGCTGTGCATATACAGATTTTGTGTCGTGTATGGATACCCCATATCCTTTGTTTTTCTGTTTTAATATAAAGCTACTTTTTGACAATTTTCTAAAATATCAAATTGTACCATATGTTTTTTTAAATATTTCAGTTGCCACCTAGTATTGGATATGGATCCTATCAAGGTATTATGGAGGAAGTCATGTTTGATGAGAGACCCATGGGATTGTGGAACTTTGTAGATGGGGAAAATAATTATGTTGGTGCACAAGAAAGGTACAACTTCTGGACCTGTCAAAGCATTACTTATATACAAATTTTGAATATTTCTCAGTATATTGAATTGATTTAATGCAACTTTCCTGCCTATTCAAAATTTAGATGAATAGAATATGCAAGTACATGTCAATGAGACAACAACCCAAAAATAATAAAACACATTCAGAGGTCACCATGGTGGTTTGAAATGTTGTATTAATTCAATTCAGACAGTTCTGCAAGTCATTACTGTCTTTTGATGAATAATTCTTATCTAAGAGCTTGAAGCACATTTTGTTGAAATAACTAGATTTTTTTTTAAATTAAAGAAAAAAAAAGAGAGAAGCATTTTCATACACTTGATGAGTGATGTGTATCCTGGATTCCCATTTCAGAAACAAACTGACTGGAGTGATTTCAAATGGATTCCGATTTGATGGCCGTGGATATGTCACAGTCAGTGCTAAAGCTATAGGCTTTAAACCAAATAAGGAAGGAGATCTGATTCTTAAATTTAAAACTTATGCCCAGAATGGCTTGATCTTGTTCATGGGAAAAGGCAGAGACTTTGTATCCCTAGAATTGAGGGATGGACATGTTTTCTACCAGTATGATCTGGGTGGAATGCCAGCCAAACTGATGTCTAATAAGACATACAATGATGGACAGTGGCACACAATTCAGGCCCAGAGGATTGATACAAATGGATATCTCAAAGTTGATGAAGATGATGGTAAGTTGATGGATATCTCAAAGTGGATAATGATAAGGAAGTAAGTTGATAGATATCTCAAATTTTATAAGGATGAATGTAATAAGTTAATGGATATCTCAAAGTGGATAATGATGAAGGGAAATTCATGGATATCTCAAAATGGTTAATGATGAAGGTAAGTTGATAGATATCTTGTCAGTTGATAATGATGATGGTAAGTATATGGATGTCTCCAAGTTGATAAGGCAGATGGTAAGTTGATGGTTATCTCATTTGATTTTACAATGAATAAAAAATACAAGTTAAGATTCAAGACTTCATATCTTAAATACATGGCATCAATTTGAAGTCAATTTCTTTGATTTAATTAGAAATTATTAGATTTATCTGTTTATCTTTATCGTGATTGTAGTCATAAGCCTTTGTATAAAATCATTCTTAACATAGTATTTATTAAAATTGTTGGAAAAAATCTTACAAATATGGGCTCTAGATTTGTTGGTTTTATATTTGGATGATTATATTTACATTGTACATGTATATTCTATGAATACCAAGAGTTGTGGGTTATTATGTAACATTTTTAATGTACATTCCATGAATCTATAACTGGAGTTTTGTTTGAATGTTAAAAGAATTATTTTAGGTATTTACATTACTTTATGTATATTTCAGGAATATCTGGAACCTCCCCTGGCAATCTGAAGGAGTTAGCCTATGAAGATTCTATCTTTATTGGTGGATACAATGAATTCCTTACACCAGTCGATAAGTAAGTCCCTAAACAAAATTCACCATTAGCAAATTCGTTTGAAATAGAACATTAGGAACACAAGTTAAATATTTGAATATTCAGGATGACTCTTGATTTATATTTCACATAAACTGTCATATTTAGTCTTCAAATGCAATCGGTGTTGATTGGATGACCAAAGGAAGTACCATTTCACTCTTCGTATACTTGTCTGTCTAAACAATAGTTTTATACTGTGGTCATTTTGGCGGCAGAAATGGATTATGCAATGAAGAGTTCCTTGAATTTTAATAATCCTTATATATAGAATGAATTTGATCAAATTTGTCCAATAAATGAAGTAGAAATTCCATCTTATTTGGTTCAAAGAGGAAGTTAAACAGGTTAGTGGGATTCAGCCAGTCAATTTGCCGAAAGGATTTATCATGCCATGACTATATATGTAAGTAGGAGGCCTAATTTTGAAGTCTTTGTGTTTTTCTGTTGGTCCTGTATCAGGTTTAAAGTAGTTTACTATGAAATTGTAGTTGCATCAACTTGAAACATGTTTATTGTGGTTTGATTTGCATCAACTTGAAACGTTTATTGTGGTGTGATTTTTAAAAACTAGATGCAATATTAGGGTTTTGATCCGTATTTTGCACCTCACTAAACATGGAAATGTGATAATGTAAGTAAGGAATGGTATCCTATGGACACATATTCTTGTTTGGAAAATTATACCCCAATTGTAGGATCTATGTTGCAATCACCTTATCCATCCATTCGTTAAACAAAATATTTTTTTCACAATTTCATCTGACAGAAACTACTAAACAGAATGACTTCATATTTGGTCAGCTTAACAGTGACCAGTTGTAATGTAGGATACTTTTCAGATCTGTCAAATACCTACTTCCTGTTTTCCAAACTTTTAATTTTTGTCTCGCCTTGACGGAGTCAAAAAGCGAGACATGGGTATGCTGTTTCTGGCGGCGTCATTAACAATGTATTTGTTTGTGATTAGGTCTAGTTTATTGTGAACCACAAGTGGTAGGTCAATCATATTTGATATGCAGTTGTATTAACATTGGCACATCTCATTTCCATGGAGATTTTTGGCCCTGCCCCCTCAGTCATGGTCTATTGACTTTGAAACTTTTGCTTATTTTACATGTATTAGTTTGAGATTAGGTCAGTTTATGGGGAACCACTAATGATATTTGGTATGCAGTTGTATAAGCATTGGCATATGAGATTATTTGGCTCCGCCCCCTTAGTCATGGTCTATTGACTTTGAAAATTTTGCTAAGTTAACATGTATTAGTTTGTGATTAGGTCAGTTCAAGGGGAACCATTTAGGGTAGGCAAATGTTAATTAGTATTTAGTTGTATAAGCATAAGCACATCTCATTACCATGGAGAATATTTGGCCCCGCCCCCTCAGTCATGGTCTATCGACTTAGAAACTTTTGCTTAGTTTACATGTAGTTGTGATTAGATCAGTTTAAGTTGAACTGCTAATGTTAAGTCAATGATATTTGATATGCAAATTTATTGGCATTTGCAAGTATCGTTTCCATGAAGATTATATAGCCCCACCCCTCCTCATGGTTCATTGACTTTGAAACTTTTAAATAGTTTACAAGTTAATGTTTGTGTTTAGGTTTGTTTAAAGGGAAGGACTTATAATAAGTCAATACTCACTCACTGTATTTGGTATGCAGTTGTATAAGCTTTGGCACATTTCATCTACATGGAGATTGTTTAGCCATGTACCTCAGTCATGGTTCATTGACTTTGAATATTTGCATAACTTATGAAACATGTTAAAGTATTGCTTTTTAGCTCACCTGGCCCGAGGGCCAAGTGAGCTTTTCTCATCACTTGGCGTCCGTCGTCCGGCGTCGTCCAGCGTCGTCCGTCGTCGGCTTTAACTTTTTACATTTTGAACTTCTTCTAGAGAACCACTGAATGGAATGAAACCAAACATGGCATGAATGTTCCTTATGAGGTGCTGACCAAGTGTTGTTACTTTGTAGCAGATCCATCATCCAAGATGGCCGCCAGCGGGGGACTTAGTTTAACATAGGACCCTATGGGAAATGCATACAAATGTCTTCTTTTAGAGAACCACTGAAAGGAATGAAACCAAACATGGCATGAATGTTTCTTATGAGGTGCTGACCGAGTGTTGTTACTTTGAAGCAGATACATAATCCAAGATGGCTGCCAGCGGGGGACTTAGTTTAACATAGGACCCTATGGGAAATACATACAAATATCTTTTTTTAGAGAACCACTGAATGGAATGAAACCAAACATGGTATGAATGTTCCTTATGAGGTGCCGACCCAGTGTTGTTACTTTGAAGCTGATCCGTAATCCAAGATTGCCGCCAGCGGGGGACTTAGTTTAACATGGGACCCTATGGGAAATACATACAAATGTCTTCTTTTAGAGAACCACTGAATGGAATAATGCAAACATGGCATGAATGTTCCTTATGAGGTGCTGACCAAGTGTTGTTACTATGAAGCTGATCCATAATCCAAGATGGCTGCCAGCAGGGGACTTAGTTTAACATAGGACCCTATGGGAAATACATACAAATATAATCTTTTAGAGAACCAATGAATGGAATGAAACCAAACATGGCAAGAATTTTCCTTATGAGGTGCTGACCAAGTGTTGTTACTTTGAAGCTAATCCATCATCCAAGATGGCAGCCAGCGGGGGACTTAGTTTAACATAGGACCCTATGGGAAATACATACAAATGTCTTCTTTTAGAGAACCACTGAATGGAATAATGCAAACATGGCATGAATGTTCCTTATGAGGTGCTGACCAAGTGTTGTTACTATGAAGCTGATCCATAATCCAAGATGGCTGCCAGCAGGGGACTTAGTTTAACATAGGACCCTATGGGAAATACATACAAATATAATCTTTTAGAGAACCAATGAATGGAATGAAACCAAACATGGCAAGAATGTTCCTTTTGAGGTGCTGACCAAGTGTTGTTACTTTGAAGCTGATCCTTCATCCATGATGGCTGCCAGATGGGGACAATGTTTAACAAAGGATCCTATGGACAATACATACAAATGTCTTCTTTTAGAGAACCACATACTGAATGGATTGAAACCAAACATGGCATGAATGTTCCTTATGAGGTGCTGATTAAGTTTTGTTACTTTGAAGCTGATCCTTCATCCATGATGGCCGCCAATGGGGGGGACTTCCTTTAACATAAGAACCTATGGGAAATACATACAAATGCTTCTTCTAGAGGTGCACTGAATGGAATGAAACCAAAACATGGCATAAATGTTTCTTATGAGGTGCTGATTAAGTGTTGCTACTTTGTTGCCGATTTACTGTTCAAGATGGCCACCAGGATTTTTTATTAAATTACAGGACCAATATTAAACCAAATTTGGCCTCACTCATTATTAGGGTATCTGTTATGATTTTAATCTATTTTTACATGATTTCCAAAACCAAAGTAGAATCAGGTGAGCGACACAGGCTCTTGAGAGCCTCTAGTTTAATTTCAACATTTGCATAATCAAAATTACAAAAGGGCAAAACATCTCTCTGTGATAACAGTTTATTCAATATGTTGATGAAACTTGTTATATTTCGTCAGATCTTTCATCATGAATACTGAACTGAATGACTTCATATTTGGTCAGCAGCTCAACAGTAATAAGTTGTAAAGTGTTTGTACTTTCCAGACACTTACTTCCTGTATTTCTACTTTGAATTAAGAGTAGGGTATGCTTGGCACGACAAAGCATACATTCTTGTTTTCTTTTTCTAATTTACTTTGAAATTATAATTTTGCTTTTGAACAGGTATGTGAGTTCTATAGGGTTTGATGGTTGTGTAAAGGATGTACAGTTTGATGCAACCATTTGGGATCTAAATAAAAACACGAGGGCATTAGGAGTCTTGCCTGGATGTCCAGCTAAGGTAAAGTATTATTCTACACATACAATTAATTGTCCCATATTATTGCTCTGTATCTATATTACATAATGTACCAAAGTTCTTATTTTTTAATGTCTGTTAAAGGTTTGAAACTGATGGTTAATATGAATAAAATAAGAAATGTCCATGAGAATCCAACCACACAAAAAATCAAATTATAAGTTTCTATTTTGAAAATGTTATTGTGTAGTTGTCATAAGATATTGATGAGTTATGGAACTGTATCATGTGCTCATGGCGCAGCACTTTATTCTAATTAAAAAAAAATGAGAATTTTTTTTTTAACTTTTCGTCACTTCTAATGTTAAAATCTTAATCTTAATCAATTTCAATGTAAGAAGAATGTATGCTTTAAGGTAAAATAAATATTGTATAAAAATATTATCTTTATATATTGAAAATACTGTAACAAACTTTTCCAATTGAAGATTTAATTCAAAAGAAATAATTTTGAATTTGTTTAACTTCAGATAAGAAGAACAGCCAATTTTGCCTCAACTGGCCATGTTGCCATGGTGACGGATAGTATTGGAGAAAACTTTGATGTGACCTTTAAAATGAAGACATTGACCAATAACAGCTTGTTATTGTATGCTGGTAATGATGCTAAGGTAAGAATAGAGTGTTTCTGTAATGTTTTTACCATAAAAAGACAGTATTTCAATATGATCATGTGGTATTTCCCATTGATTCCTTTTAATGGAAATTATCTGATGCAAAGAATTGTGCTTAAACATAATATTTAGTGCAATATGAACTACAGTCGACTCTCGTTATCTCGAATTCAGGCGGACCAGAGAAATATTTCGAGATACACGTAGTTCGACTCAACCGAAAACCGGAAGTTTGACAGACCAAGGGACACAACTCATGCTTAGCATGGTAAAGCTATAAAAAATCCGGATGAATATGGGAAGGGTATCGATATTCTGGTATCAGATTGATGTGTTTGTATGTCATGGTCTTTCATTATTATAATAATATTATTTTTACTTATTCAATTGTTTCAGTTAAATTCTTTTCCTAAGGCTTTTATCCGAGAGAGTAATTTCCAGTCGATATAAGCGTTATTTAGGTCATTTGAAGTTGACAATATTTTTTATTCTCGGATACAAGTGATTTTAGAAAATTTAGATTTCTCTTCATTTTCTTTCATCTCACTCTTTCCTTTCAAAAGAAAATACAATAAGATTAAAGGCGCCGATTGAGTAGTTTTTAGGTGATCACCTACAGAAGTCCTAATTCCCACTTTATGCACATCCAAGCTCATCAGTGTAAATCACGATTAATTGTTTTTGTAAACATTTTAAATACTTTTTCATGTACATAAATAATGTATCACTAATTATTCATAAATTTTTATAAAAGATAATCTAAGGTAAACACTCGTGGAAATAGCATGTCATAAATCAATACAGTGGTCAGTGACCGGAAATTTAATTACACGTGTATTGTCAGATTAACTCTTCAAACCATTTAAATCCCGGAGGTCATGTTTTGACATATGTGTATTAGTTCGAGATAAATAATGAATTTTGAATGCTTTTGTTAACCTTGGGACCGTAGATTTAGTTCGACTCAACCGAAATTTCGACTCATCAGGAGTCGAAATACATATATTTATATGGAACAAAGATCGGGACCATGTGAAAACTTCGACTCATCCGAAATTTCGAGTCAACCGAGTTCGAGACAACGAGAGTTAACTGTATATGTCTTAATCAATTGATAAGTGTACTCTTAACTATGATTTCGGTGGTTCAGTTTTCTTAGAGGTTTGAAGTTGATGTTTGCAGCTTTTTGCCTAGCACAAGCCTTTAGGAGCATTATGGTTGGCCCAGAATCAGAAAATTTGTTTGTGCAAGGTATTCTTCTTAATTGTTTAAATTTTTGTATGCTAGCATGTTGAAAAGTTTGACTTGGCACCTTGGTCTGATAGAAGGCAGAGTACATTCATGGGACTTTTTAAAATTTAATCGTCCCAAATATGCATGTAATGTTTGCTGCTGGACAGTAAGTATCCATTATACTCATTGGTCTTAGATATTTGTTAGCATTATATGCATAGTTATGGAAGTTAATCTAATGAAACTTATTAGTTGAGGACATTTTGCTCTTTAAATGTAACATTACAACAATGAGTGAAAATTTTAATAAATATAAACATATGATACCCATTTACCACGCACATAACACATGTTACCTGAATAAACTACCCAAGGTACCTTCAAGACTAAAAATGAATAAAGGTGACATGGGGGTATGATTTGAAGTGATAGCAACCAATCAATACAAAAACAGGTTTCAGGGGTCAACATAAGACCTAGAATGTTACCCAAATGTTTGCGGAGCCAAAGACATAAAACTGTGAGCATCAAAACAATAACAGTACAAAAACCCAGGGTCAATTTTGCATAAAGGAGCTTCATTGTTAAATTGAAACTGAAAATTTGGTCAAATTGTATCATTTTGATTATGTCATTACCCATGTAAAGGATTTAGATGGTATTCTCAGGGACAAACAGTTAACCAAATTTATCAGAACTAATTTCCCTTGCTCTTGGAGAGGTATTTTGGACTCTAATCTTAAATGACAAAGATTCCCAGTTTTCCTACCCAAATTCATGGTTCTGTCTCATTTATGAAGCCAATGGTGCTCAAAGTGGCTATATACACCAAAAAACTAATTTGAACTAGTTTCCAAAACACAAAATTTAAATGTAAATTAATTTTTCAGGATGAAGTGTTTTCTGTTTCTGTGGTAAATGGTCGTATCATTGTGACAAGTGATGCTGGAAATGATCTCACCACAATAGAAAGTGATGTTAGTTCTAAATATAATGATGGAGAGTGGCATTACTTATCCTTGATGAAGATGGGAAAGAAGTAAGTTTTATATTATTATGGTTATCATAACCATGGTAATTATCTCACTACTATTGGAAACTTATCTCAGTCCTAATTTTAATGATTGACAATCTACCTGAATTGAAGCGATCATATTTCCACATGATCTACAATACTCCAACACAGTTACACTAGCAAATGGACCTTATCATTTTCTGACTTGCAGTCTTTCCAAAAGTGCTATCAGGCACTTTGATTGTATTAAAACTCAAAATTTGAAAAAAAATCTATAAAAATTGCAGTTTTTAACCATCTTTCAGCATTCATAATTTGCTTGTCTGTGCAGAATATAATTCAATATTTTTTGTACATTAAAGTAAATGAATGAAGTATGCAACTGTGATTTTGTTGTAAAAAAATTATAATCATTTTGAAATGCTCCAGTTTTGTAATCATTTCAGTTAGTTAGCATTATCTATTTTAAAGCAGTTTTGAAATGTTGCATATTCACTGCTAACCTTAGTATTAAAAATTTGTTCTCACTGGCTCTTGATCACCAAGATTTGTTCTTTTAGACTAATGATGAATATAGATGACAGAGAGATGGTGAATAGAATGTCAAAGGGAGATGACTCTAGTGTAACTACGAATCCTGTTCTGTATTTTGGAGGATTTGATGGAAGACTTCCTGATACTTTGGTTGGATCCACCAGACCGTTTGTTGGATGTATATCTGATGTCACAGTTAACAACAAGTAAGTTTGTAAAAGGAAGATAACTCTAAACTTATTATCAAATGTCTCATATGTAATGGTTAACTTAATAATTTTGAATTTTACAGTTAGAGTCTTATATGTTACTCTGGAGGATTGAAGAATCACTAAACTAAGTTTTATTATGCCCCCGCTGTAGCGGAGGGGGCATTAAGTTTTACCCTTGTAGTCTGTCTGTCCCAAAATTGGTTTCCGTTCTCTAACTTTAGTTTGCCTCAACCAAATGTTATGAAACTTATACACAATGCTTATTACTACAAAACACTGATCACGGTTGAATTTGGGTGGCGTCACTTTTACTGTTCTTGGGTTATGTCCCTTTATAACGTTATATACAAGCAGGGGCATCATCTGTGTCCCATGGACACATTCCCCATTTATTACATATTGATTTGTGGCTTTAAAAATAACTGACAAGATTGTAAATTGTGAACCCTTTACTTTCAGATTCTTAAACTTTGCTAGTATTCCAAACCAAAATGTAAGAGGAGCTAAGTTCAGTGATTGCCCCATGGTACAGCCAGGAGCCAAAATTGAGGAACCTGACATTCGAACCACACCTGCTCCCAGTGGTTTTACAACACCAGGTAACTGTACTCACTTTTCTTTTGTTAAACATATTTTTCTAGTCTATGGGCAGGGATGGGGTAATTGTAATTGACTTTAATTAAATGCAATTTCTCATGCAATGTGTTCTTGAAAAATGACTCAATCACAGGTAATTGTATTTTAATTAATTACATTCAGAAAATGAATTGTCTGGGACATTGCTGATATAAACCTTTGGTATAAATTTGGAAAAAATTTGGAAAGGATTGTACATGTTAGAGAGCTTACAAATCTGGATGGATGGATGCACAGACTTTCCAAGCGGCATAATTCCTTAAAAAAAATTCATTGGAAATGATTTTTGAACTCGTCCGAGACATTTTTGATATAAATTTGATAAAAAATCTGGCAAGATTTGTATGTGTGCTCACACACTCACAAGACCAGACAAACAGACACACAAATGCTTGGTATCACCCTGGCACTGCATTGTGGTGGAGGATAAAAAAGATGTTTGGGTAAATGTTGATAGAAACAATCAACAACCACTAATAAATGAATTTTAGTCTTAAACAGTCATTTTGATTTTCACATCAAAGTCTTGATTAATTATTAAGTCAAATTTAGTCTTTCAGTAAATTTTCAAGCTTATCCACTGTGGTAAATTCAGTACTGTTCAGTAGCTTTTCAGACAATAATGAATGATGCTGATTTGCACAGGTAACTGACAACTTCTGAACAGATCTTAGTTAACTTCAAGCGAACACAACTAATTTTGTTTTGATAGTTTTGAAGATATAGCTAATTGAATGTTTTAACTCAAACAAAGTAATGGTTTTGGTAAATTCCTTATATATTCAATATCCTACATGACATTAAAAAATAAAAGACTCCTAGTGTGTCACCTAAAATTGTCTAGTATCTTAATAATTTACTTCCTATATTGTAGCTGGTCCAGAAGAGCCAGCACAATGTGTCTTGCCTAATCCTACAAGTTTAGGTGCACCATCAGATATGGGAGAAGGACACTTCTTTGGAAAATCTCCTTACAGCTACTTCGAGTATGATTCCTTGTCATCGGGACTTAGAGTCAAGTATGTATTTGCTATACAAAAGGTCTGGTAATATTCACAGATTTCCTTTCTTTGTTGAAATCCAAAATTGGAAATAATATGTCTCTTTGTGAGGAGGAATTTTTTCAAAGTTAAATATTTTGAACTTACATTAAAAGAATTTTATTTGAAAAAATAAAGTTAATGAATATCTAATAAAAATAATAGTGTATATGAATAACAGTAAACGAAAGTAAATTCTTTCATAAATAGTATTTTTCTATGTAAAAAATGAGATGAGTATTACTCCAATGAGACAGCTATCCAACAGGAGGAGAATGTAAACAACTAAAGGTCATCATACAGCCTTAAACAATGAGCAAAACCCATCCTGTATGGTAAGCAATATATATATTGAATCTTGAGTTTCTTTTTGACTGTAAAACAAAATAAAAAAGAATCTTAAGTGGATGAGGAATTTGACTGCATTTAAATATGAATATGTAAAAATAAGGAGATGTGGTATGATTGCCAATGAGACAACTATCCACCAAAGTTCAAATGAAGTGGATATAAGCAATTATAGGCAACTGTACGGCCTTCAACAATGAGAAATCCCATACTGTATAGTTGGTTATAAAAGACCCTGACATGAAAAATATGAAACAATTCAATTGAGAAAACTAACAGCCTAATTTATAACAAAACAATTTACGAAAAAACAAATATGACAGACATGAACCAACGACAACCACTTAACTAAGGGCTCCATGAAAACTTTTTAACTTCGTTATTGCATACCTGTCAAATGACCTGCATTCTCCGGGTGACACCCATAAATTTCACCTCTCATGTGGTATTTTTTTGATAACTGCTGGGTTGTTAAATAACCTTGGAATTGGAAAATGCACCGTTTTCACCCGGGTTCTTGAGCCTTCAGAATTTTTAAGTATGAAATGATATATTTCATAAGTGATTTTCCTTTGAAATTGGCAAATTCGTAATTCTTCCTCGACAGGAAGTTCAACTAGCTGTTTTAACTGTCAAATTAAGTGACCCATTAAGTGCAATGCTTCACTTGACAGCTTTGATGTCAAACACACTGTTAATTAACACCAATTACCTTTGCTTAAGGTCATAAATAATTTGTGTATTTCAAAGTTGTTTAACAAAAAATTTGATTTACTTTGCCTTTTTTGCCACTTTTCACAGTATACTCCTTAAACTGATTTATTTTTGTAAAAGGATTAAAACTAAGGCAAATTGAATGCAAATACAGATGTCAGAATATTACTGTAGCGGAGGGGCATTAAGTTTTACCCATGTCCGTCCGTCTGTACGTACGTCCGTCGTCCCAAAATTGGTTTCTATTCTCTAACTTTAATTTGCCTCAACCAAATGTTAGGAAACTTATACACAATGCTTATTTACACAAAACTCAGATCAAATATGAATTTGGGTAGCATCACTTTTATTGTTCTTGAGTTATGTCCCTTTATAATGTTATATGCAAGCGGGGACATCATCTGTGTCCCATGGACACATTCCCCTTTTATTCTATCTTAGAACAATTAAAAAATTAACATTTTGAAAATTATTTTCTTCATCTCTACCTCCTTTGAATGCTTAGATTTTATATTATATTTTCTAATATCAACTGTTTTAATGGAATGAATAGGAGATTAAGTAAAGCTGTATATTGATGTTATATATCCTTAACATACTGTGAAACATGAGGCTTGTGGATTGATTTAAAACTATGAATGAAATAAGAAGAGGGGGTATGGCTTGACTTGAAATGATATAGTATAATACTTTAATATTTCAATGGTTTATAAATGTAATGAAAAAATAAAATTAAAGTTTTAAATTATTTTCAGTCAATACTTATCCATCAGTGAACATGTTTTGGAAATGGTTCAATTTAAAATATAAAAAAATGTCCCCTAAATACTTAAATTCAGCAGAAAAAAAGTTTGTACGCGTTATGAAATTTTTTTAACTATATGATAATTTAACCAAAGACATTTCTTTTTCATGCCCCATTTGTAGGCATAATATTTTTTTGGTCTGTGTGTCTGTTCTTTCGTCCTTTTGTTCGTCTGTCCGTATGTCCGTACATCCGTCTGTCCCGCTTCAGGTTAAAGTTTTTGGTCAAGGTAGTTTTTGATGAGGTTGAAGTCCAATCAACTTGAAACTTAGTACACATGTTCCCTATGATATGATCTTTCTAATTTTAATGCCAAATTAGATTTTTGACCCTAATTTCACGGTCCACGGAACATAAAAAATGATAGTGCGAGTGGGGCATCCGTGTACTATGGACACATTCTTGTTTTTAGATCACCTGGCCCGAAGGGCCAAGTGAGCTTTTCTCATCACTTGGCGTCCGTTGTCCGGCGTCTTCTAGAGAACCACTGAATGGAATGAAACCAAACATGGCATGAATGTTCCTTATGAGGTGCTGACCAAGTGTTGTGTTGTTACTTTGTAGCGGATCCATCATCCAAGATGGCCGCCAGCGGGGGACTTAGTTTAACATAGGACCCTATGGGAAATACATACAAATGTCTTCTTTTAGAGAACCACTGAATGGAATGAAACCAAACATGGCATGAATGTTTCTTATGAGGTGCTGACCGAGTGTTGTACTTTGAAGCCGATCCATAATCCAAGATGGCCGCCAGCGGGGGACTTAGTTTAACATAGGACCCTATGGGAAATACATACAAATGTCTTCTTTTAGAGAACCACTGAATGGAATGAAACCAAACATGGTATGAATGTTTCTTATGAGGTGCTGACCGAGTGTTGTTACTTTGAAGCCGATCCATAATCCAAGATGGCCGCCAGCGGGGGACTTAGTTTAACATAGGACCCTATGGGAAATACATACAAATGTCTTCTTTTAGAGAACCACTGAATGGAATGAAACCAAACATGGTATGAATGTTCCTTATGAGGTGCTGACCGAGTGTTGTTACTTTGAAGCTGATCCATAATCCAAGATGGCCGCCAGCGGGGATGGGACCCTATGGGAAATACATACAAATGTCTTCTTTTAGAGAACCACTGAATGGAATTAAACCAAACATGGCATGAATGTTCCTTATGCGGTGCTGACCAAGTGTTGTTACTATGAAGCTGATCCATAATCCAAGATAGCCGCCAGCAGGGGACTTAGTTTAACATTGGACCCTATGGGAAATACATACAAATGTCTTCTTTTAAAGAACCACTGAATGGAATGAAACCAAACATGGCATGAATGTTTCTTATGAGGTGCTGACCGAGTGTTGTTACTTTGAAGCTGATCCATAATCCAAGATGGCCGCCATGCAGGGGACTTAGTTTAACATGGGACCCTATGAGAAATACATACAAATGTCTTCTTTTAGAGAACCACTGAATGGAATGAAACCAAACATGGCATGAATGTTCCTTATGAGGTGCTGACCAAGTGTTGTTACTATGAAGCTGATCCATAATCTAAGATGGCAGTCAGCGGAGGACTTAGTTTAACATAGGACCCTATGAGAAATACGTACAAATGTTTTCTTTTAGAGAACCATTGAATGGAATGAAACTAAACATGGCATGAATGTTCCTTTTGAGGTGCTGACCAAGTGTTGTTACTTTGAAGCTGATCCTTCATCCATGATGGCTGCCAGATGGGGACAATGTTTAACAAAGGACCCTATGGACAATACATACAAATGTCTTCTTTTAGAGAACAACATACTGAATGGATTGAAACCAAACATGGCATGAATGTTCCTTATGAGGTGCTGACTAAGTTTTGTTACTTTGAAGCTGATCCTTCATCCATGATGGCCGCCAATGGGGGGACTTCCTTTAACATAAGACCCTGTGGGAAATACATACAAATGCTTCTTCTAGAGGTGCACTGAATGGAATGAAACCAAAACATGGCATAAATGTTTCTTATGAGGTGCTGATTTAGTGTTGCTACTTTGTTGCCGATTTACTGTTCAAGATGGTCACCAGGATTTTTTATTAAATTACAGGACCAATATTAAACCAAATTTGGCCTCACTCATTATTAGGGTATCTGTTATGATTTTAATCTATTTTTACATGATTTCCAAAACCAAAGTAGAATCAGGTGAGCGACACAGGCTCTTGAGAGCATCTAGTTTTATATACTGAAAAGTTATATTTTAAACCTAACTGTTAAGAAATTGATGTATGACTAATGACGACTTATTATTTAACCAACAGGTCAGAATTTGAAGTTAGACTAAAGACCACTTCTGGAAATGGTGTGGTTTTCTATGCATCTGATATAAGACACACAGATTTCTTGTCACTGTTTATGAAGGAGGGCAAAGTTATCTTCTCATTTGATTGTGGAACAGGAGAAGCTGTGATTATTAGTACTAAAACTTACAATGATGGACAGTGGCATACTGTAAGTTATGGATAAGTAGTTCTCAAACTTACAATGATGGACAGTGGCATACTGTAAGTTATGGATAAGTAGTTCTCAAACTTACAATGATGGACAGTGGCATACTGTAAGTTATGGATAAGTAGTTCTCAAACTTACAATGATGAACTGTGGCATACTGTAAGTTATGGATAAGTAGGTCTCAAACTTACAATGATGGACAGTGGCATACTGTAAGTTATGGATAAGTAGTTCTCAAACTTACAATGATGGACATTGGCATACTGTAAGTTATGGATAAGTAGTTCTCAAACTTACAATGATGGACAGTGGCATACTGTAAGTTATGGATAAGTAGTTCTCAAACTTACAATGATGGACAGTGGCATACTGTAAGTTATGGATAAGTAGTTCTCAAACACACAATGATGGACAGTGGCATACTGTAAGTTGTTCTCAAACACTGTTAAACTTGTTAAAGGTAATTCTAATTGAAAATGATAGACAGTGGCAGATAGTGAGTTATAGTTTACAGTTATTGTTAACACAGTGATGGACAGTGGTGTAATGTAAGTAAATGATACAAAGTTGTAAAGCCGAAGAGGAGGGATATCATTTATAGGAAGGACTGCATTGCAATTTTTTGCTGATGTCAAAGTATTTCAAATCCCTTCTTTCAATATTTGTTTCCAGTCTTCAAAATCATTTGAGATATATTTCATATACAAAAATCTAAATTATTTGATACAGTCGATTCCTGTTATTTGCATAGCCTATTTGTTACAAAATTAGAACAAATTGTTCTAAAAATAGATTTGTTTCTAAGACCCGTATGTACAATGTACATCATTACGCTTTGATTAAAATAAACTGTTCAACTATACTACACAGTTTATTATCATTTTTAACAATAAATGTGTAATGAACTGCCTTTGATATGCAGTATTTACCGCTTGCACAGTGATGTAACACTTTCTTTAACCTCGTTAGTTTCGTATATGCAAAGCAGTAAACCGGTAAAGGGGCCCTGTAGGGGTTATTTGCTGGACACAAGTGTTGGAACGTGTGAAAATATAATAATTAGAAGTGAATGCTCTTTTCCAAAAATAATGAAAATAAATGATTGACGAATAAAATTCTTCAACCATATATAAATGCTCTGTAATGTTTAACATAACATAAATGCAAATCACCCCAAGCGGAATTGCGAGAGTACACATAGGATGCTCTTTCAAGGAAATTAGCAGGCGTTATTGTTTTTAAAATTCACCCCAAATGTAATCTATGGACAATGCTTAAAATCCAATCAATAATTAACATCTTTTGGGATAGAATGGTCATGTTTTTACAACAATTATCTGTTTGACATTTTATGACCTCGAGGCTTAAAATAGAACATGGGAAACTTCACCTGTGAACACATCGAGGGTTATTTTAAAGTAAAACTCCATCATATAAACACGAAAGAAACTGTTTTAAAATTGTATTTTAATAACACAAAAGTGAATATGAAAAAATAACGAAAATAATGATGCATTCAAGAAAAATATACTTACCAAGTTGCCGTTTCCGGTCAAAAATCTCGTAAGTTTGAACTAAGCATATCTAGCTGGCAATTATTTTCTATGCAATTAACCAAAAGGCCACTTGTAAGGCTATGCATATAACCGGATAATTTAACATTAGATGAATGGGAAATGGTTCTGTGCAGGAGAAAATTATGCAATTACCGTAACCTAATTATGCTATTAAGCGGTATGCGATTAAGTGGAGTCACAAGGCCTGTTCTTACCACTGTAAAAGATGATTTTATACAAAAAAGTTATGCTTGTCTATGAATGAGTTAAATTTAAGTTACAAATGTGACAATTTTATCTTGTATAGGTGAAGTTTATGAGGAATTTGAAGCAAGGTGCTTTAGAGATAGATGGTGAGAGGATTACCGAGGGAGATGGACTGTCCAAAGGTTCAGCAAGGTCACTGAATGTTAAGCCTCCTTACTATGTGGGTGGTCTCCCTGATGATAAAGAGTATACAAAAAAAGTCGGCCGAAACTTACTGGTGAGTCTTTGACAAGGTTTTTCATCTTTTTGGAAGGGGTTATCTCTACTGTATTGCTTGGCTGTAAATTCATTTGTCATATAAGTCTGTCAAATTACTTGACAACTGTATAAGTTTAAGAAAAATTCATATCCAGACTTTTTTGAGAAACATTCTAGGTATTGTATAAGAAAATAACATTTCAGGCTTGCATCTTTTATATATGTCTTTCGGAGGAGAACACTGCAACATACTTAGGGGTATATGATACAGAGGAGATCTTACATTTCATTCCTTTGACATACACTCTAGAAATAAGCAAAGAAAAATATACATTGTGCATTCATGACTTAATTTTGGAGATATTTCAGTTTGATTATTGTTGTTTCAGGTAAAAAAGCAAATTTTCATATTTCAATCCTTAAAAAAAAAAAATTAAACTAATGACTGAATGTTTAACCTTTTAGCAGGGGCATCAAATATGTCTTTCAGACACAACCATTTCAAATTGTACTTTAACATCACTGTTTAACTAAATTCAATTTATGTGGCATTAAATTCAGGCATGCATCAGGGACATCATCTTTTGTCTAGTTTTTTTTCTGCTGTAGTACTTTCATCAATGCAGGTATCTGTTATTCATTAGAAAAGTTTATCATGCAACATGATATTTATTGTTTTGCTTATCTATGTTTAAGCTTGCAGAAAAATCTTTACATCAGAATATAATATAAACATAGAAGATCAGGCAATTTTAAGGCTTGTTCATAATGTCAAATTGTGTTCACAGAAATCCTTCATATCAATGATTATATATCTGTTATTTTAGGAAAATTTAGCTTTTCACAACAATTTAATGCATGCACAAAAAAAATATCACAATGATTTCATTTGAATTTGGTATGAAAAAAAGGAATTGGACTTAAAAAAAAAGAAATAAAAGGTAACATTATTAAAGTTGGCAGATCATATACATATTTTTCATTTGAAATAATATAAAAAGTAAAATTACAAAAATACTGAACTCCGAGGAAAATTCAAAACGGAAAGTCCCTAATCAAACGGCAAAATCAAATGATAAAACACATCAAACAAATGGACAACTGTATAATTGACTTATAATTGACTCTTTTTCTCTAGGTTTTGCAATCATATGTAAGTTTGGAGTATATTGACCAGTTGAATTTCATCTTTCAGTCTATTATAATAATATTTTCTGTTCTAAGATGTATATTTGATATAATATGGATATAAAATTAACAAACAATTAGCTTTCTAACATATTTTTTTTTAATTTAATGAATTATCTCCCTTGTCTAGTTAAGTTCCTGTACGACTTGTACAAAAAATAATCTTCTCACTTCCACTTCCAACAGGCATTATAAGTAATTGTCTTATCTACCATTTATGATAGCTAATGTTTCAATTTACCTGCTGTGTGAGCACAAATATCTAAAATAATTTCTCAGATTTTAATGTAATCAAATTTAAATTTCTAACTTTGAATCTAAAAAATTGGAATTGTAAAAATTGCTGAATTCTATTTGCTTATGATTCTGTGACATTAAACATATTTAAAAAGAAAATCAACCTTATTTGATAGAATTCTGTGGTAATTTTTTAATTCATTGATGAGGTATGGGAGATAACTAATTTATCTCATTTAAAGAAAAAGAAAAATTCAATGAAATTATTTTTCCGTTTATAACAAATTGATTTTTACAGTTGGTTTAGTTAGACTTTCTCACTTTTGGTCACATTGGTAACCTGTAGTTGGTAAAAACTCTCTCCACATCTGTTATAACATTCAAGCCTTCCTACAACAAATACATTTTAAACAATCTTTTAATACTTTCCAACTTTTGTTCACAATGCTAAGTTTTTCCCCAAGGTACAGCACTATTCTACAGAAAAAAAATGTTTTTCATTATGTTAAAAAATATACCTAACTGATTGAATTTTTGTATTTCTTATTACATATTTTTCCTAGATATGATTTATATATTTAAAACAACAGTACATTTAGTAAATTCATAAATTACATGATATTTTCAACAAAATAGAAATGACATTGTTTCATTACACATGGATACAAATTCATCTTACTTTTAGATAAAGAATTTAAGGTTTTTATTTCTGATGGGCTAATAAGTGGATTGATGCAAAAATAACTAAATAAATATATATTTCCTTATTGTTGGACCAAACATAGATTTAAAAGTTGAAACAAGTGATGTTTGGCTATGTACAAGGTTTTATGTTGCTTTCCCTTTTAAAATGATCTCACCATTACATACAATAATTTGAGTTGTAACAAGAGATTTTAAGGAATAACTGTATTGTATTGTCATACATGCTGATGTCAATTATTGATTTCACTTTCACAAACTAAGTATGAGTCAAGTTGAAAACTGATATTTGTGACTGTAAAATCTAAGATTGATGTCTGCACCCTGAAACTGTGGTAACAATTCTATTGCACAAATAAAATGCAGCTGAATAAAAATTGATTTATGCTTAACATCTGACTTTACCCAGGGTACAAAAGTGAATTAAACATTATAGGATTTTTTTTTATGCCCCCGCCGTAGCAGTGGGGGCATTAAGTTTTACCCTTGTCCGTCCATACGTCCCAAAATTGGTTTCCGTTCTCTAACTTGAGTTTGCCTTAACCAAATGTTATGAATCTAATACACAATGCTTATTACCACAAAACACAGATCAAGTTTGAATTTTGGTGGCGTCACTTTAACCGTTCTAGAGTTATGCCCCTTTATAAATGCAAAATTTTTAGTTTCTTATAAATATCAAGTAATCTTTAAAATTGGAGTTATCTTCCTTTTTCCATGATTATAGTTGAATCAACTACAATCAATGCTTTATACAATGCATTATTTAATTTTGACTTCCACTGATAAAACACAGATCAAGTTGAATTTGGGTAGTGTCACTTTAACCATTATTGAGTTATGCCCCTTTATAAATAGAAAGATTGCAAAATTTTTAGTTTCCATTCTGTAACTTAAGTTTGCCCCAACCAATATTATGAAACCTATACACAATATTCATTATCACAAAACTAAGATCAATTACACATTTTTTGTTTCCGTTTTCTAACTTTAGTTTGCCTCAACCAAATGTTATGAAACTTATACACAATGCTTATTACTACATAATACCAGAAGTCCATTACTAGACGAAGTGTGCAACCCGCTATATAGTAAGGCGATCACGTTTTCCCCGTACTTCCAACTGTGATTGAAACGGGATTTGAGCGAGATTGCTATTAATAGTAACAAAAATCAATGGCCAAATTTTTTGCGATGCATTCTGGGTAGAGATAATTTATGCAAAACACCCTATAACTTAATTAGCACACTGTTGAAAATAATGTTTGACCATTGATGTGTTAATGAATAGCAGATCCTAGCATATTATATCAGTGTCATGAGTCATTATGATGGTTTTAATATTAAATGATAAATATGTTTGTATAATTTATCAATTAAAAACTACAATTATAACCGTAGAAAAATTGTCAGACGAAATAAAAAGGCTCACTTCTAAATACAATAAACGTTTGGTTTTAGAGTTATTTGTGAAAAAATTGCCATTAAAAAGTTGACATGGAAAAATTAGGTCGGAAAATTGTGTATCCATATACAGTACAAGTTACACTAGATTAGGAATGAGTTTAATAGGAATAAACATTCTATTATATTTATTTTAAGAATATATGTTACGAATTACAATTTTCAAGAAATAAGTTTTTTTAAAAGTTACCAGTGATCAGGAAGGACGTGCGCCTTGCGCCAATTGCGCTTATTGATCAGAAAAGGCTCATAGAGTGACAAATGTAAGCGCCCGCGTGGCGCATGATATTTTTCACTTCATTTTGAAACGTTGAGATATCGTCAAATGGATTTCAGATCGTATTTCGTGCCGCCATGTGTGAGTACACAACTGTGTAGTGTTTACTCCAATGATAGGAGCACCTATATATTTTTGGGACGTCTCGGTGTTTTCCTATGGTAATAATAGCAACATGCGGTATGACTGATTACCCAAAAAACGTAATTAACCATCTTTCATGATATAATTTTTTAAAAACAACTTTAAATTTATGAAAATTGGCTAGTACAGTCGAGAATTCTTCTCTAATTATAATCTTTTAAGTAAGCTTGCTATTATTTCGATTGAAAAACCCAAAAGCCTTTTTATGAATAGCATAGTATTTGTCTCCATAAAAGGGGCTTAACTGTCCTTGTCATTTTTTTTGGTCTTTGGCTCGTTTTGACATTTTGTAAACATGCCTTCAGCGAATTGTTGTTGTGTCTTATCAATTAACGTTGCTCTCTACTGTTATTTTTGTCATCGTGATGAAGTAATAATAATACAAGTGCAGAGGAAATGCCAGAAACTTCCTCTAATACGGAACGTCTGGAATAAGTATGGTATCGACGAAGACCTAAATTTAATGTAAAAAAAAAAATGAACAAGGGAACAGTACAAGTTTTAACATTGTAAATAAAGGTTATCGTAAATATTGCCCGGTTTGGAAGAAGTTATTGTATATTCATTGAAATTGAAATTACAAAATCACAGGAATAATATCCATGATATTAATTAGAATCATACTTGTAAGTACAGTGAAATATACACTTTTTTTATTTTTTGTTTTTATTGTAAACGAATGGCCTACTCATTTGACAACATGGCCCATTAATTCTAAAAATGGCCCATAGAATTTATTTTTGGGGGACCCTGGGCCCATAGAGAAAAAATCCTTCCAGATCACTGGTTACAAGGGAATTCTGCAGATATAACCATTTTTAGCAAAATTAACAAATTGTACCCTCAATTTTGAAAAAAAAGAGGGGAAATTTAATTGTATACCCTTTCTTCAATTTCGCCGGAATATCTTCAATCCTGCGTAACTTAGATCTTGACGGTAATACCACCTCGGATGACGATGTGGACGAACAATGGTTATCATTTCAGTCAGATATTGTTACATTTATCTGTTAAAATACATGTAAAAAATGTCGTTCACAACACGTGCGTTCGGTGTATAAATTTTAAAATTGTAGGACAAGTTGCGATCACGATCTTTGTAAACAAATGAGTAATAAATATATATTTTTTATGTAAGTATACTTCATACAGAAATATGACGAAGTCTTTCTTCAAAAACCTATAGCTGTTGTTTAAATTGTTCAAATACTAAATCAATCTCAAGGGTTAAGTTGGGCCGTAAAGAAATAAAGTAATCCCTGGAATTGTCCGGTTCCAACAGTAAAACCCTTTCTTACAAGTGTGGGATGTATATATTAATGGCAGCCACGTCAGGTCGGATTAGGGACTTTAAAGCCAGTACCTCGCGTATTCAGGATGAATGTTACAATCTCTGATGTTAAATATAACACTTGCGACAACTCTTTGGTGGGATATGCATGATATATTTGCAACTGAATGTAAAGCTAGCAACACACACTAAAGCAAAACTTTAATCCGCATGATCTACAGATGTCTTCAGTCTTTTGAGTATAAAAAAAAAAAAAAAGGACTATTACACGTTGCAACACTGACTCACGTATACATCTTATGATGGGGAACGAAATGACGGACAGACAGGAGAAGAGTATGTCTCTTAATTTAAAATAGCTAAAAAAACAAGAGACTTTTGCAATTCCAAATTGTTTCAAAGTCATCTGAAGCAAAAAATGGTCGGATATTTTTGACAAATGTATTTCGGTAAAAGCGAAGAAAAAACCCCTTCTTTTGCTTGTTCGTTACCGTATATATAGCTTCCTTGATGCCGTAAGTAACCGAGACACAATTCATCAACACAACGTTCTATTTAAAAAAGGAGGCAATTATGACTATATTTTGACAAAAACAACTATAATTATCTTTGAAATAGACGATACATTTTTAGTCCGACACGGCAGATTTTATAGTTCTCATTTGCCTTTGCGCGATGAAAAATGGTACCAATGTATTCGTTTATAAAATTTTATATCATTTTCTAAATGTTGAAATAAAATGAAGTTAAATAACTGGCAATAAGAATCTACCGCACTAAATCTGCTCACTTCATTTACAACAAACTGATAATTAATGAAACACTCAAGGAGACTAATTAACAGCTATCTGTTTGATGATAATATTTGTACCCATGATTCCATAGTTATAAAACGAGATTTGGGAATACCACCTATGGGGCTTTCCACTGATAATGGGGACATCGTGATCGCCTTACTATATAGTACAACTGGCACACTTAGTCTAGTAATGGACTTCTGATAATACAGATTAAGTACGAAATTTGGTGAGAACACTTTTACCATTCTTGAGTTATGTCCCTTTATAAACATAAAAATTGCTGAATTTTTTGTTTCCGTTCTCTAACTTTAGTTTGTCTCAACCAAATGTTATAAAACTTATACACAACCGTTCTAGAGTTATGCGTGTTTACAAATAGAGAAATTGCTGAATTTTTAGTTTCTGTTCTCTACTTAAGTTAGCCTCAACCAAATGTTATGAGACTTACACACAATGCTTATTACCACAAAACTCAGATCAAGTTCAAATTTGGGTAGCGTCACTTTTACAGTTCTTCAGTTATGTCCCTTTATAACTATATGCTATGCAAGTGGGGGCATCATCTGTGTCCACATGTGGACACTATCCACATTTATTTAATTCATTTATATAATAAATGATTGATTTAATACAGGGTGTATCTACTGCTTTCCAAGGCTGTATAGCTGACTTGACACTAAGTGGAAAAGCCATGCCCAAGCCTGTTGTAGAGAATGATGTTAGAAGATGTTATACTGATGATTATGAGTCAGGATCTTTCTTCTTCAACAATGGTGGATATGTTCAATTAGGTATGGAAAACAAAAGAAAAAAAATTGTAATTATATCTCTGACAAATTTAAAAATAAGTGTAGATCATTATTTTATGGGAATTATGCCCCTTGAAAATAAAAGTAAAATAGGCTTCCCTAGAGCAATCTAGTTAAACTATTATCGAAAATCTGTATCTATTTTCTGATTGTTTACAGATGACATGTTCTCTGTTGGTGTTGACATCACCATATCATTAGAAGTGAGACCACGAAGTTTAACTGGTGTCTTGTTATCTGTTCACGCTGACAATGGTGGTGACTTCTTACTTCTGCAGATGGTCAACGGAGAGGTTAGTAGTAAAGAGTATGCCTAATTTCATATAAAACTATGATAATCAATTGCTTTGAAAATTTACTATTAAATAAATGGCTGTTGAAGAATAGAATGATTTTGAAAGCATATACATGTAATTTTATTCAGAGGAATTAAAAAATGAAATCCAAGCAATTCAACAGCAAAACTTCTTAGAGAGGAAGAAGGACATAATTTAATGAACCCAGCATATTTAAAGTATTCTACATTTTTCTATTTGTTTCCTTTTTTCAGCTGATTTTGACAGCTGATAATGGTGGTGGCGAATTCTCTACCAGATATACACCACAAGTACCCAATAAATTATGTGACAGTCAGTGGCATAAGATTGAAGGTAATCAAACTTATTATTTTTATCTCCTTTTTTTTTATGAAATTTTATACTTCCTAGCACGGGCAAAACGTGCCTATTGCAATAGGCATGTCTACAGAGATTTTTTTTCTTTTGAAACATCATGTATATAACACTTATTGGTTGCACTTTGTAAATACAGCTGTTTCACAAACCATGCCTCTTTTGGGGAGAAATTTAATATTCATAGATATTTTGTTTTGTTTACCTACTGGTTCCCAGATATGATCTTTATGCTTCATCTCATAGAAACACAACTTGGGAATTTTACCGGTATAAATACACATGGATAGCAGCCAAATTGAATTCTGAGGAAGACCCAAAGATAAGTGAGGGGTAGTACAGAATTTTAGTACAAGTTTCAACTCTTAGAAGTTCAAGGCATATAAATGTTGAAAATATGCCACACAGCCCTATGTTTTGACCTTCGAAAAAAAATAGTAGTGCATTTAAACTTTCCATTCAAGGATATAATTTTTTACAAAACTTAATAGTAAAAGTGGCACAGTTTTAGCCGTAAAAGTAGTTGGTGACTTAAATCGTCATTTCACCGGGAAGACTATGGCCTGTTTCATTCTTCATTTGAAATTTCAAGTTGATGTATTTTAATATCTTCACAATGCTCATTTAAACAAAAAAATCTAATATCTGAGAACTTGAAAATGGACTTTTCATGGCCTATAAAGGCTTTTCACTTGAGATAAATTGGTGAATTATTAAGATATCAACTGTTTTAATTTCAGAAATTAAGTATGAATTTAATTTGGACTAAATAGTTAGATTCATGTACATATTATAATTAAAATCATACTGTGAATCTACAAATATATTGTAAAATGTAAAACTCAAGTTTATTAATAAAATATCTTATTTAAAAAAAAATATTTTAGTTTAGTTTGTTATTTACACATTTCTTTGCTTACTTTCAGCAACAAAAGCTAAGAACGTTTTATTGATGAAAGTAGATGGTCAGGATGTTCCACATGGTGAAGGTAAAGCAGGATCATCATCTGCTGAAACGAAGAATCCACTTTATATTGGAGGTGTTCCAGGTAGGTCAAATTAAGTTTACTAAACTACATAAAAGTATTTTTAAAAGAGGTAATGTATTTGCTGTCACTTAAAAATTCAAGATATTGATGCATGTAGCAACAAATCTTATTTAAAAAAATGTGTTTATGTTTTCATTCAATATTTTGTAAATTGCCAGGACTGTTGTTTCATGGTTACCTTTCCTTAATTGTCCCTTGCACGATGTGTTGCAGTGGAACATAGAAATACCCGGTGTCAACCGTCTGGTCTTGTTAGCGCTCTCACATGTACAATTCTTGCCATATTTTTATCAAACTTATATCATAGGTTTATGTCAGCAATGTCTCTAACAAGTTTGAAAATCAGTGCCAATCAATTATTTTTAAAACCGTTATACTCTTGGAGATATTAATTATATGGAAAATTGCATTGTAAGCACTCTTATATGTACAATTCTTGCCAGATTTTTATTAAATTCATATCAAAGGTTTCTATCAGCAGTGTCTCGGACAAGTTCTAAAATTGGTGTCGATCAATTATTTTTAAAATAGTTATGCCCCTTGGAAATATAAATTATATGGAAAATTCCATTGTTAGCGCTCTCATGTGTACAATTCTTGCAAGATTTTTATCAAACTTATATCATAGGTTTATATCAGCAATGTCTCGGACAAGTTCGAAAATCAGTGCCAATCAATTTTTTTAAAAGAGTTATGCCCCTTGGAAATATTAGTTATTTTGGAAATTGCATTGTATTTGCTTTCAAGCCTTCATTTCTCTAAGATATTTGTAAATAATTTAAAGAACAAAAAAAAAACCTTAGTTATTGCCCTTGGATAGATAAAATATGTGCAACACGAGGGACATTAGAACTCTGTTCTTTTATTTTAATATTGATCACTTAGACATTTGGTCACAGTGTATGAATTGTTTCATACTTGTTTTTCGTGTCGTTTAAGGCTGAAGCTCATTAAAAATGTCAGTATGATGTTATGGTACCCAGATGTTTATTTTTATGCCCCCGCCATAGCTGTGGGGGCATTAAGTTTTACCCTTGTCCGTCTGTACGTCCCAAAATTGGTTTCCGTTCTCTAACTTGAGTTTGCCTCAACCAAATGTTATGAAACTTATACACAATGCTTATTACCACAAAACACAGATCAAGTTTGAATTTTGGTGGCGTCACTTTAACCGTTCTAGAGTTATGCCCCTTTATAAATAGAAAAATTGCAAAATTTTTAGTTTCCGTTCTCTAACTTAAGTTTGCCTCAACCAAATGTTATGAAACTTATATACAATGCTTATTATCACAAAACACGGATCAAGTTTGAATTTTGGTGGCGTCACTTTAACCGTTCTAGAGTTATGCCCCTTTATAAATGGAAAAATGCTAAATTTTTTATTTTCTTCTAAATATCAAGTTATTATACGACCGCAAAAAAATTTTTGTGGTCGTATATTGGTATGACGTTGGCGTCGTCGTCGTCGTCGTCCGGCGTCGTCTGAAGACACATTGGTTTTCGCACTCTAACTTTAGTTTAAGTAAATGGATCTCTATGAAATTTTACCACAAGGTTCAATACCACAAAAGGAAGGTTGGGATTGATTTTGGGGGTTATGGTACCAAGAGTAAAGGAATTAGGGGCCAAAAAGGGGCCAAAAATAAGCATTTTTGTAACTTCCAGACATAACTTGTGTGTTAGTGGATGGATCTCTCTGACATTGTACCACAAGGTTCCATATCACAAAAGGAATGCTGGGATTGATTTTGGGGGTAATTGCCTCAAAATATTAGGAATTAGGGGCCCAAAAAGGGGCAAAAAAACAAGCATTTTTCTAGTTTTATGACAATAACTTGTGTGTAAGTGCATGGATCTTTCTGAAATTGTACTACAAGGTTCCATATCACAAAGGAAAAGCTGGAATTGAGTTTGGGGGTAATTGCTGAAACGTTTAGGGATTGGGGGCCAAAAAGGGGCCAAAAATAAGCATTTTTCTAGTTTCCAGACAATAACTTGTGTTCAAGTGTATGGATCTCTCTGAAATTGTACTGCAAGATACCATACTACAAAGGGAAGGCTGGGATTGATGATGGGGGTAATTGCCTCAATATTTTAGGAATTAGGGGCCAAAAAGGGGCAAAAAACAAGCATTTTTCTAGTTTCAGGACAATAACTTGTGTGTAAGTGTATGGATCTTTCTGATATTGTACTACAAGGTTCCATATTACAAAGGGAAAGCTGGGTTTGAGTTTGGGGGTAATTGCCCTAATTGTTTAGGAATTTGGGGCCAAAAAGGGGCCAAAAAACACATTTTTCTAGTTTCCAGACAATAACTTGTGTTCAAGTGTATGGATCTCTCTGAAATTGTACTGCAAGGTACCATACCACAAAGGGAAGGCTGGGATTGAGTTTGGGGGTGATGAATCATAAGGGGGTTCAAAAAATTTGGGGGGGAATTTTTTTTTTTTTTTTCCTTTTTTTTCTTTTTTTCCTTTTTTTTTTCTTTTAAAATTTTCCATTTTAAGTTGGTTATTTCTGATTTATATTTAAAAGCAAATAATAATGATATGGTAGGAGATACACTCCAAACAGGATGTGTAAATTATTATATAATAAGTATTGTGCAATAGCAAGAAATTTTCAATTGCACAGTATTGCACAATAGCAAGAAATCTTCAGTTGCACAGTATTGCGCAATAGCAAGAAATATTCAATTGCACAGTATTGCGCAATAGCAAGAAATATCCAATAGCACAATATTGCGCAATAGCAAGAAATTGTCAATTGTACAGTATTGCGCAATAGCAAGAAATATTTAATTGCACAGTATTGTGCAAAAGAAGATACTTCGTATAAATTGCTTATTTCTTGATCAATTTCAATGGGGTTTTATTCTTGAATTCTTGGGGTTCTTTAATATGCTGAATCTAACCGTGTATTTAGTTTTTGGATTTTGGGCCCCGTTTTTAAATTGGTCCACATTGAGGTCCAAAGGGTCCAAAATTAAACTTTGTTTGATTTCAACAAAAATTGAATATATGGGGTTCTTTGATATGCTGAATCTAGACATGTATTTAGATTTTTGATTATGGGCCCAGTTTTCAAGTTGGTCTAAATCGGGGTCCAAAATTAAACTTTGTTTGATTTCAACAAAAATTGAATATATGGGGTTCTTTGATATGCTGAATCTAACCATGTATTTAGATTTTTCATTTTGGGTCCAGTTTTCAAATTGGTTTACATTAAGGTCCAAAGGGTCCAAAATTAAACTTTGTTTGATTTCAACAAAAATTGAATATATGGGGTTCTTTGATATGCTGAATCTAGACATGTATTTAGATTTTTGATTATGGGCCCAGTTTTCAAGTTGGTCCAAATTGTGGTCCAAAATTAAACTTTGTTTGATTTCAACAAAAATTGAATATATGGGGTTCTTTGATATGCTGAATCTAACCATGTATTTAGATTTTTGATTTTTGGGCCCCATTATCAACTTTGTCCACATTGAGGTCAAAAGGGTCCAAAATTAAACTTTGTTTGATTTCATCAAAAATTGAATTCTTGGGGTTCTTTGATATGCTGAATCTATCCATGTATTTAGATTTTGGATATTGGACCATAATAGGTGAATGTCCAATTTAAAATTTTTAAGTTCTTAGACCACATTCATTCTGTGTCAGAAAGCTATGCTGTGTCAAATATTTAATCACAATCCAAATGCAAATCTGTATCAAGCTTGAATGTTGTGTCCATACTTGCCCCAACTGTTCAGGGTTCGACCTCTGCGGTCGTATCAAGCTGCGCCCTGCGGAGCATTTTATTTTTAAAATTGGAGTTATCTTCCTTTGTCCATGATTATAGTTGAATCAACTACAATCAATGCTGTATACAATGCAATGTTTAATTTTGACTTCCACTGATAAAACACAGATCCAGTTGAATTTGGGTAGTGTCACTTTAACCATTATTGAGTTATGCCCCTTTATAAATAGAAAAATTGCTGAATTTTTAGTTTCTGTTCTCTACTTATTTTATCCTGTAATCACAGCCAGGAATCTGTCATGTTGAGAACAATGTCACATAATATTTTCAAACTGATTGAGGGTGAAGTAGAACATTGCATTTTTTAAGAGAAAAGTATTTTGAAGAGACAAGTTAACTGATTTATTTCTTCATATGAGCAGGAGAGATAATTTTGTATTTATAGAATATTGATTCATATTTATTAAATTTTTCAGACTTTGAAAGAGATGGTATGTTGGCAGACAGCAATCTGATTGGTTGTATGCGTAACCTGATGATCAATGAGAAACCTCGATACATATCTGGTGGTGTTGCTAATGGTGATGTAAACCTTGATGCTTGTCCAGTAAACTGATGATAATACTCTGACCCAGGATGATCCAAACAGAATATAAATTATTTAATATGCATGTACAATCAAAATATATACAATGGTGCTACTACACATACTGTTTTTTGTTTTTATTAAAACTTTACCTTCTTGTGTCAGCAACTAACTTTGTAAGCACTATTAAGAATAGATATTATTAAATCTTATTAAAAGAACAACATGTATTGATATTATGTTTGCATAAATGAATTATCATAAAATTTATATGTTATACAATTAAAGGAAATGAATTGCTATAGAAATGGTTTAATTTGCAATAAGCAGTTCCTTAATGTTTTATTATTTTTTATACACCCGCAGAAATTAAAAATTTTTTGGTCATATATTGGTATCACGTTGTCGACGTCGTCAATGTCGTCAGCGTCGTCAGAAGACAGATGGTTTCCGGATAAAAACTTCAGTATAAGTAAATAGAAATCAATAAAATTTTAACACAAGGTTTATAACCAGTCAAGGAAGGTCGGGATTGATTTTGAGAGTTATGGTCTCAACTGTTTAGGAATTAGGGGCCAAAAAGGGGCCCAAATAAGCATTTTTGTAGTTTCCAGACAATAACTTGTGTTAAAGTGTATGAATCTCTCTGAAATAATACCACAAGTTTCCATACTACAAAGGGATGGTAAGGATTGACTTTTGGGGGTTATGGCTCAAACTGAATAGTAATTAGGGGCAAAAAAAGGGGAAAAACAAGGGTTTTTTCTGGTTAAAGGACAGTTGAGACAATTTAAAAGCAGTGTAAGGGAGGTAATCCAAATCAATTAAAAGAACACTGTTTGATTACCTCCCTTACACTGCTTGTAAATTATGTATTTAGAAATGATGATTGTCTTGAGGTGATTAGCTGTGAATTTATTTTTAGCAGTTACTATTAATTAATATTAATTTTAGCCATGACTATGTATGTCATTTTATATTTTAAAACTTTTATGATGTATTTAAATGGGTAGTTATGGTTGCAAACTCCATTAGAAATTTGAATTGAGATACTGACCATATCTTGAGGGAAAGATTTTTTTTCGGGGAATAAGGGAAAGGGGGAGGTGAAAAAAATTGGAGGGGGGGGGGGGGACAATTTTTCTCATTTCAGATTTCAGAAATTAAAAGAAAATTTCTTCAAATATTTTTGTTTTGGGGTTAATATTCAACAGCATAGTGTATTGCACAAAAGCAAAAAAAACAGGGTAAATTTTTTTTTTTTTTGGAGGGGGGGTCAATTTGCAACAGCATAGTGTATTGCACAAAAGCAAAAAATTGAATATAAATTCAAATCATACTTTAATCAATTTAAAGTTCCTTGACTACAGTTATTCTGTGTCAGAAACCTATTACGGCCAAAAATTTAGTTACAATCCAAATTCAGACCTGTATCAAGCGTGAATATTGTGTCCATTTTGGCCCCAACTTTTCAGGGTTGGACATCTGCGGTCGTATCCAGCTGCGCTCAGCGAAGCAATTTATTAACCATTGAAATATGTTTATTTTTATGATTTTGACTAGTCTTTTAATCAGGGTAACATGGAGTACTGCTCAAATATTTATATAATAAATATAAACTTTAATCAACTGAAATAAATCATTATTTTATATGCAGGGTAATAGACAATCGTTTGTACCCCAGAGGCCAAGAAGTTAGGCATGTTATGTTTTTCAATTATGTATTTTGTAATAAACAATGAATATTGTATGTATAATTTGTTTTCAGCCATATATCTTTTTATACTAAGTAAAGAATTGAAATGCATGTAAGAAATTATGAAATGGAAAGACAATGAAACACCATCTACTTAAATTAATTGTGATAACTACTATATGAGGTCTTTTTAAAATCTAGAAATTAATTTGCTAGTAAGACCTCTAGAAATGCATAAAAAAATCCTGATTATATTTGATTATAAAAGATATTTTAGATAGATGTGGCAAAGAAAAGTGTTAGTGAAACTTGCTACATATGTTTTATTCATATGCAGAATAAATTTGAGATGATGATATTATGTGCAATAATCTATAAGACTGACAAAATGGCGTTTTAATTTTTCTGTTTGGATCATCTCGTGTGTAAAGACCAACCTCAAGTACATTTAGTGGCTTGAATTTGAATACAAAGAACTTCTATTTATCAAAATTTTGTCAAAGATGGCTCTAAAATATTTCTTCATTTATATTTTGAACAAAACCTTGGAAACTGTAATCCTACTCATGTTCGGAGTGAAAGACAAATATAAATTTCACATAATACATTTATACTAATCCCATAATCAGATAGCATCACAATATTTCTTTGTATTCAGATTTATATATTTTAGCAGTCCTTTTGATTTTTGGGGAAATTTATAATTGATTTTATACATTTTAATAATATGAACTTTACAAGTAAGAAATAGAAACTTTGGTTGTGTTATAAACCTATCAACCATCAGTTCAATTCTCATTAAAAGTCAATTCCCTTTTTATCCCTCGAGATCATTTGGGTCAGAATCTCTGTCAGAATCTCTGTCAGAATCTCTGTCAGTTACAAATTTTACTCAATTGAAATGGGGGTATTAATGCATGGTCAATTGCAAGTAATACGTTAAATATTTCAGAATCAGAAAGAGAGGAAACTTTGTTAATTTTTTTGGCAAATAGACCCGAGTGTTTAAATATATTTATCAAAAACAAAACAAAAAATAGAATGCATTCTTTTGAATAGAGAAATGCTGCTTTAGAAATTCAAAAGGACTGCTAATACAAAAAAAAAATAGTTTATTATTTTGATATGTTAAAGGATAAGGGATAGATAAAGTTTCTATGCAGTATATTCAATTAAAATGATGTGAAAGTATGATACCCCTGTTTACTAAAGTGGGGGTATATGATGTCCATTTCATCTTTTGTTCATCCCTCTCCGATTTATATCTGCAATCTCTACAACCTTAAATTAAAACATATTCCACTTTCTAGGTGACATAAAAACATGTAATTGGTATAGTTTATGGATTTTTGGTGGCAAAACAGGATAATTTATGATTAGTGATTGAAATAAACTTCTTTATTTATTAATTTAAACTTTGGACTTTGGAGATGTACATGTACATTTATATTAGTTTTATGATTATACTAACTTATGTTACCCTTGACATTGCTTCCAGCCAAATGTCTGTGTTATAGTAAGGATAGTTTTTTATTTGATTTTACAGTTTTTGTAATTCTGCCCCTAATACAACTTTAGTATATTAAGTATTATGATTTTATATTTTTATAAGATTTTATGTGCTGTTTAAACAATATGCAGCTTCAGAATTGCAAAGTTTGGTGTACAATTGTAAAATTTAACCCAGAATGCTTCAGATTCTGAAATGGTGAAATAGATCTGATGGTAAAATTCTATGCATATATTAAACAATGATTTACATCCAGTTTTTATACCATTTTGTTGTAGGTGTATAATCTTTTATATATTGATTTTTAAAGTCTTCCCCCTTTTACATATTGATATTAGATATTTCACTGAACCAAGAATATTACAATATAGAAGAGTTCGTTGATTAACACACCATTTCTAGGTGGATATACAAATAATAAAAAAAATAATCTTAAGTTTTAACCTTGGTCATTACATGCTCCATGAGATCAGATTGATAAATTGGGAAATATTGGAATACTTAAACGACATAAAAAGAATGTGTTGGGTAACAATCATCCTACATATATTTTTCTAAATATTACAAAACTTTTTGTGTCTACGTTTCATTAAACTCCAAATGATTCAATCATTTTATAGAAGAGTTATTCCAAAACATATATAAAATACCTGCAAAAATTGCATTTAATGATTCAAAATTGTTTCATGGAATTTTTTATGATTTAAAATGTTAGAATATATGGCATTAGATTTTTCATAGAATCTTGTTGATATTATTTTAGATCTTTATATATTCTTGGTTCAGTGGAAAAAGATAAATCTGTGGACATATTTATGTACATTTAGCTTGTGCTTTGAACCATTTGTTTTGTTCCTACTCCAGTCTTCAGACTGTAATAAACCAGTATCCTAAATGTATTGAAATATTAAAGCAGATTAAATAAAATGATGGTGTTTATTTATATCTAGCTAATAGAATGGTAAAATTATTTTGGATTTGTTCCACTTGTTGTAGCTTCCTCTTTTTCTTGATTGCTACATCACCAATTGAGACTAATCATTGAAATTCCACTTGCAATTGGTGCCACTAGTCTAACAGGAACTGTCATAAATTCCAGAGCACCTGATATAATTCCCATATTTTTGTGGGCTACTTGTTGCTCAATGTTTGTGTACTTTTTCATAAGTCTTTTTTTTTTTGTCTGTGTTTCTGTGAATCATGGTTTATGAATGCCCCCTTGTTATCTTCTCCATTCTTTTGCAAAGTCTCATAAATAGTACAAGCATCTAAATAGATGTGTTAGGAACATTTGCAATACCTTCATTAAATAATGAACATATTTAACACTATAAAATCAGTGCATCTGAAGTGCTTTCTGGAATTACCCAAGGTCAGGTTTACCTATCATAAGTTATTATTTGCAATAGAAATCCAGGACTGTCAAACTCTGATGAAAGTGATCTTTAAAGGGCATTAGCTAAGAGATGAAGAAAAAATGAAGATGTGTTTTTTTTTTGTGCAATCATTAATGAAAGTGAAATAGTGAAATAATAATTCGCTTTTAGCAGCCAATTTGGTTCAATTTTGTCAAAATAAGCTAAGAAACATAGCTGATGAATTATTTGCTTGCAAGTGAATAATTCGACCTTATTGAATCGTAATCATGTGACCTTCAATTTAACCCCTTAACTGGACATGGGTTTCGCATGCATTCAGCTATTAAAAGGAAAAGAATGTCAACATTGAAAGTGAAACAAGGATGAACCATTTGGTTAACTGATTCGATCCACAAAAAATCATTTTTATGCAGGTAAAAACGATGATAAACATACTTTTTAACCTGCAATATGAAATCACACAGACTAAGAAAAATCTAATTGCACGTGGTCACTATCTGTTTATATTTATGTTTATATCCGGTTATATGACCGTCTACAGTCTTCAGAGGTCATCTCGATAGTTAATTTGATGGCGTCTAGATAAAAATACATACGAAATGTTGATACATATTATCGAGTCAATGCATTGTTGTCTCGCCTTGACGGAGTCAAAAAACGAGACATAGGTATGCTGTTTCCAGCGGCGGCATCAACAGTGTATTAGTTTGTGATTAGGTCTAGTTCATGGTGAACCACTAGTGGTAGGTCAATGATATTCGGTATGCAGTTGTATTAGTATTGGCACATCTCATTACCATGGAGATTATTTGGCCCCACCCCCTCAGTCAAGGTCTATTGACTTTGAAACTTTTCATAGTTTACATGTATTAATTTGTGATTAGGTCAATTTATGGGGAACCACTAGTGGTAGGTCAATGATATTTGGTATGCAGTTGTATTAGTATTGGCACATCTCATTAACATGGAGATTATTTGGCCCCACCCCCTCAGTCAAGGTCTATTGACTTTGAAACTTTTCATAGTTTACATGTATTAATTTGTGATTAGGTCAATTTATGGGGAACCACTAGTGGTAGGTCAATGATATTTGGTATGCAGTTGTATTAGCATTGGCACATCTCATTACCTTGGAGATTATTTGGCCCACCCCCTCAGTCAAGGTCTATTGACTTTGAAACTTTTCATAGTTTACATGTATTACTACTGGAAGTGTTTAACGACCTTGACTGGCTGTTCAGCCCTCGCACGGTCGGTAATACATGTATTAGTTTGTGATTAGGTCAATTTATGGGGAACCACTAGTGGTAGGTCAATGATATTTGGTATGCAGTTGTATAAGCATTACCATATCTCATTTCCATGGAGATTATTTGGCTCTGCCCCTTAGTCATGGTCTATAGACTTTGAAAATTTTGCTAAGTTAATATGTATTAGTTTGTTATTAGGTCAGTTCAAGGGGAACCATTAGTGGTAGGCAAATGTTAATTGGTGTTCAGTTGTATAAGCATCAGCACATCTCATTTCCATGGAGAATATTTGGCCCCGCCCCCTCAGTCATGGTCTATTTACTTTGAAACTTTTGCTTAGTTTACATGTATTAGTTTGTGATTAGATCAGTTTAAGATGAACTGCTAATGTTAAGTCAATGATATTTGGTATGCAAATTTATTGGCATTTGCAAGTATTGTTTCCATGGAGATTATTTAGCCCCACCCCTGATCATGGTTCATTGACTTTGAAACTTTTACATAGTTTATAAGTTAATGTTTGTGTTTAGGTTTGTTTAAAGGGAACGACTTATAATAAGTCAGTGGTATTTGGCACATCTTATTCCATGGAGATTGTTTAGCCATGTACCTTCAGTCATGGTTCATCGACTTTGAATATTTGCATTACTTACATGTATTGCTATTTTAATTTCAACATTTGCATTATCAAAATTACAAAAAGGCGAGACATATCTCTGTGATAACAGTTTATTAATTGTTTATTTTAGACTTTTTGTAATTTGGATATACGTTTTAGTATGTTATAAATCAAATATGAGAATTTGAGTCAAATCGGTGAACATGAATTTGACAGCTAATGCCCCTTTAACAGCAACATAGCAGTTGTATTGTTTGAACGAAAATATAGCAAAAAAAAATGCATACCTCCATTTAGAATACATTTGAAATTATGAACCAGCTATTAAAATCAGAGAAAAAATAATATTGCAGGACAAGGATTATGTTGTAAGTAGTAGCAAGGGCTATTTTTCTAGGCAGTGGCTATTTTGCCGGCTCTGATTAAAATATCTTAATTTAAGCCGACAAAATAGCATATTTCTATAGAAATGGCTATTTTACCGGCACCGGCAATATAATGAACTTGTTATTTTGCCAGTTATCCCATCGAAAGAATCCGAAAAAAGGAGCATCAACTTTAAGGAGGATCTTGATGGTACACATAAGTTGAACTTGGTCTGAGCAGAGACGTACAATACATATAATAATATGTATTATATATCTCTGGTCTGATGGAAATGGAACAAAAGACAACAGTTAACCAGGGATATTACCTCTCGCGGGAAGCTTGTCGAGGAGCTTGTACCCAACAGAACCTCACTGATATAGCAAATGACTATCATCTGAATAAAATAAAATACACACACTCCCCACAAATATGTAGAGGGTGATAAAGGCTATAGTTATTTTATTGTTTTGCCTCTCAGTCATTAGTTAGCGTGTATCATTTACAAAAGATTCTGGTTAAAAAAAAAACATTACACTGAAATGTCAAACTTAGGTGTAAATTCATTTTGTAAACACTGACAGTTGTGAGACAAATTACCAATTTTCTTGTTTTATGTTTTACAGGTTTATCTCTAAAGGATGAAAATTTATTTCTGTATCAAAACTAATCGTTGATCAGATACATTTTTTACCAAATTGCTGTGTTGTATCAGAGACATATATACACATATGTCTCTGGTTGTATCATCTAACCATGGAAGTATTATAAGTTCCTGTCAATATAATACTTCCATGATCTAACGGAGCAGATACTTTTATAATTAAAAATAAAAGATGTAGATTAAACGTCAATGCTGGGTCCGATAGATCAAGTATTAGTCGCATATCAATGAGACAGCAACCCAATGAAACAAAACAGATACCGAAAGGTCATCACAACTTGTTGTTAATAATATACAGTTGTCTATACAATACCTCCATGCAGCTCTTAATCTCCCGGAGTATCAAAAGGTGTAAATAAGTTAACAGACTATATCCAGTTCTACCATTAACCCCCAATTCCCTGTTACTCTTGCGACTGAAGCATCAATTACAACAACTTCTGCATACGTTTAAATCGTAAGAATGGGTGGAAATAGGGAGAATATACCTATGTAAAATATTAAAAACATAATTGACGTCTAATATAATCAAACAACATCATGAAAAAAAAACATTAACTTAACACTACACCGAAAGCAAAATGTTAAGCAACATGACCCCACCAAAAATCGAGGGCGTCCGGAAGGGTAAAGGTTCCTGCATCTGTCTGTCGTGTTGCGCATTGTACGAAAAAATCGGTGATAGGTCGCATTCGGTGATGTCACAATCGAGAAACGAACATAGGTGTGATATATCTGTGATACACATATTCCATAACTGTCAACCAATCATGATGGCATCTGTAAAACGAAGGGATAACTTCAACCTGACTATTTTGAACCCTTGGTTCAATAGCTTACATGAAGCAGCAGTATTCTATCGAGAAAATCATTATAGGAAATGCAGGCCCTGGAATATCAACTTGAAGATATATTCTCCATATGGTGCTGAAAATTTAATTTTCAACCGAACCTCATTGTAAATTTGTGGATGTAAGTTGTGATTTGAAGCAGACCTAACTGTATCCATGTGGTATCATTTATATCAATGGGATAATGCGATAGAAAATATCTTTCCTTTTTGAAAGGTGATAAAAATTCTTTCGACTCCGCTTGAAATGTTGATTTATTTCCGTTTCATACCCTTTATCTGATAACAACCGATAATGTCCGTTTAATTTACCCTTCCCGTATTTCAGAATTTAGATATTCAGATGCAGAAGCAAAATTTATTGCAAGTAAGACTTTGAACATGTGGAGAATACTTCAGCAACCCAACGACACTTAAAAGCACAAAGCACATGTCTGAGAGACCAAAATAGTCCAACAACAGACACGTGTCTAAACAGTATATCAAGCTCGTGTTGCTACCGAGTCTAAGTTCGGCACCAAATACCAAGAATGATGCATCATTGCATTATGTAAACTCCAAAAGTACATAAAGAGAATAACCGGAATCACCAATAATACATGACAGTACAATACACCATAGCAACCACCAACACAGAGTCCAGGCATTCACGGATCCAGGGGGTGTTCCGGGGGTTGGAACCCCTAAGTCCACGATAGGTTTAATGTGTTAATGTGTGATTGACTGAACTTGTGGCATTAATCTATGGCTTTCTCTCTCTCTTCTGTCACAAGTTAAATTGCGTGAATGCTCGGAAAATCTCGCATAATATTTGTTTGCTTAAAAATTCGCATTTCCAATATTTATAGCATGTTTTCTGTAAGGTATTTAACTGAGTATGAGATACTGTTCTGTGATATGCATTTCCAATATACCGCATGGAATAGTACCAGCGTTAAACGTTTAAATTCCAAAGCAAAAAAAGTATCTGACCTCGTACTAAAAATATCTTACCTTATAATAACGTGTCGGTCTATAATTGCCAAAATATTTGAATATACAGCTGTTTTCACTTCAATCATTTTACCTATTTCATTTAGAAATATAATGTACCATGTTTAGCCTGTGATCAATTGCTCTTCAACTGTCAGTCAGACAAAATATGAAAAATTACAATACACTTATCTACTACATTTACTATATAGACAACAATCCGAATAAAGAGTAATGAAAAAAAACACGCCCTTCGCATTTCTACTGTTTACACAGGCATTTTCCTCACGTGAATTTCATATGAATTTCACGTAAAATTCACATCAAACGAGTTTATACTTGAAACTCAAGTGAAAATTTTCACATGAATTTCACATAAACTTTACTGAAAAAATGGTATTTTTGACGTTTTTAATCAAATGTAAAAATTTAGACGTTATTTGAAAAAAACGATATTTTGAAAATTCAGGTGAATTTCATGTGAAATTTACGTCAGTTTCACATTAGATTCACATGAAACTTATTTGAAATCAGTTCACGTGAGTTTCACGTATAAGCACGTTTGAGGTGAAATTCACGTGAATTTCACATGAGATTCACATGAATACATATGAGTGAAATTTCCCTGTGTATAGAACTTCTATAGAAATATTGTTCTTGTATTGCTGATGTTATATACCACGTATTGTTAAAAAATGAAGGCAAGACTTTATCATTAACAAAATAATAAATTAATCAAGTTGTGCTTTTACACGTTTAATTAAAAATTCGTGATATAAATATGATATTCCTTTCTCAAACAAATTGTTTCGTGAGCAGTGAATTCGAAGAAAGCCTAAGCAAGATGTAAAAAGTGGGGAGAGAAGATACAAAGCATACTTTTATTATATTGTTTAACTTAATTGAAGCTAAAATAAAATCTGTATCGACCTGGGAAAAGCAGGAAAAGTAATAACACCTCGTGGATCCTACTCCTATAATGAAGTATTGTATTTGTTGTCTGTTATACTAAAATTTGACATTCAAACCAGTGTTGAAATAATGTTCATTGGTTTTTACATTTTTACGCAATAATTTTCCCTTTTAGAAGGTTCATTGATTTAAACAATTTATTGGCAATAATTTTCCTTTTTGCCGCCGTACGGATGTTAAGTAGATGGATGATGCATAGACGTGTGGTATGTTGTTGACAGTTTACCCTCAGGCAACTTCTCTCTCTACGGTTTAGGTCAGAAGTTAGTAATACAAGTCATTCTAAGTTACTTCCTTTTTATCGAAAGATATTATGTGTTAATCTCTTAAATAGTAAACATGGATTTATAAGGGACAATTTGTTGAAAAAATTATAAAACAATGCTGAAAATAAACATAGAGGGAACTTACATTGCCGACTTAACATTATGGTGGTTGTTTACATCGTGGATGGCACAATTCATTGCAGTTGGTATGTATCAAAACATATTTGACAGTTAATCCTTAACTTTTTGTTTGAATACAAATTCTTCGATTGATCTTTCAAGCCAATCTACATATATGTATGTTAAATTTATCTCTTAAAAGGCAATCAATTTATTGTGTGTTAACGAGGATGTACAATATACTTATTATCTTCTAAATCATTGTTGCTACGTATAATATTCTTGCTTTTGGAAGGCGATTCGATTCTTTAACGAAGAATGAAAATAGCTATATATATACGGAATCATGAAAATCATATGCACCAGAAATTTAGGGGGTAATATTAAATAACATAAATACCTTTAAAAGATAAGTGAAGAAGTTAAATCAAAAGATATGTGTTCAGGTTGTCAATGTATATTTGTTCCGCCTTACAGAAGTTCTGTTTGGAAATTTGTTATAAAAATACCATAATATACCAACAAATATTTTATACCCTTAATGCCGTAAGGAACACTGTAATATTTGTCCCAGTAAACTGAATAATATTATAGAAAATTTATTTAAAACTTCTATTTCATGTCAAAGTGAAGTTAAAAGTAATATATACGACTATAACATTCGCACAATTTTTCCATAAGAAGGAATATTATGAAGTCTTCCGTTGTGTGATGAAATATATAACACTAAACGATGTCGTCTGGATTATGGATAATTTTTTCTTTAATTCCTAACATAAACTGATGATAATTACTAGCTAGAAAAAAGCTTCTCTTAACTTTTCTTCTGCTATCATTCTGAACTGCATGGCATTTAAAAGAATATTTATTTTTCTCTTCGCGTAATCTAATCGGTTTCAATAAACATTCAAGTTATTCATATCGTATTTCAATAATTTGCATTTTACATTACCGGAAATCTAAATCATAAAAATTACTTGATAATTGATAACCTTGTAACACACCTTCTAGTACTGATAATAAATAGAATATTTCAAAAAGAAAAGTTTTAAGTATTGACTTTTTTTTATCATAGTTAAACTATGATACGCATAAGTGGTAAACAATTAAAATAAAAGCCAACATGTAACATAAGTGATAACAGTTAAGTTTTACCAAAGACATATACATATATATATAAGGCGTCTGCGCAATGCTAGGCGCTGTTGTCGTAGAAGTGAGAAGTGAAAAGTGAAAAGTACAGGTTCCAGCCCCACTCGGGGAGGAAGTAAAGAATCAGATACTCTAAAATTTTAGGTTGATTTATATATATATATATATACAATTTACAGACGTTTCTGTATTTAATTCTACCTAGACAGCTAGTTTCTCCCTTCCTGTTTAGCTATATGATTAATATCAATAATTACCTTTAGGGTTGCATGTATAATGTTTAGCAATGCTTGTATCAAATAATGATTACATGTTTTGCAGTGCCATATCAATCATTCTATTCAAAAGTAAACAAATTCGGCGTTTTTACGAGTTTCTTTCAAATTGTTAAAAAAATATAAACCCTGCATGTTTATTGACACATTTCAAATAATTTACACTGTTAATTTGGTTATAATATTGTTTACATATTTCAGTATCAAATATTTAGTTGCATATTTGAGGACAAAGTCCTGTCAAATGTTTAATTGTACATTTTCTTGTAAACAATAAATTATGGTCCAGTTAATGGACTGTTTTACGACAAAAATTACCCACCTGACTGAGCTAATGAAATACTGTGATGGATTTCATTATCCATAAAACGGTGTGTTAAGGTCAAACAAGGCAAATTATTTACATCTTACATGTTGCTAATATCAGTTTAAATAAACACTTTAATTAGTTTTAGGTCGTATCGACAGTTTACCAAATTTAATTTCCTGAATGCAATTTAATGCATGACATATATCATTTTCAACCAATAAACATTAACTGAACATTTTGTAGATAACCTCCAAATATAAATTTCACTTGCAATTTTCTCTCTATCAGCTGGTTGTCCTGTGGGAACTTTTGGATATTTATGCTCCTACACATGCCACTGTGCCTTTGATACACCATGTGATGCTGAGACAGGAGCCTGTTTTGATGAATGCGCACCTAGATTTACAGGAAAACCATACTGCCAATTGGGTAAATGAATAAACACTTAATGAAAACATCGACTTTTATAATAATAAAAGCTAAACATAACAAATTATCAAAAACTACTTGGTTAATCGATTTGCAGGGTAAAGTCTTAAATACACATGGGAACACACTATATCATCTTTTATTTTTAGTATCTGATAAAGTTTTTGTTGGTTTTACTTTTAACTAGTAAGTATCTTATGACTATGCATTGTTCAATAGAAAAACAATACATACATGACAAACATAAATCTTCTTTTTAAATTGTTACATAAAACATCATTGCATAAATGATGAATAATTTTAACAAAGAAATGCTTGTTAGCTTTTTTCCATCTTCGTATTACTAGAATATAACAATGAAGATAATTTCTGCTTATGTCATTGGACTTTTATATTAAAATAATGACGACAGGTAGAAATGAATGCACATCATTTGTAATAAAAAAAAACAAATATACCGCATGTGCTGTATTTGAATAGGTTTTCTTGACTAAAAGTAGTCGGTAACTCCCAGAGACAAATGTTTGGAAAGTAAAGGATGTATAAATACATCGAAAGCTGGAACCAAACGAACATAAAGAATTGTTTGAAATAAAGGATACCTTTAATACAATTCGGTTTGCTTCATATTTTGACAGATATCTTAGTAGAAAATTTCGACGAGGGTCTGTTGAAAACTGAACTTTACGACAGGAGATTACTTAATTTTCTCATTTTAAAGTTTCGATTTGTATGAAACAACGAACATTCCAGTTGCACATACATATGGTGTATATATCTTTCATTTGATGAAATACCCCCAGGGATTGCGTTTACTGTCATTCTTTTTCTTGATAGAGATTTGCTGCTTACTGGGAGGTAACTGACAAATCGGGTTTACGGTTTACATATAAAATGAATTAATCTCTTCGAAAGTTAGTGAGGGCGCCATCATGACCGTTTTAGAACATCTGTATCATAGTTGACCAAGGCTATGTCCCCTTGTCGCCACAATCCCTACCTCCTTTCTTCATTTTTAACATCATCGAATGCAATTTTTTTGTCTGATTTTTTATTTGCCATGCCCAAACCGACTGGTGGATCAGGAACTGCTTACCCTTACGGAGCACCTGATTTATCCCCGATTGCTGGTTGGGTTTGCGTTGTTCAATGTTAAGTTTTCTTCTAAAAGTTTAGCGGACTGTTTTTTATCTGCTATTTTAGTGCCCTTTGGTTATAGCGTATACGGCTTTACTTGTGGTATTATATTGCCATCTAGTAATCTTTTACCTTTTTTAGCTTTGAAAAAAATGTACATGTATAAATCAATGCTTTTAGTTTTAACAATGAATGACAAATAATATTATCTTGAACAGAAAATATAGCAAAAGGAAAACCTACCTATCAAGAAACGTCAATCACAGACAATTCGGCATTAGCTGTAGATGGAAATAGGAACCAAACAGGGGCAGATAATTCTTGTTCCTGGTCTGTTAATTTTAGATATCCATTTAGAACTCTGTGGAGAGTTGATTTACAAGATGTTTACAGCGTAAACAAAGTAAAAGTCTTCTTCAGAAATGACTGTAAGTAGAATATGTGATATTATTATTTTATTATTGCTAGAAAATATATCTTACTATCACGACTACATGATGGATGTTTGAACCTGTATGATGCACATACAAATCGTCTTTGTTCAAAAATAGCAAATGAAATGATATCCGTGCTGCTCGGACAATACGCTATTTTGGAATAGCCTTCATCTGGTACGGTCCACAGGAAAACTTGGGAAAGCAAAATTTTATTACGTTTGAGATAATAACAACCACCAGACTTTGTTTCTGTTTGTTCAGTTTTCATTTTGAAGCCGTCATAGTAAACCATATGAATTGTCAATAGTATTTATGTGGTCTAATAGCATTTATTTCGAAATTCCTTATGGGATATGTAAAACAAAATAAAAGTTTCAACCAACCGGTGATTTACTTTTACTATACTTGCGACTGTTAACGACTGTTAATGTCGTTTTCCTTAACGTAAATGTACAGACGATAAAAAGTATACTGCATACTGTTTTCGACAAAACAAGATGTTTATTGGATGTTATTTATCAATAATGTTAGTTTATATTTCACCAAAATGATATTACAGCCAATGTGAGTTCTTCAAGAAGAACAGGTGCCCGTGTTTACGTCACAACAACAGAGGAGTTTCACTTGGAACCAGTATGTTATACCAGTCATATGAAGGTACATAACCTAACTACGACAAAAGGATTGATAGTTGATAAAAGTGTACGTCTATCAAGTAAAAACTTCATTCCTAAAGTAGTGGCACATTTCTAAAACAATCATTTATATTTAGTTAACAGCCCCATAGAACTAATTCTATTTGATCCTTATTCCTCGTTAGTTTAGTTCATATAACTACTCTGGAGTAAAATTTCATTGCATTAGTTCAATTACCAGCTGTCCCGGAACTGAGTAAGCTATAATTAAAGCATCTTTATAAGATGTTATGTAATAAAAGGATACCGTGATTTTAGTTATATAAAAATCAATAAAATTCCTCAAATAATGCTTATATTTTGCATTGTCTGAAATTCCAAAATGTCATTTTTTTTAAACATATTTTTTATGCAAATAAAGCTTCTTAAATTTTTCTTTATCAAACGTGTTTCAGTTAAGCTGCTTCATGAAAGCAAATAGCCTTATCATTCACTAACTAAATAGAACCAAATGAATTAGGATGGAGTTTCAAACAGGGTTGAGGTTGAAGTTGAATTGAGGTTGAAGTTGAATTATTTTTAATGTCAATGTACAGGAAACTCAGAGACAGGAGACAGGTTTTAAATACTACTAAACATCTTCATTACAAATACACGTATCAACAAGTGTTGATTGCAAAGATTTAAAAAATCTATTATAGTAAATGAATTATAATGAATATGCTTTCTTGAAGTACAATTGATAAAGACAGAGACAATTTGGAGTCAAATAAAGTACAAGAGGTATGGCAGTTTGGTCTTAGTGTATTTGACACAGAATCGCCCGAATAGAGCAGATTCAGCCACTCAAGCAAATGTTGTGGTGTAACCTAGACATGTCTTAGAAATTACACAATACACAATAGTAGTAGTAGTAGTAGTAGTAGTAGTAGTAGTAGTAGTAGTGGTAGTAGTGGTAGTAGTAGTAGTAGTAGTAGTAGTAGTAGTAGTAGTAGTAGTGGTAGAAGTAGTAGTAGTGGTAGTAGTAGTAGTAGTAGTAGTAGTAGTAGAATCATATAGTATTAATATGTTTTACATAGTGCATGGACAATCTATTTCACTACCTTCTATTTGAAATGGAAAATAATTTAAAAAACATTAGTTTTTAATTGTTTTAATATTGAGTTTTCTCTTTTATCTTCGTAATTTAACTGAACATCATTACTAGGCTTTACAGTGAATATATAATGCATTGCATGTGATTTTATTGATTTTATGATACCGTCCAATACCAGTTATATTTTCGTGAGAAATACTAAGTTACAAGTTAAAGAAGCATATTTGATGACCTCATGTGCATTTCGAAAGTTTATTTCTCGACAACGTTGCTTAAACCGAAGAGTTAGGGTCAATGAAAGAAACACATAATTCGTTTCTATGTATACATTGTTGTAGAATGCAGTTTTGATATCAAATTACAATTTATACATGTTTTAGTAAACGTAAGCTTTAAAAGACACCCACAACCAACATTTTATTTATACCTGGAATACAGAACAAGGCTATATACTTCCTCCCACAGAATGTTGGTGTTGGTTAATATGTCCTTTAAATTAATTTGTAGGTTAAATTCTAAAATTTGATTCGTTTTGATTCATCTAAAAGCATCAATTATTTGGTTTCATGTTAAAGAATACGACATATAGTATTACAACCTCAAAGTAAATTCATAAAGCTGTGTAACTAAAATTGAGTAAAGATTGAAACACAAAATATGACCCTGGTGTTGAAATGAATTCAGGGGAAATTGACCCACTCCTTTTTGAAATATCAATGTAGCATATATTGAATAGGAAAGGATCTATAATAAGTCTTTAAGTTGTGAAAAGGGATTTAACCTTTCAAACAGTTTTCTATAATGTTAATGTAAATTATAAGAAAAGAAGGAAAAGAGAAGAGAAACAATTAACAGAGGCGGATTCAGGCGGGGGCGTGGCGGGCGTGCACCCCCCCCCCCCCCCCAAAAAAAAATGTGCAAAGCATGGGTTGTCCTCAGCTTAATAAAGAATATTTCGATAATTTTACCTCAAAAAAATTTTCGCCTCGCTCCGTTCCGCAAAAATTTAAGTTTGCGCCCCGCTAACCTAAAATCCTGGATCCGTCCCTGATTAAATCAAAGAATAAAAAGATTTTTAATTTGTTACACAGACATATCCACATTTATCGTACATTAAGGTACAACATAAATGATATATATCGGGAATACATGTTAGCTGTTAATTTTAGGGCGACGTATTTTTTAATCCTCCATCAATATTAGAACTAAAGAACTGTACACACAGGGGACAATTTGTCACAGTTTATAACCAACGTCCAGTCGTCGATTCCTCAAATTGTCCAAAGACGTCTTACTCGTGCTGGGCTAACCTGGAGTTATGTGAAGTAGAAGTCTATGGTAAATATGTACACTGTACTTATATAGAAGCTTGTAGATGTGACAGACGAAGATATTTACTTAACACTTTACATTTTCCCGTAAAAAACTCAGTCAAATCGGCAATTTCTAATTTATCTAAATGTATAAACAATAGAAATAACCAGTACTAATTTTAAACGAAATGTTCTATTGGTAAAATTTTATTTATATAAATGATTCTTTTTCCCCATACTTTTATACAACATAATTATATGTTCTCTTTCAAATATTTTTTCTGTATTTATTTCTTGTCGCGTTTCATTTTTTAATTTATGTTCATATTCGTTTTACCATTAATAGTATGAAATTGATGTTACAGTTTGTTCTTATGGAACGTTTGGAGAAAACTGTGACAAATTCTGTCATTGTAAAGGAGGAACATGTGATCAAAGAACTGGTCTCTGTCCTGGTCGTTGCTTGTCTGGATGGATTGGCTCTGAATGTGATATGGGTATGTTTTGTCATTCATGTATTTCCATTGAATGAGTTATTGTTGTCTGACTTCAAAGATTCATTTATGTATGGTAGCATCCATTGCGTTGGAATGTGAATAATTTTCATCGTCGGTAAATTGCAAAAGTAATAGCTTTTAAAAAGCTTGTTATTGAATTGTTGCTTTTCTAAAAAGCTTGGTATTGGACAAATTATAGCTTTTCTAAAAGTTGGTTTTTGACAAGTTATAGCTTTTCTAAAAAAAAATCTTGCAAATAGAAAAACTTGTAAAAAGCTTGAAATAGGACAAGAAAAGCTTTTAATGAAAAGACGACAGTCTCAAATCTGATTATATTCTGGCATTAAAGTGTCGTCCATTCATGATAATCACTGTTGTATATAAATTGTAGAGGAATTACAAAACAAAGACAAGACAAACGGCTGATAAATTTTTTAAGGTTTTAAATTTGTTTGGGGTGATGTATTATATAAACCTTGAAACGGAGGTAATTTTTATATACCTGGCGTTTTAAATCTTCTCTCAATTTGGTTGAAATTTGATACTTGGTCACCTTTTCATCAGACATACATGATTTATTTCCATTTTGTCGTTTTTATCGAGTTAGACTCCACAGTTCCTGTTTCTATATACAGCATTTATTGAGTCAATATCGGACTCTTGGTGAAAAGTAGTGCAGTTTTATCATTAAAGAATGCATTAATATATTTCAAACGGTTAGGTTTTTCTTGACTTGAAGCCAAAACCACAAAAATATTGTTGTATATATCATATTTACCAGAATTCCGTATTCCGTATTCTATTTCTAATTTTCTTAGAAATGTTAGGTTAACCATGATTCCATATTCTATACAGAATTTTCCGTAGCAATGCATTTATATACTTTTAAAAGGTTAGGCAACAGGGTTTATCTTTGACTAAATTAAGAAACCCATACCAAAGCGCTAATAAGTGTTTAGTAACTGTATTATACATATTACATATTACAAAGTCCAAAGAAACACAAACAAAATACAAACAAACAAATAAACCAAATAAAAAGGTAAAAAACTGATAGTTACCGTATTGTAATTATATCAGGTGCATCACCATCCCTAGAACAATTTAAAAAAAAGGGTATATTTTGCTGAGGACTGTAGGATATGAATATTACTTTCAAATACCGCTTCTTTATCGTAGCATGTACCAATGGAACATATGGAGAAAATTGTGACACATTGTGTGGAAAATGTATAAATGGGGAGGCATGTGACGTCATCACAGGGAAATGTCTGAACGGATGCGAAGCAGGTTGGAAAGGAGCCAAATGTACAAAACGTAAGTCAATAAGTTATAAAAAAAACTAGGTTATTTATATCATATAATACATAAATATAGAAACTTTATTAACATCTGGTCTTGAAAATTATTTTGCATGAGAATAAACTTGTTTTTTAAAACAAATTCTGTTCATCAATATGAAACATATTCATTCCTCACATGCACATTGGTTCAATAATTGTTGAAAATGTGTAAAATGGTGGTAAAAATAAGTTGCTAAAACAGTTTTTCTTTTATAATAATTACACTGTAGATAAATGTGCATTTTGTAGACATAATGGATATTGACTTCTAATCTGCAACTGCATATATGCATCATGTACCCTTAACATGTAATTGCATATTTACAGAATAACTTGTAATTGTATATTTACAGCATAACATGTAATTGCATATTTATATTATATCATGTTATTGCATATTTACATCATAACATGTAATTTCATATTTATATAAAAACATATAATTGCATATTTACATCATAACATGTTATTGCATATTTACATCACAATATGTTATTGAATATCTACATCATAACATGTAATATCATAATTACATCATAACATGTAATTGTATATTTACATCATAACATGCTATTGCATATTTACATCATAACATGTTATATCATATTTACATCATAACATGTTATTGTATATTTACATCATAACATGTAATTGTATATTTATATCATAACATGTAATTGTATATTTACATCATAACATGTAATTGTATATTTACATCATAACATGTAATTGTATATTTACATCATAACATGTAATTATCTATTTACAGCATGTCCACAGTATACGTATGGCTTTAATTGTTCAGGTGCTTGCTTTAACTGTGCTAATTTAACAGATTGTGACAAGAAAACAGGAATTTGTCCACTTGGATGTGCCAAAGGTTTCTTTGGCAGTCAATGTAGTAATAGTATGTGATTAAAATCAAATATCTTTATGTCATGAAGCATGAATATTAACATACAAACTTAGTGTTGCAATTGCATCATAGAATGTATCTCAAGTTTAATGTCATTTGGTATCTTAATTTGGTATCTTAATATGAAAACTTTAAAGCTGATTATACATGAAATTTCATTGGCAAAAATATCATAATAATTCTTAATAATTTAAACAATTAAGTGCAACAGAAGATAACTAATATTAGATTTAAATTTATTATATAACTAAAGCTATTACAACAAATACTACTGATATTTAAAGTATGCAAGTTGTGAAACTGAATTTCATATGTACCTGTTAAGCAAGTCTACATAAGTTTTATGCATTACATGTATTAGTTTAATCAGAACACGTTAATTGTTTTTAATAGAGTGTCCAGCTGGCAGCTATGGAAAAACATGTCAATTACAATGTGGAAGATGTGCTGGTGGGGAAACATGTAATTCACATACTGGAGAATGTCCTAGATTTTGTGAGCCAGGTTATGCTATGCCACTATGTCAAGGACGTAAGCACATAAAACTTCATACATTATTTCTTAAGCTATGAAATCCACTTACATCAAGTAGAACTTATAGAAAAAAGAGAGGGCATATATGAATAACCCTGTCGTAACCCAATGTTTCTATATTTTGTTGGTGTTGAATTGGCGTTACTATGGTTCACATATTAATTTTTTTCGCTCATAGATTAGTTCAATAAGTTCGCCTCATCATAATACATATCAATAGTCTGTCATGATTTTGTATTTTGTTATTTACATTTATGCTAATTTTGTTTAGTATGTGTATGTTTTCAGTCATTATAGTCGAAATATTTTTTGTAGCATGTCCAGTTGGATCATTTGGAGAAAATTGTTCTATAGCATGTGGTAATTGCAGAAATTATGATCCTTGTAATCATATTACTGGGGAATGCACAAGGGGATGTGGTCCTGGTTGGAGTGGCCTACATTGTGTTACACGTGAGTATACCCTGTTAGATATATGTTCGATTGCATGTCGGTGTTTATGTTACTTAGTAAGTCATCTAGTTCCTGTAGTATTATTCTAAACAATATTCATTCAATACGCTGTAATTTGCAAAAATATATTATGAAAATTGTCCAATGCTTCAGTACAATTGACATTTGTATAGTTTTATTTTATAACTTTGAAGTTACATACTTCTAATATGCAATTGACAAAAAATATACACTGAAATATAAGATTATTATGTTATTGATGATATACATGACTCTTCAAGAATTGTATGTATTTTATTTTCATATTTCACACAGCGTGTAAGCACGGATATTGGGGTTATGATTGCGCAAAAGAATGTAGAACATGTAGTGATGAACATTGTGACCACGTGACTGGTATCTGTATACACGACTGTAAACCAGGGTACCAAGATCCGAAATGTGACAGGAGTAAGAGTCTTTTTAAATAACAAATTCGTCGTTATGTATTCATCAATATGTATTTCAACATAATACTTATTAAAACAATACAGAGCATATAGAGTAACTGTTATGCATTTTGACATGATGTGACATACATTGACTAATATGAATTTGTTTCTTAATATTTCATTTTCAATTAAAGAATAATAATATTTCCGCGATTTTATTTTAATCGCGAAAAATATGTAATTTTGCCACCTTACGGTATGTAAAGACTATAAACTAAGAAAAACTATCATCTGAAATATTAATTATATAGTTCTACCTAAATAACAAAAAGGGATAAATAAGGAACAACTAGAGACATCATTTAGAATATTAATTTATATTTCATTTAAGAATGTCCATCTGGACTTTATGGTAGTGGTTGTACACAAATTTGTGGACAGTGTGCGGACCATGCATCATGTGATTCAATAATGGGACACTGTCCAACGGAATGCAGTTCCGGCTGGAGAGGAACTCATTGTAATATACGTAAGTGTCGTTTATAAAACACACATTATATACCTTTATACCCCAAAAAATTATAATACCCTTATACCCAAATAAAATTGTAACTTGTATCAGAATTCTCTAGTATGGGCACATGACAATGAGATGTGTTGATGCTTTCATTCACTATATTAATAATACCTGTTCGACACATATACCAATACATATATGTAATTACACTTATTACTATTGAAAAATAAAGCAAGCTTAAAATCAAATTAAACAAATAAAAAATCGTCTGGTAAACTAAACAACAGAATGCTCATTTAATTAAGATCATATAGTATTTTTCAAATATTGTACGATTATTTCAGCCTGTTCGGAAGGATTCTATGGCGATGACTGTAAAGATAGGTGTGGCCATTGTCATAATAAAACAGCATGTGACCCAGTCTCAGGAAAATGTCAAATTGGATGCCAAGATGGCTATCATGGACTGCAATGTAAGATACAGTTATACATAAATATGAATGTCATGACAAAAAGTATATTTTTATTTGTTTTATAAAAGCACTTCAGCAATTCTTTGATTTTTGTTTTTATGCCCCACCTACGATAGTAGAGGTGCATTATGTTTTTCGGTCTTTGCGTCCGTTCGTCCGTCTGTCCCGCTTGTCCCCACATTGTGTTTTAGTGCTATGATAAATTTCCACTATTTCTAACAATTGGATCTAGGTTTGCCCTAGTTTTAGTTTTTGTTGTTTGTATGCGTATCCACATCAGCCCCCTCCTGTTTCGTTGATTTTGATATGTATCTTAACCGTATTGACATCTGAATTTTGTATTTCAATTGCCTTTTAACAAAGAGTCTTGTTAGCTATTTTAAAATTCCATTTGCGTATAATTCATTACAGGTAGAGCTGTAAACAGTAGTGGAGTAGTGATGTCCGGTGGCGTCATTGGTTGTTTGGTTGGTGTTGTTGTAGTTATAGCATTAATAGTTGTAACTTGTTCATTAAGGTAGATAACTATATTCTTATATACAATTAGATTAAACTAGAAAACAAACAAAACGAAAAATAAATAAAACGAACTGATATTAAATGATATCTATACATACTATGGACACTTAGTAAATTACTATTAAAAGAGATACAAGGCATTTTCGGCGTGTAGCAGTCAAATATCAGCGAATATTAGCTCTCTTAATCATTGATTGCGTTTATTGTATTGACATGAACATAAATTTCATTTTATATTACAGACACTACATGACAAAAAGATCAAGAAAAGCTGATAAACAAATGAATGTCGTTTACAATAATGCAGGACACATAAGTGCAGGTATTCAAAATTTAATATCATTTTTGTTTTATTAGAATCGGATAAAAAGTAAGGGTTATTTAATCCAACTTACGCAGAAGTGTATCGTAAAGATAAATCTTGTACAGTATCTACATATGTACTTATACATATATTAGTCTTTTGAATTTGTGTTGGTGCGTTGTTCTGATGAAGATCAATCAAGAGAAGCACTGAGTTTTACTGTAAATTTGATTTTCTGTTGGTTGATTGGTCAGTACTGTCAATATCAAGGTTTTTTTCCTTCAGGTCGGTAATCCACTTGCGGACTATAAGTCCTCAAGGGTTGAATCTGCCTTGTAGCCAGTGCATTAGCAAATCTTTGATCTTGTACATTAGAAAACAAACGATCGAGAAGATAAAAGCCCAATTTCTGAAAAGGCAGCCAACATTGCATTAAATTTGCAACTTTAATATCATTAAAGTCATGTCCATGCGCATTACAATCGTTTGTGAAATAATCTTTGTTAATATATGTTGGTCATTCTCATTTTGCTTAGTTCCTTCTCTTATCTATTCTAACATCGGACTCGGACTTCTTTTAAACTTAAGTTTTACTGTGCGTATTGCTGTGTGTTTGTTTATTCCACTGTGGCTAAGGTTAAGGGGAGGATTGAGATCTCTCAAAACATGTTTAACCCGGTGCATTTTGGTGCCTATCCTAAGTCAGAAACCTCTACCCTTTATTAATCTTGTGCGTTTTTTTAATTTGGTTAATTTTTATGTTTTGGAGTTAAGTGTGGTGTTCATTTCGCTGAAGTAGTATATTATTGTTGTTTAGGAGCCAGATGAAGCCCTCCTCCTGGTGCGGGATTTTCTCGCTGCGTTGAAGACCCATTGGTGGATTTGGGATGTTTTCTGCTCTGAGTTGTTTTCTCTGTGATACATTCTTCTTTTCCATTATCTATTTTATTCACCATGTACACTCTAGACTCAAATTTCGGAAGTCTTAAATATAAAAAGTTTGAGAGAATAAAAACGAAAATATCATAAAAAAAGACATAAAAACGTGTAAGGTCATTTTTGCCAGAGGGACTTGAATCCTTAATTTTGATTAACTATATAGATTAAAAGGTATTATTTAAATTATGCCACCGTCAACGTACTGGACTTGTGATCAATAGTTCACCAGGAGCATTATAGATCCAGTTGTAGTAAAAAATCTATGAAACTTATTTCCTTGTGCACACCATAAAAACCTTCATCTGGAACATTCAGGACCAAAAGTTTGGAAAGTCCATCATTGTAAATACAAAGTATGTCCATATGGTTTTCGGGAAGCCCTTTTGTTCATAGAAGCAATGAGTATAACGTTTAAATAATACTTTCTGAACGTTAATGTCATTTATGTAAAATAGTTTTACAAGATGCATAGCAACTGATCCCTGCTTTTAAATTATAATTAGAAAACGAACCAGAAGTACAGCTAGAAATTACAAATGGTGATATGGACAATGATTATTACAACGTTGGTAGGGAGGCCCGTGGCATCCCTGTTTCTAGTATGAAAGAATATTTACGTAGAATTGAAAGTGATTCTTCTAGATACAAGAACGAATTTGAGGTAAATTAATATATATCTAAGCATAGAATTTGTTCATGATTAAAACTGTATATGTCAGAGTGTAAGAAATAGTAGTGTATTTGTAGTATTATCACCTGTTTCATCTGTATTACTGCACAGCTCGTAAATTTTGTCTCCTGCCGTATAAGTTTATAGGATTCTTTTTAAATAAGCCTTGCTATTGCTAATCTAATCATTTGTTCTCAAATATGGGATTGAACAGCATATAGAAAAAAAACAGGAATATCTCCAGGATGCAATCAAAAACCCAAAGTGGAAGATACATGTGAACATACAACACAATTTTTTACAAACTAAGTAGAATTGAACAATGTGTCCATTCGAAATTGTTTTGGGTTTCAGAATATGTTTCAAATAATACAAATGTTTATAATTATGCTAGACAAGACAACACAAGAATCGTCAGTGGCGCTACGATAAAAAAAGATAGCCAATGTTTCCAATGATTGTTACAATTGTTACATGTTTTGAACAGTAAATTTCAGAAAACTACTGCATCTATATGTCCACTATTCTTGCAGGCTAGTATATTTTCATATATCTTATATTAATTTTCAGGAGTTACGTAATGATGTTCCTATTTATCCACACTTGGCAGGACAAAAAGCAGAAAACAAAGCTAAAAACCGTTTTCTAACAACGTTTCCATGTAAGTATGGTTAAAGCATTTGCATTTAAAACATATCTTTTATTTTCTAGTATTCATCCCTATAATGTTTGAACTTACCTTATCATAATACATACACAATAATTGGCAACATTTATAACAACCGTGTGTATGTCGGTTTTTTTTTCCAGAGAAGTCTAATGTTGTTGATTGATGTAATCTATTGCATTTTGCGTTATAACTGATGAATCTGTTTTTCCTTTTAGTTTTGTTTTACAAGTACTATAAATCTGAAACTAATTTCTGTTATTTACGAAACTGTTGATGTATAATATACTTTAATAGCAAAATATATCACATAGCAAAGACGTAAAGCATTGTATATTTTGATTTTTGAACAATTAATTCATAGTTCATGCAAGACTACGCCATTCTAACATAATATTCCTGCCTGTTAGATTTAAAATTGATATTGAGTCTCAATAGTGAAAAAAGGAATCCTTATTCTCTTTAATTTTTCATTATATCACTTTCAAATATCGTTTAACTCAACTGTGTCTGTTTTAGATGACCATTCCAGAGTAGCTTTAAAACCATTGCAAGGTGAAGCTGAATCAGATTACATTAATGCCAACTTTATTGATGTAAGTTAAATTATATTAACAAGGTATTTTAATAAATTATCAATTAGATCCCTCAAGAATTACTAACAATGCATATTTCAACGCATGCTGAAAGTCTATTATGCAAAGTTTATCTAGGGCGTTGTTATCTATTCTCCGTATGCTATTACTGTTTATATGCCCCCGTAAGCATAAGTTTGCCTCCAAAACTTTTGCACATTAACGGCAATTGGTAGTATAGAAACAAGCAATTAACGTAGCATAAATAGAACATCTTACCTTGATTTCATTTGTCTCGACAATATCATATTCACTTACACCTGAGATTAAGTACTAAGTTGACTCTGTCTATTCTATCTATATTGTAATCAGAGCTAGTAGACTGAGTTAATTTGTTTTTAATTTTAGATACATCCATGTAAACTTATTGATCCTATTCTGAAAGGTTAACAATCTATCATTTAAGTAATTTATCGGCACTAACACTATTTAGTTTTTTATAATAAATCAAACCATAATATAATATGTCTTGCTATATAGTTGGGAACACTTATAGTCCCAAATAGTTCACCTATTGAAAAAGATACAGCTGTGCGTAGGAACTATTTTGTTTAAAATATGTACTATTTTCTTGCATGTTCTTTCCGACCGGGCCCGAATTAGTGGTTCTATACCTGAAGAGCCGATACAATAAAAAAAGACCAAAACGTAAAGCCAAACCCGGACAAGGAATCAGAGCTATATATGAGAGAAATACATTCCTTAGTTTAATACGATTGATCTTGAAAGTTTATAACATACACATTCTAATAAGATCATATTCGTATTTTCATGCCAGTACTGATGATATCTCGGTGACTAGCAGTCCACCAGAAACGGTTTCGACACAGTACCAAACGTTTAGATATTTTAATTGTAGAATATTTAGAAAAGTTCAATTTCATTGACATTTTACATTTTGACATTGTATATTATTTTCATATTCATCATTCCATAGACTAAAATTTAAGACTTTTAAATACACCTTCCGCAAAGAAAAAGAATAAAATTACAAATATTTGCAATATGTAAAAAAGGAAAGGAAAAGGCATGGAAAAAATTTAAATATAAATAATACGTATAGAGTATAGCTTCAATTTTGGAGGGGGATGATAAGAACGTTACTAATTTTACTGCACCAGATGCGCATTTCGACAATTAATGCTTCTTTAGTGATGCTCGAGGTTGAATATTTGAAAGCCTATAACCTAATAAAATCATTGAAGGGCCGATACAACCAAAAAGGACACAAAATCATTAATGCATTTCCAAACCCACAGAAAAATCTCAGCTCTTTTTTGTCGTCATTTAAAAAAAACCATCCGATTTGTTTTATTCTATTTCAGAGTGTTGAATCAAGAAAAGTATATATAGCAGCTCAAGGTATAATGTTCATTTCATCAAATCTGCTCGATTATTTGTACAAACAGTGCTTACATATGTACTCCTTATGATGAGACAACAAAAGATCGATAAATTATTTCATTTGTTATATATTTGAAGAAAGAAAATAAAAGCTTTTTTTTTTGTATTTCTTTTTTGAAAAAAAAATAAAAGCTTTTTTTTTTGTATTTCTATTTTAATACCAACGCCGGAGAAAATAGCATTTGGAAGAAACTAAAAACAAACCAATGCATTAATTAAAAGGAAACAATTAATTCAAAAGAATTTCTAAACTTTAGGTCCCAATCGTTTGACTGTTCGTGATTTTTGGAGAATGATTTGGCAGGAGAAAGTTGGACTGGTGGTAATGCTGGCAAATGTTTATGAAGATGGAAAGGTAAATACGGTCTTTATAATTCATTCATACAAAATCCAAGAAAAGGTATACATATTATCAAAAATGTGCATTATTATGAAAACACAAAATAATCCTCATTAAGGTTAAATGAAAAGTCGACTTTGGTTATAAGTTCAGTAACAGTAATTCATGAGTGGTATTAACTGAAAATCATTTAACAGATATGATCACTCAGCTAATACTTTTAAAGTACCTATATACGTTGGATAATTCTTATTTCTGGGAAACATTTGGAATGCATAGTATATGTTGTGGACTATACTATATCTTAAACGACTAAAGCAACTAAAACAAGATTGATTGATTTGTGCTTGCTTGACGTGCAAAATAATTACGAAAAACAAACTGAATAAAATATTCTTTATTACAGGTTAAATGCGAGAAATACTGGCCTGAAACTAAGCCATTGAGGTACTGTGAGGTCTTGATATCATTGGATGACTGCAAAGAATTGAGCACGTATACTGTACGACATATGACTGTCGGTAATGTAAAGGTAAGTACAACCAGTACTGTGAAAAACAGAAAATACCAAAGAGGCAATCAAAAATCATATAGACAATAATATGGCCCCAACAAAACAAGGAAAAAGACAAACAACAGTCTACAAAACACTGCACAGAAATCTAAATACAGAACAACACGAAGTCAAGAAAACCGGTGGTGATCTTAGTTGCTCTGGAAGAGTAAGAAAATCAGCTCTTCTAGTGACACCGGCTTGTTGCTCATCGCAAGTAAACGTTAAATTATAAGTCGCATTCGGAGATGTCACAATCGAGGAAAATGGGACAGAATTATGGCTATGACAATTGGAACATATCCGCGGCCATCTGGGACATAGATGTTTAACAACGGTCAACCAAACTCATGATGATATCCGTAAAACTTCCAAAAGGATGACCTCAACTTTACCCCTGGAACTCAGGTTCTGTTGGCATATTACTACTTAGAAATGGAAAGTGTTTCGAAAGCTGAATACAGCTCTGTTGTCGTAATTGTTAGCTTTTTAACTGATATTAAAGGTATTTTTCGAGATGTTAGTAAAGTTAAGTCAAGATATGAAGCATTGTATCCTTTATTTCAAGTTTAATGGGATAAATGCGTTCAACCTTCTTCCATCCTGTTGTTGGTTAACTACCGCGATATTTGAACGTTCTAATGTCCATTGAGTATGATTTCTTATTAACTCTTACGATAAACATATTCGTCAGATTCTTAATATTTTTTTATGACAGAAAATAACATATAAAGCTTAAATGTTTATATATTGTACGACTTGTCTTTGGTGTTTGTTTATATATAGACAGCAGTAGTTTACCGATATTCAAGTATCATAAACCTATGAAGGAAGTTACAAATCAAGGTTCCCTCAAAAAAGACTTAGTGAATCTCATTATCCCACAATCAGGAATAGAGTGTTCTGGTATCTCAAGATCTATGACCGCACACACATGTTGCTAGTGAGATGATACACAGACACATTTATCGGTCAACCAGTTCGTGAAAGTGACCGCAAAACTGAAAATTTCAGTCGTTGTTCTATATAACTCTGTTTATACGATAAGACAGATGGTATGTTACAATCGTGAAATGGGAAGATGACAATTTGAAAGTTGAAATCATTAAATTTGTCATAGATTTTAGTTTGAAATCTCGCATCTGTGTCAATGTTTAGGAAAAGATCAAGATATAAGGCATACATTCTTGTTTGGGTTGTATCCTTAATCTCTAGTTCTCTGTGATAAATGAGATGTAAGCGCTCTCTGAAATATGGGTTATTGCGTCAAAGGCCACCATCAATACATCTGAAAGTGAAATAAAAAAAAAAATTGCCAGATGCTTTTTCTTTTTGTCTTTGATAACGTTATGTGTTTATTCTATTTCATATAGGTATAAAAACAAGTCGACAAGTAGGAGTGAACAATTAGAACCCATTGGAATACCGACTGTCTGTTGAATAACAATCCCCCTAACTACAAAAATATGTTGCCGATCAAAATGTTTGACATTTTGCTGATATTTTCTTCGTTTTATTTATTGTTTGAATAGTGTGGTTCTTCGCAAAGAAAGATTGTTCATTGCCTGAAACAAGAAATAGGGAACGGAGTAGTTGATCTTTTAATTGAACATGGCGAAAAGAAATGTAAAGCATAGACAAATCATTAGTCTTGATATTACTGCAAAATAGTAAAGATTGTTATTTGAAGGTTTTTGGAGTAGATCTTCAGAATCAAAAGCTAATTGACACCTGGTATTTGTGGGATTCCAGTTTTGCTTTCTTTGATTAGGAGTTTTGCAGTTAAAAACATGTTGTTTAAGGATTTGTCTGCTTGGACATTAACATATTTGTCGTGAAGAGATGTTAAGGCATTAAATTACCTTGGGTTCTTGAGTTTCTTGAAATGGTTAAATATCGTTGTCTTCATTGTACATCATAGATTTTGAATGCGATTCCGAATAGCTATAGTCCATTCAAAAGTGTCCAGTATTGGTTCATCTGGTATGCTCTTTATCATTTGTTTTTGAATAGTTCTCAACTGCATTCGTCAGTGACAAGAATTTCCTCTGCTTGTTGATTGGCTGAAAATTCGATATTAATCTGTTAGGAATATGATGAGTAACACCGAACACTGCATATAACTGCTAGGAATGTGAAGAGTATCATTGGCACTATGGTGTATTGATGGAATTAGATAATTATACATATCTTAAAGAAATATTATAAGATGTGAGACTGTTTGTAATGTCACGCATCATTGTGGTACTGTATTTATCAGGAATATGTGTGTACAACCAGGAAAACATTTTTCTTTCTTTTTTTGGGCAAGAATAAAGGGAAAATGACATGATATTTCTTACATAGGCGGATCCAGGTTTGGGGGGGGGGGGGGGGCTGGGGTGCCCGGGCCCCCCTTTCGTAGGAAAAATTTGGTTGACTTTATAGGGAATCACTGAAGCATAACTGTAGAGGGCCCCCTCTTATGGCAGTCAGTGCCCGACCCCCCCCCCCCCCCCCTCCCCAACCCCCCCCCACCCCTTATCAAAAGTTCTGGATCAGCCACTGTCTTATGACGAATAAAAACATTTAATTCGGTGGGGATGTAAATAGATTCACAAGTTTGTGCAAAGTCGTGTATGCAATTTTAAATTCGTCTTTATTTTGTTAAATTCAAGAGTAAAGAAACAACTTGAAAGTAGAATTTATGATTTTTTTTGTCCGTTATAATATGTTATTTGTTGAAATTCTTTGGCATCTATGTTCATCAATGCAAATAAATTAGCGTTTTTCGATATTTTAAAAAGGATTTCGCTCTAACTGGTGCTAGGAACCATCTTGAAGTTGCATTGAAGTGTGAACTTTTGCTCCATGATAAAGACTAAATGCACGGCTCTTTTCGTTTGGAGTTTTTAGAGCGTGTTTGTATTTTATATGATGAATTGCAACATTATTTTTTTTATATTCCTTTGTAATGTTGTATCTGTAAATTCAGTGATATTGACAACATCGTTATGTAGAAATATATATGTATTACTGTTGCAGACGTCAGAGACACGGAAGGTCATACAGTTTCATTTCACTGGATGGCCAGATCACGGTGTACCAGATACCATGGAACTTGTGGAGTTCCATAGAAAAGTCATGTCTACAAACTCTCCTCAAAGGGGGCCACTACTTGTACATTGCAGGTAATTTTCTTATAAATTGTTCTTTAGTCAGATAAAACAATAATACATACAGAATTGTATAACTTCAATGATTTAGCAGTGTATAACTCTTCAATGCTATTTATTTTTTATCAACGTTAAATCAGTTCATGACATTCATTTGTCGGCTAATTTGGCTTTTAAAAATTTTATAAATACTTAAAATGGTTCCTCTGATTTATAATGTATTTTTAATACGTTTTCCCCTGGTTGAAGTTAAATGAAAAAAATAAATAGGTAATCAAACAAATAAAATTTATATACACTTTTGAACCCTGTTGGTTTTATTAAAAAAAAAGTGACAGACATATTTTCTTTAAACAACTATTAATATGTACTACTCATTGCGCATATTTCAGTGCTGGAGTCGGTAGAACAGGCACGTTTATCGGCTTGGACGCTCTGTTTAAATATGGTACGAAATCTACACATGTGGACATTCATAACTTTGTTCGAAAAATGAGAGAATGTAGGATGACCATGGTTCAAAACGTCGTAAGTATTTATTTTACCTGAATTGATGAAATTATAGTGATAAAGCATCTTTTCAAGAAAAAATCACTCTTTATTTTGTATACTTATCTTACCTTACAATATATTTTTTCCATTCTTGCCCTAATCTTGCTTATTTCTGATGATATAATTACAACATGTAGAGGAAAATTCTTTGAATTTAGTTTCTTAAAAATGCAAATTCGGTTGTGAAATCTTTTTACTTGTTACACAGGAACAATACAGACTTCTACATGTGGCTTTGTTGGAAGCTTTCAATTATAGACACACGTCAATTAATCGAACAGATTTCTCTAAAAAGTACGAAGAAATCAAACATGATAACAAACATCTTCTTAAGGAGGAGTTCAAGGTAAACATTATTATTGTTATGTCACATTGATATTAAAGTTGGCGAAACGATTTACAAATTTGTTAAAATATATTAAAGGCTGTGCTCCCTGTATTTGTACAGATTCTTCTTTTTTTATTTTTTTATATGATTAATTTTGGAATTTCCCCATTCCAAAAATACAGACTTTGCAATGTTTGCTTATATTATTTGGAGACGGCAGGGCGACACTTCAACTTATATTTATTCATCCTTACAGAAATTACTCTGAAAACTTTCTTATTAACAATGCTGTATAATATCTGTTCCTGTTGGAACAAAAAGTATATGCCCTTTATTTCATCAAGCACAAAACTGTAATAGTCATTACAATAGGAATAGTATTCCAGAATATGCCTTTTACTATATAGGGACTTATATATCATGACAAAACACATCTTACTTGAATGACTCACACATTTTATAATGTTATGTAATTACTACTATTTAGCAAAACTGCTTAATTTACTGCAGTGGACTTATTCCATGCTATTTACTTTATGTATATCTTTTTTCAGCAACTGACGGACATTAAACCGAGTCATTCTAATTCCGAATGCAGCACTTCTCTCTGTCAAGACAATATTCAGAAAAACAGAGCCTTAGATGTTTTACCAGGTAAGCATCCAATGATCATTTTTAGTAGAGTTTCGTTCATAAGAGTTTCTCGTTTTTCGTTTTTTATATAGATTAGACCGTTGGTTTTCACCTTTGAATGGTTTTACACTAGTAATTTTTGGGGCCCTTTATAGCTTGCTGTTCGGTGTGAGCTTAGGCTCCGTGTTGAAGACCGTACTTTGACCTATAATGGTTTACTTTAATAAATTTTAACTTGGATGGAGATTTGTCTCATTGGCACTCATACCACATCTTCTTATATCTATTTACATGATTATGAAGAAAATGAAAACAACATGTTATATATTTCATGCATCCGAATAGTTATCAAAGGTACCAGGATTATAATTTAATACGCCAGACGCGCGTTTAGTCTTCCTAAGACTCATCAGTGACGCTCAGATCTAAATAGTTATAAAGCCAAACCAGTACAAAGTTGAAGAGCATTGAGGACCCAAAATTCCAAAAAGTTGTGCCAAATACGGCTAAGGTAATTTATTCCTAGGATAAGAAAGTCCTTAGATTTACGAAAAATTTAAAGTTTTGTCAACAGGAAATTTACTAAAATGACCATATAATTGATATTCATGTCAACACCGAAGTGCTGACTACTGGGCTGGTGATACCCTCGGGGACGAAACGTCCACCAGCAGTGGCATCGACCCAGGGTATAAATAGGTATCAAATGCTTTTCTGGATTTACCTTTATCAGGAACGCTCAAAGCTGAATATTTGAAAGTCAGTGATGTATAAGAACCGGAACAGTTCAAGAGCTATTTGACCAAAAAGGACATAAAAGAATTGCCAAATCAGTCTAAGGTCAACCTTGCCTGAAGGAGTTGAAACCTTAGTTTCTTTATAATTTCGAAAAGATCGTGTTTATTTTGATAAAAAAGTACATTTATTTTTAACTAAATTACAAACTTTGTAGTACCAAACAGAATTTATTAAAGACCAGATTTGTCATCCAGGTTTAAAAGATACTTTATGGGAAATCTCTCAATCAGAGTTAGACGTAGTAACATCTTTAATTTTTATAATCCTAATCATTTGTGTCAATGAGCCATAATCGTCTTCCATCATAGAACACATACAATTAAGAAGATGTGGTATGATTCCCAATGAGACAACTCTCCATCAGAGATTAAATGACGTAGACGTAATCGAGTTCAATGGAAGAACACAATTTTCTCTTCTGCAGAGATATGTAATAGAATATGAGGGTTATTTCAAAGTAATATATTTCTGTGGCATTCGAATTCTGCTATAACTTGGAACAGACTTATGAAAACAACATTGCGTTTGTTCATCTGTGTTAAAAATAAGATCGTTAGAAAGCGAAAACAAATGAAATCGGATACTATTGTTTTTATTTCATTTGCTAAAAGAGTTTGTCTTTTTGTTTAGTTGACAGGTATCGACCATTTCTGAGCACTCATATACATGGCACAAATGATTATATAAATGGTATTATTTTACCTGTAAGTATTCTTAAATCAATTACAATATAAATAGCAGGGATGCTAATGAAAATCAACGCTTGTTGAATTTTGGTGTAAAAATACATCTGTATTTCATATGATATACATATGCTACTACTTTTGAAGAAAAATATAGTTTAGTGATAAAAAAAATGCTACAGTTAATACTTTTGGGGTAGTTTCGATAAAGGCACAAAAAGGAGTGAAAAGGGTTATGTTTGATTTATTACGTGTATTGTTCCTTTATTTCCTTTTCCAGGGTAACATCATATGCTCGATAAATTATTTGTTTTTATAAATAATGATTCTTTTATCTTATTTCATTTGCAGTCCTATTCGAGAGGTGGAAATTATATAGTTACACAGACACCGCTTGTTAACACTGTTGTAGATTTTTGGAGATTATTATTTGACCATGAATGTAAAACTATTGTATCATTAAACCTCTTAGATGAAGAACAGGAAGTAAGTATATAACCTATAAGTAGACTACAAATAAGTCACATTCCATTCTTCCCTAAAAAAAATGTGTTTACTCTGAAAGCACCATATAAAATTAAATCAAGTGCTCTGAAATCCGTTATGCGTTTTGTCCAGTCATGTCTTAATACAAATACAACCTTAATATGCTCTATATAAACATCGTGATTCTTGGTTCTGTCTTAAGAGTAAGATATTTTTTTATTTTGACTAGCATTCATTCCATCTTTAAAATCTTAGTTCCTACACATTTTCGTGAACACAGGAGATATCGAGCATAGCACAGAAATATTTCCATTACTTAAAACTTGCTGGACCATAATCCTTAGCCATTTTCTTGAGATAAGTAAATAGATACCAACAAATATCAACATTTTGAAGACGGTCTTGATCTTTTAATAATGTCTATAAGACAAGTGTAACTGTATTTCATTAAAGTCGAGATTTGCTCATTAACTGGATTTTTTCTGATATCAAGCTGACATTCTGCTATTTGTTTTGAATTGCAAATCTTCATATTGATTTATTCTTCAGGAAACTGGCGTATGGTGGCCATCTGAGGGAGAATCTGTTTCATATGGACCTTTGAAGATAAAAACTGAATCTGTTTCCGATATACATGACAGTTTTACTCAAAGAACATTTTCAATGTTAAAAAGAGTAAGTTCTTTTGTTTTGCTACTGAATAAAAGATAATACCAACAGGTTTTTTTTAATGTTTTTTTATATATTTGTATATTCTGATTCAATATTGTAATTGTTCAGTTTGTCAAGTAATTTGCATGCATGTAGTCACTTCTTCAGAATACTAAATAACTAAAAGCAAAACAAAATTGTCTAAAATTTGAGAGTTTCAAAACAGATCCAATAGGTGGTTATCATTTTTCTAAAAGAAGGAACATTTGGCTGTAAACTAAAAGAGTATTGTGTTATCAAATAGTGAACGTTTATGCTTGTAGGCGTTCTACATATTTCTCAATCATGATATTAAGATCGTTTTAATAAAATTAACTTGGAGATCAACCTTTCAGATATTTTTTAGACAGCATCGCTAACTAGACTGAGGTAGGAAGCATATCATAAGACCATAATGAAGTTCTTGGTAGCAGTTGTTTTCAAACCCTATTGTTGAAGTATATTTTGGGTAAGATTTTGGATTTAATGGGATTATTCTTTTTATATTTTCAGAATTATGGTGACCCAAGAACTGTGCGGTCATTCCATTTTACGAAGTGGCCTGTTAAATCGAAACTACCGATATCTAAACACTCACTGCTATCCCTTCTAGATACAGTTGAGAGGTGGAAAAATGAAATTGGCTCGGACACAGTCGTGGTTCAGTGCATGTAAGTTTTTATACTATTTTGTCTTATTACTTTGAACATTAGCTATAACAAACATTTCGACCGTACAATTCTACCACATAAATCCGTTTATTGTAGAAATAAGGGAGAAGATACCAAGGGGTCAGAAACCATAAGCAACATCATGGCTGAAACAAACAAAAATAAAGACGAAAAGACTAAAATCACTCCACACTACACAGAAAAACACCTGGAGAGGGAGTATAAGGCACACTTCCACACAGAGAAATGTTGAAATGATGAAAAAATAGAAAATTTAAATACCAAATTAACTTATAAAATTTAGTAAAATGCACTTACACATATGATACATTGCAGAAACCATACCGTTTTGCTTGCATGTAAAATAAAAAGCCTAAAAATTTTCCCTTGCCAGCACAGCCACCTCTACTGGAGAAAATATTCTGCCACAACCAATGTGTAGTATACTAAATTTACTCAAAAACTATTTTTCATTTACAAGCAGACGACTGATTTTCTATTTTGAGATGGAGCTAGATCCGACTTTACATTGTTGATGATTATTCATCGTTTTTATGCCAGAAATAGAAACAAATGATATCTAGATCAACGACATCTAAAGTAATAGACATTGAATTATCTTTATACTTTAAATTACCTCTTTTCAGGAATGGCGCGAATTGCAGTGGATTGTATTGTGGCATTAGTCTTATTCTTGACAATCTTCGCTTAAAACAAGAAGTTGATGTTTATCATGCAGTTCAGAAGATACAATCAAGACGCGAACAGTTCATAAATTCATCTGTAAGTCTTGCCTGTATTCACGTGCCTGTATTAAAAAAAAACAAATATTTTTTCAAAGATACAATTCAATTTTGGTGAAGACTTTTTCCTTACTGGATTTATTTACTTATTTAAATGATATTTCGTGAGTAAATAATTATAGTCTGTTCCCTTTTTCTAAAATATATTAACAGCTTTCATATCTGACATGTAAACCCAATTTTTATATTTGATTTTAGGAACAGTACGAATATTTGTACGAGATTGTTTCGGAATACATAAATTCCAGAGACATTTATGGAAACTTGGAATGAAATCCGGTGACATTTCACAAACTGAAATCCAGAGCCCGAAAGAACAACAGCATTGTAACCAGTAACCTGTAATCATCAATCAAACATATTTTTGTTGAAGTGCTTTTTGGCAAATCACGTTGGTACTTTTTAGAAGGACACATGATTATTGTATTTATAAAGTGCAGTTATTTGTTTCTTTAAAGTAAAAGCCTTGTATTTTACTACGAGTTTTTTATTGTTATATGTATAGATACTGTGATTAAAGATATGTTGTATTTGTGACCCAAAGGAACAATAGGGTCGACTATAAATAAACTGATGATCTCTTTAAAACAATTGGTAGACATCAATCATTCTGTTGACATACCTGTTATTAAAATTAAATTATTTTTTTCAATTATTGTTATTTTGTATTGTGTTTCTGTTCACCTAATAAGGGTCTAAGCATTTTTACAACCATTTGTCACAATCGGGTTAGACGAGAATATCCTTAATGTTAAACAGATCTTCAGAAACAAGTAAAATCACAAATATTGAACTCCGAGGAAAATTCAAAAAGGAAAGTCCCTAATCAAATGGCAAAATCAAAAGCTCAAACACATCAAATGAATGGATAACAACTGTCATATGCCTGACTTGGTACAGGCATTTTCTTATGTAGAAAATGGTGGATTAAACCTGGTTTTATAGCTAGCTAAACATCTCACTTGTATGACAGTTGCATCAAATTCCATTATATTGACAACGATGCGTGAACAAAACAAACAGAAACAATAGGTGAAAATGTCAAAAATAGGGGGAAGGCAGTCAACATTGTGTTATCATCTTAATCTCTATAAAAACAAACAAATGTAACAAAGAAGCACAAAAAGGCATACATCAAGTTTAACATCCTCATTTTGCATATATCCTTACTTTGATGGCATTGAACTGACAATTATTAAATACATACAAAAACAAAAATTTTAATTTCAATTATATTTCAAATTCTGTCAGTTACATCAAACGTTCATGTCGAATTAATTTTTTTCTTCAAAATATCTCAATTCATAAACTTTATGACAAGAAATGTCAACATCGCCGTAGACAATGTCGTGAAAGTTTCTTATTATATAGGATTATCCAAGTACAGTTGAGGTGTATGACCCCTTCTGTAGGCCTGCGTACTACGTATGAAATTTTCAAAGTGCATATAATATGAAAACAGGAAAGATAATGAATGAAAGAGCCGTGTCATTTTGTACATACCAAAGGGAAACGACGTTCTCGTTCACAGCAATATATATTGTGACATTGCATTTAATAGAAAATCATGTGGATTAATCATTTTGTGGAAAATGAAGCCAAGAATTTTATAGAAAATCCACAGATTTTTGTTCAGAGATTGTCGTTATAACATTTTAAACAGAGATTACTCACTTGCAGTGGGAAATCTAGTGACAAAATATTACCTCCCCTATAAACACTGAAAACTAGATCTTCTGAATGTTTGTCCAATTTTAGCAAGGAGGCTGTATCACGTCACCTGGTTAAAAGTGGCTGAAAAGTAAAACGAGTTGAACCGGCTGATTCATAGATGGCGACGAAGTACAAATTTATACTTTTTGCTTTCTAAGCTGGGAAAAATGAAAAAAAATAACCTGTTAATAATAGCGCATTTTACCCTACATTGCGCTTTCCGCCATACTTTTTTGACCGGCTGATTGCTTGCCGGTGTGTTAAGACCGGCGAGGGCGGCGTATGCCTATATGCGCCGGCGGCTGATTGCTTTAGCAAATGAAGCGACTGTGCCTATACCGGAAGCACCAACCGGGCTAACTCGGGTTACGCCGCTGTGGCAAAAGTAGTACTACCAAGGACGCTATCAATTAAGGATTCACGGAAAAACGTTCTGGCAAATAGTTAAAATAGAAAATAAAAAACTCGTGCTGAGTCATTAAAGTCGAGAGCACCCTAGAAGGTGTACTTGAATAGTTCCATATTTGTACTTGTTTTAACTAACTATATAAAAATTAATCGGAAACAGTGCGGGTGAATGCTAACGAATAAACCACTTTTATATTTTTCTTCAAGGAATAGATGAAAATTGCACATACTTGTGTATGACATTAAAAAAAATTAAACTGAAACTGGTTGCTATTCACAAAGTTAAGACTCTGAATATAACTTGTGACATGAGTATTTTGATTAGACAGCCAGTGGATGTCGTTCAAAGTAATGATATAGGTATCATTTAGTAATGTAATCACAGCTCAAACAGTTCTTAGAAATGTAAATTTCGCTATTACTCACCCTTTGACTTACTTTTGAATAAATCACTTTTGCTTTATTTAGTTTTCTCGTTATGATTGTTTTACGTTTTCATTTTGGGGCCTTTTATAGTTTGCTATGCGATATGGGTTTTGCACGTTGTTGAAGGACGTACATTGACCTTCGCGGAGCGAGGCGAAAAAAAATGTTGAACCCATTTTAAAAAGAAAATATAGTAAGATTATGTGTGCCGGTAAAGTAAGATTTTTTTACGCTTTATCCTGCTTTATGACCTGTAACGTGTACACAGGGTAAGCGTGTCTATTTCTAAATTAGAATGAGTTCGTTACCAGTTTGATACTGGATCCAAAATGTTCTATTTACAAAATATATAACAAGTGAACTTTATTAATAAAGTGACATCAATGAACCAAAATATGTACAACTGCTCTTCGCGTTCTTTAATAACCTATCTATAACTATTCTACTTAAAATATATACAACTGGTACAATTTTTTGTACTATTAAAAATTTGTCCTTGGCCAGGAACAAACTTGGGATCCCGCTAACATGTTTAACCCCGCCACATTCTGTATGTATGTGCCTGTCCCAAGTCAGGAGCCTGTAATTCAGTGGTTGTCGTTTGTTTATGTGTTACATATTTGTTTTTCGTTCATTTTTTGTACATAAATTAGGCCGTTAGTTTTCTCGTTTGAATTGTTTTAATTGTCATTTCGGGGCCTTTTATAGCTGACTGTGCGGTATGGGCTTTGCTCATTGTTGAAGGCCGTACGGTGACCTATAGTTGTTAATTTCTGTGTCATTTGGTCTCTTGTGGAGAGTTGTCTCATTGGCAATCATACCACATCTTCTTTTTTATATTGTCCTCCTGGTATAATTATGTACTCTACAAGTAAACACACGTGTCGTTGTCCTCTTGGTACAATTATGTACCCTACAAGTTTACACACTTGTCCTATACGTTTTGGTACAATTATGTACCTACAAGTTATCACACTTGTCCAATACGGTACAACAATACGGTTCAGCTTGAAAACTCCAATTTGTACAAGTCTGTATTTCTAACAGGCACCAACCTGTTCTTTATTACACTTAGTAATAGTATCTTATATATAAGAAACAGAGATCTCGAATATCAACGTACCGTACCTTGGTCTTATGTCTCCGTAGACATGACAATCGACCTAGAGCAAGGAATCTCTCCTGGTTTTATACCCCAATGGTAGCTATTTCATTCTTGAAGGAGGGGTGTTTTCTAAAGTGCCATGTTACTAGTATAAGAGTTTCCTTTGGAACACCCCTTCACATTTGACCTGACCCAAAGTTTACCCGCCAAACATCTGATTCTTTTCTATGTTTATTAAAGTATATACAAATACATAAAATAAGGCTTCTACCTAAATGTAACTAAAGTAAACGATCTAACCTAATTAGATACAAAATCATCACCGACTCTTCACAAGCTATTTTTACTTAGTTTAAGGGAAACAATTTGCGAACTTGAAATGAAAGGCCCCCTGAAGTTGAGCATTTTTTTGTGGTTTATCCTGCTTTTTTGGCAGACCCAATTCACTCGACACTGATCGGGACCGGTTATTATAATCATATAAACTAATGTGTCATGGAACCTCGGCTCTTGACATAAAATTCACAGTTATACTTACATTATTAACAACTGGTTAGTCTATATACAAATTATGACGATTCTTTTATGTTTATCATTTAATGTAGCGCAAAATCTGGACCAGTTTCAACCTCGCATTTTGTTCCTCAGACTGATATGGCGAGACAGCAGGATTTGTAATATGCCAGAGAATGCGCCACAGGAAAATCCCGTGCTACAAAATTGGCGGGAAAATTTTACGTGTGCAAAGGAGTAGGGTACCGTTCAGCGGTATTTACCAGATCTAAATATCGAACACACCCTGCCATTATGATTAATCACCTTGTTGGTTAAACTAACAACCAGTGCTATTAAAATGATGTATGATTTTAACCAAATGTTTCCTTTTCTGTTTTTTTTCTTCATTTCTTATTTTTTCTGTCAGCCCGCAATAGGAGGCAACTGCCTACATGCCTCAGTGTAATTTGCGGCCCTGTCTTATTTTTAGCTCACATGGTCTAAAAGGCCAAGTGAGCTTTTCTCATCACTTGGCGTCCGTCGTCGTCGTCCGTCGTCGTCTCCGTCGTCGTCTCCGTCGTCCGTCGTCGTCGTCTGTCGTCCGTTAACTTTTACAAAAATCTTCTCCTCTGAAATTACTGGGCCAAATTTAACCAAACTTGGCCACAATCATCATTGGGGTATCTTATTTGAAAATGTGTCCGATGACACGGCCCGCCAACCAAGATGGCTACCATGGCTAAAAATAGAACATGGGAGTAAAATGTAGATTTTGGCTTATATCTCTGAAACCAAAGCATTTAGAGCAAATCTGACAGGAGTTAAATTGTTCATCAGGTCAAGATCTATCTGCCCTGAAATTTTCAGACGAATCAGACAACCCGTTGTTGGGTTGCTGCCCCTGAATTGGTAATTTTAAGAAAATTTTGCAGTTTTTGGTTATTATCTTGAATATTATTATAGATAGAGATAAATTGTAAACTGCAATTATGTACATCGAAGTAAGATCTACAAATAAGTCATCATGACCACAATGGTCAATTGACCCCTTAAGGAGTTATTGCTTTTTATAGTCAATTTTTAACAATTTTTTGTAAATTTTTGTAATCTTTTACAAAAATCTTCTCCTCTGAAACTACTGAGACAAATGTAACCAAACTTGGCCACAATCATCATTAGGGTATCTAGTTAAAAAAATGTGTCTGATGACCCCGCCTTCCAACCAACATAGCCGACATAGGGGTAAAAATGAAAGTTTTGTCTATTATTTTTTGAACAGTTATAAATAGAGAAAATCTGAAAGGAGCAAAAAATTTCAGAATAATGAGCTCTACCAATTGTCCATATACGTGAAAACTGTTAGACAAATTCTTATAGAAGTTATTGCCCATAAACGACAAATTTTACCATTGTTGCCTATTATCACGAAAACTATGATATTTAGAGAGAAACATTTTTTTTCCGTTATGCCTTATATGATTTAAATCATATAATAGATAAATAAA